ACGATTTTATATTGCACATTGGTTTCAGATAGAAATTCGTTCCAATAGGTGTATGTTATGTTTCTTGACCTGAGTATTTTTATTTTTAAATACTGGAATGGAGTTACATACTCTTACAGTATCCACCTTTTACATACATTTGAATTATGATTTTAAATTAACGTGATGCCTTATAGTTAATTTTATCATCATTCTCAGCTATCAACGCGTTATAGTGTGATGACAGTTTAAGTGCTCTCCGCCCCCATACTCCTGTGACCATGTTTATGACAAAAAAGCATTGCAACTAGTACTTTTGGTCCCTTTTTTTTTGAAAATTAACAGAATCCTTTATGCTTTAGAATACAGTTTAAGTAAGCTAATAAGTATTTTAGGTAAATTCTCACCAGGCTTTCCAAATAAATAATGAGAATACCAGTCAAGGGCATTTGAAACAATGTCAATCAATAGCATTAAATGTAACCGAGGAGAAAGTAAGTAGAATAACAATAACAATGATAAATTGTGAAGCAAATTAAAATATGCAACTACAGCACAGTATGATATTGACAATAAAGTTAGCAGTACAAGAACTGCCTAACGATAAAGCTGATACAGATAATAAATTAGAAAAGGGAATCTTGTAAGATACTAAGAGCCTTGTCATCCAATCACATATTGTCTCCCCCAAATTCTCAAACGTCTAAAGCCTTTAAGAGCACATATACCCAGATTGTTTGGGCTACCTAAAATTAATAAAGCCACCGTACTAATGAGATCAATACTCACCATATCATGAAATAGCCCAGATGACTGGTGGACATACTTAAACCACTGCAGCTAAAAGTGGCTAAGTATAGTTTGAAGGACTTTCGAATTCATAGAAACATTGAGAGATAAAATGATCAACTATTAAACAATCACCTATATGGATTTCACTTCGCTGTTTACTAACGTTCCTTTATCAGAGACCATCGACTTCATCTGTGGCTCTCTGGCAGGAATTGATATGAAAGTAGGCTTATCACCTTTAAATTTATGGAAACTACTACTCCGTCGTACTACGAATGTGTAAGTTTCAGTTTAACAACAAAATCTATCATCAAGTGGGTGATGGATTCCCCGCTGGGTCCTCTCTTAGCTGACATGTTCATGACAAATTAAAGAATCGTCCACTGGAAGATGTAATTAACGAAATCTTGTTCCACCGCTGATAACTGGATGATGCTTTTATCTTGCGTAAAAATAAAATCGACACCGAAGTTCTGCTCGAAATGACCAATACAGCTCACCCAATTGATCTGTATTTCAGGTCAAAGGTTAAATTAAAATTACAATGTTTAATAATCTGGAAGGTCTGGTAGGAAAGACATTTTTTCCTTCACGTTCCCCAGTAGGACATACGGCTTCAAGCTAGTGGCTTTAAGTTTCTGTAGCAGTGTTTAATTTACAGGATGGGGTTGCTAGCCTCATGCCTAACCTTTCTTCTCTACCAGCATTATTTCTGGCTTAGCGAGGTAAAGGAGTGCGTCGGCCGGGGATCGAATCCCGGACCATGTGAATGGTCGGCGGGCGTCCTAACCGCTATGCCGCCAACGCACGTAGGAAAGACATAATACGATATAATTAATTACTCAGATGTGGCTTTAGAACTGAAAATAAAAGTTGTAAATTACATAGTACTCAACGGAACGAAGGAAGAAAGGGTTAGAAATTTGATAAGGGTTAAGGTAGTTGAGTGTCAGTTTAAAAAGTGTGAAGAGGGTGTGAAAATGTACAAAAGGAGGAACATATGAGAGTGATAATAGTGAGTTAATTATTAAAGTAAAAGCAAACTAAAAAGTAAAATTGAAAATTAATTAAAATTGTTTTTATCACATTTAGTAATTTTATTAAATTGACCTTTGATCGGAAATAATTCTAGAACTTTCTCACACATTCGATCTATATTTATTGGTAGACAGATTTGGTCACTTATCTATTCTGTTTACATACCTGTATTAGAAAAGCTCTTTATTTTTACGGTAACAGTATAATAATTTAAAACGCTTTACTTCTAATTTATTTTGTTTTTTATTGCTTCGGTTTGTTGTTCGATCCTCACGATAAATTCAGTTTTGTATACTGTACTTCCTTTCACTGTAGTTTCATTCAAACCTGCTTGCTGAACTTTTTGCAGTATTACAAGATCTTGAAAGTGTATCACTTGTCATCTTTGTCGCCGTGGTTTATCTCCCCTAATGAATACTGCTCAGTTAATTTGTGTATGTTTCATTCTTTTGCATTCCAAGTGAAACACAGAGCTTCAAGCCTTGAACCTTGAGCTGCAATCTACGAATGTTTGTTATACGATTCTCTCTCGCCAAATGCAAGATGATGTTACAGGACTGGACTACACTGACTCCAAGTATAGAAATAGGAAGTGAAGTGGTAGAGCACGTTGACCGCTTCACTTATTTGGGAAGTACCATCAGCCCCAAGGGGTTGATCTCTAACGAAATCTCAGCTCGGATTCAGAGGGCTAGTTTTCATATGCCAGTTTACGCCATCTCGGGCGTAGACGTCATACCCGGCCATCGACCAAAAGGCGTGTGTACTGCCTAGCAGTCCGTTCTCTCCTCCTTTATGGCTGTGAGACCTGGCCACTGAGAGTGGAAGATATGAAAAGACTAGCTGTCTTTGATCATAAGTCCCTGCGCTCTATTTCCCGTGTAAAGTGGCATAATAAGGTGAGCAATACTGAGGTTAGGCGTCGAGTTCTAGGCAAACAGGGGAAATCAATCGACGAAGTCGTGAAGTTACAAAGACTGAGATGGTTAGGACATGTGTTACGTATGCCAAGTCATCGCCTTCCTCGACCGACGGTCAATGTTACCTGACATAGGACTGGTCAGGTTGGCAAAGATTCAGTGGTGGTTAAACATGGCTTTATCAGTCAATGAAATCCACAACAGTTAGTTGAAACCACGTAGGAAGGTGTAGACTTCCTGGTTTGGGTCCTCGGGACGGTAATGGTTGGAAACAATTGGTGATATAGCTCAAAATCGTTCTCAATGGTGCATATGCATCCACTCCTTGTGACTTATAATTTCCAATGAAACTGTATTGTTCTTCGTTATTACTATTCCTTTGTCTCACACCTCTGTTTATTGTCTCTGTTGAACTGCTGTACATCGGTGCAAAGTTCTATGTCGAAAACAGACAGATAGACAGTCAAGCCTTGAACTTTGAAGTTTAAGTAGTGGAGGAATTTGTTTAGACTCATACGCTATCCTTCCTCTTTACCGGCCTTGCTGACGCCTTAGCAAGGTTTAGGAGCGTTTCGGCTGGCAAGTGAACTCTGGACTACATGTGTCATTGGCTAGCATTCTATCAGTTAATGTAGTATTCATCTTTTAATTTTAAATATCAATTTTCGTTGGTGCAACACAGGCATGAATGTTATATACATGATAATAATAAGAACAATATGAATGTCAGAACAATTAAAGAGAATCAAGGAATAACATTATGACTAATGAGAAATTTCATCGAACTCACTTTGCAAGCGTTCATCATATATTTCTTCCACCTTTTTGAGAGTATAATAAATACTATCTGTGTGTGACAAATTATCGAGCCTATTAAATTGCAAAATATTTCAAACTCTACCCACACCGAAAAGTGACAATCCAGAACAGTTGGTATGCTTCCTATCTACACTTCTATGTCACATGTATACCACATAACTGCTTCCCTAAACAATTAAGAGGATAAGTAAACGGTTAACAACGTAGAGACTGTGGTGTGATTTCCAGAATTTGTTAGAAATCCACGACAAACACAGACGCAAATTAGTTACTTGATAAAAATTTATTTATGGTGAAACACCGTCAGCTGTAGTTGGTGTTTTTTAGGGCTTATCATAATTGTAAAACTTTGTCACTGTGGTGGAATGTAATTTCATATTAAATAAGTTTATTTTAAATATCACTTAGTGATGCAGTATTAACAATTGGATGACTTTCCGAGCAATTATTGCTCATAATCATATCAAAGGGTTTCACAACTTGTCTTATATATATTCTCTATTTCTGTCTCTCCAACTTCCCTTTGTTGTTTGTTACCACTCTATATCTCCGGCATAGGCGTTGCGTCACTTCGATTGCACGTGTGTGGTGTTGAATCGATAAACAAAGCTTCAGGGATTAACCTCTCTCCACCTAACTGTGTTACTTTTTGATATTTTCATTCTGGTCCACCCTATCTTGTGATTACATGCGAATGAATACAATCCAATGGCTGACCTTTCTTTTCGGTCATTCAACTTACCAGGGTCAATCACTTTAGGTCTAGCTAAATTGTCCTAATAATCTAGTTGACCTCAATGTACTAGTTTGACCCATTACATGGTATTTGGTAAATCATAATAATTTTCTTAATTGGATCTGTTGGGTCTTTAGTCCGACAAAGTTTATCTCTGAGAGATTTGGTTGGTTGGTTTAAATGCTACACTAATTTCAGCCAGACTGAGAATCCTTTGTAAGGTGTCTAACGTTCCTTTTTTATGCGCCAGTACTACAAAGGCTTTAAATTTGATATTATTTTCGTCAATTTTGTTTCTAATCCTATTTTTCCTATGGTTCCTAATATATTTCTGAATAAATTCTGGTGAGCAGTTATTCACTAGTAATATTTTCGTTATTTCGTTAGGCTCTTGATCCGATTATGTAGACATTTACCTAAACCTACCTTCACCGATTCTCGATGGGATGAATTAAAGTCTAAGCATTTATTAGTGTGTGTCAATTTCCTATGAATACTAGTATCTAACCCCACCATCTTGTTTTCGTCTTATTTTACAGTCTAGCCTGACCAACTCACCCAATTGTGTCCAGACATAAGTAGGTGGGTGGAACAGGAGGATTTGAAACCGAAATCTGTTTGACCGAAAGTCATTTGATTAGATCAATAATAAGCCATATATGTAAACATGTACTATTTATGAACCTTCGCCGATAATCTCTCATTTCTTCATTTAGGATCAAAAATTGGGTCATTGATTTCATTAACTGTAACACCATGTGATAAAACCCCTTGCGCGTTATATAAAGGTCATAATTCAACAATTACAATAGAATTCAATACAAGTGAGTCATTGAGTTTCACAAACTTTATTTATATTTTTCAACAATTTAATGGTTTACATAAATATTATCTCTAAGATAACAACGAGTAATCATATAATGTGTTGATATAGCACTGCATCTCTATGAGCCACTACGATTTAAAATAAAACAACATATGATAGAGCAGTTGGGTAGACAGAAGAGCAAAAATGTAGTAAACCTACGCCTTAGCATAATTTCAATGTATTAGTTTACCAAATCAGAGTCTGAAGCCAGTAGGCAACAAGAAATACATTCATAAATATTTATTCAGGACTGTTGTGATTAAGGTGGTTGGAGGCCAGTCGGCAGGAAGCCCAGCCTGACCTAGGTTTCGTGTTAGTTGGCACTCATCAGTCACCAAGGCATATCTGCAATCTTGAAGGAACTCATGACGCTTCTAAGCTTCGAACTTGTGTTAGTCCTACAGGAGGTCAGTCGTAAGCTGGAATAGCTCAGGAGTAACGCCTCCCTGGCGACTGCAGCATTGTGTTGACATGAATTCAACAAATTCGCCTACTCAGCTAAGACTGGTAGTTAAAAAAAACTATGCTGATTATTCGCCTAGGAGCCGTTGACTTTCCCTCAGAAGTAGGCAAAATTAAGCGGAAGAATACACAGAGTAAATTAACGAGTTACATGATAGTGATAGGTTTGAAAAGTTGGTAATCACTCATATCAACCAGTAGTTGTTGGTGAATTTCTTGAAGCCATCTCAGTCATCAAAGCTTTCAGGTGTTATCATATCGAAATATATTCTGCATCGATGAGGAGTATTCATTTTTCAAGGATAATTTACAAGGTTATCGGCAACATCTGTTCCACGAATAACCTTTTTCATTGCATAAACTCCATCTAAGTCACACACGCACACACAGACGTCGTCCTTTATGGATATTGCAACTCATCAATCTCCAAATAAGCCACATATTTATGTTACTAGTAAACGCTTAGGCTGTTCAACAAAACTCATGATGCAGAACAACTGTAAATGTATAAAAGTTGATAATTGGATGATTGTCTAGGCTACAGAAGTACAATAATCAGTCTTCATGAACTGGGGACGACTTGGAGAAGCAACAGTTTGATGTGAAACTCATTCATCATTAAAATTATTACATATGCATATCTTACTGGTAAGTATGATCACGAAAATTTTCAACTGCCTTATGCAAAAAAATTATTTCGTTTCACTCTTTAATATGGCTTCACGTCGTTCGGAAAGAATAAAGTATGCCTCAGAAGATGACATGTAAGTTTATCTTCAAGTTAAGCTTGGAAGAGCAGTTTAGTATTAAAACTGAACAGTTTTTTGAGATTTCTTTGAATTTATACCAAAAATTAGCAGCAAAACTCGCAACTTAGTCTCCGTGATTTCTATTTTCTACACTTTTCTTTCCACAGGCGAAACGGTTAAAAATGGTCGTATCTCTGTGCATGGAGTACTTGCTCATGTACCAGTCCCATTTCCTCTTGATAATTCAGATCTGTGTCAATTCGTCAGTCCAACGTGTCCTCTGATCAACTCTATACCAAAGTACACACATACATATACAATGTTTGTTAAAACCAGCTATCCATCGGTAAGAGACATGTTAATTTCTTATATATATATATATACTGATCCAGTCAAGTCAAAGTATGAAAACCACAACATTCAGAGTATATGGAATACACTGACAATGCGTGATATATAGCACAACCGCTCCTGATCGATAGCTGCTACCTTGACGTGGTAGTCGGGCTTGCACATCGCAATGACCCAAGAAGCTACACTGGCTGGAACCAATGTTCCTGCAGGTCCCACCATGCCAGGAAAGTTGTCAGGATAGCAATTAGACTAGAAGCAGTTACCGGCATAGTGTAAGAATTTTATTTTACACTATGCAGGGGATCTCTGGGCGAAGTCGTACTGCTGGCGAACAGGGATGTAACAACAGTGAGGTGTTTCTCTCAGATGACCAGGATTCCAGCTATGCTGTCTCTCCACTCTGGAGAGGTCGACCCCAACAATTGTACATCCCGACTCCCCTACGATGGTCCGTAACCGGCCGTAAGTTTACTAATACGGAAGCAAACCAAGAAACCAGTTCATACAGGCAGCTTGTGACCGGCCTCAAGCAGTTGTCCCCTGGGCTCTGTGTTCACGCAACACTAATGCTCTTTCTGTTTCAGGTACCCAAAGAATCAAACAGCTTCCACGGTGTGAGAAGCCGGGAAGTAACAACCTCCCACCCACTTCCAAGTTCACATGAAGCCTTCCAGACAGCACAACCGCCAGCCACTGCCACGGTCGAGTAACTGTCTTCTCATCTGGCTTGGTGGACCCTGCTTGTTGCGACTCAAACTCCAGGTAACTTCCTGCATAGCACCAGTCCCTACTGAGCATCAGAGTAATTTTAAGGTGTTGGTTTGAAGAGATTTGATTGGTTACAAGTTTGATCACGAGATGACATCAGTTAAAGAACCACTGGAAATTTTTCGGAGTACTGGACAACCGTTTCGTCGTAATTCGGGACTCGGCTAGAACCCCAGTGGCGGTATCACTGCAGAGTCCCGAACTAGGTCGAAACCACTGGCTACCCACTACTCGCTGTTGGTTTTCCAATGGTTTTGCAAATGATGTCAGTTCATGATAAAACCTGTTACTAAACAAATCCTTTCACACCAACACATGAAAATACTGACAGTAGATAATCATATAGCGTTGAGTGACCTACAACCCCAGAAATGAAAAAGGTTTCTTCGGAGAATCTGAAGACCATTGGTTCCACATTTGACGTTTCATTAAGCTTGAGATTACCTTAACAGATTACCGCTACTTCAAGCATTATTTGGCTTCAAGATAACAAACATTATTGTTTTATTTATATTTCGACGAAGGTAATCACTATTTGAGACAATCACAACTGAAATTGTGGGATATTAACACTTTTCAGCTAACTAAATAGACATCATAAAATCGACGGATTTGGAAATCCCCGAACTTTTAGAATCAACAATGGTTGTCGTATGAACACAAACGATTCTCCGTAGAAAATTTTTTTTCGAAGATTTCATTATCATAGTAGTACCAACGCATATATATATATATATATATATATATATATATATATATAGTCAATAAAAAACAGTTTTCCTGTGTGTGTTACGTTATACACATTCCCAGTGAGAGGGTATACTGAAGTCTGATAATACAAAAACGCGACTACCCGTCTAAACAAACCAGGTGTTTACATCACTTATAAAAATAAACCTAATTTGCTACATCAAAGAATGATGATAGAGATTAAAATAATAATAATAATGTGCTAAAGGTTTCGAACCTCATTTATACCGATGATTAAAATGATAATCAAATATTCATGGCCATATCAATAACAGAGGTATTAATATGTGTACATATAGACAATGGAATGGCAGTCACCTCTCTATCTCAACTTCATCGACTTCGAGAAGGCCTTCGACAGCGTTGATCGAGAGGTCATATGGCAACTACTTCGCTACTACAGGGTCCCATCGACAATTATACATCTCATCCAACAGTTATACGACAATGCTGTATGCCAAGTAATCCGCAACGGGAAACTTACGGAATCCTTCGAAGTGAGGACGGGAGTGCGACAAGGCTGCCTACTATCACCAATGATCTTCCTGATTGCAATCGATTGGATAATGCGACAGACAACGGCAACCAACGAGGGAACAGGCATAAAATGGACTGACACAAAAGACTTGGAGGATCTGGATTTCGCCGATGATATATGTCTGATTTCCCACAAACTGGAAGATGTGCAAGTGAATAGCAACAAGTTGGCAGAACAAGCATCAAAGATAGGACTTCACGTGAACATAGATAAAACAGAGGTGATGAAGATTCCTAGCCAACATCAACAACAACAGACAACAATCAGCCTGCATAACTGGGAAGAACCTGAAAGAAACAACCTCCTTTACCTACCTGAGAAGTATCGTTTCAACTACAGGCGGGCGGAACTGACGAGGATATCAAAGCCAGAATAGGGAAAGCAAGACAAGCTTTCATTGCTCTCAAATCTGTGTGTAGGTCAACAGCACTCAGCATCAGAAACAAGATCCGGATTTTCAACTCCAATGTGAAGTCGGTGCTACTATACGGATCAGAGACTTGGCGCGTCATAAAGAGCATCTCAAACAAACTTCAGACCTTCATTAACAGTTGTCTTCGCTCAATACTCAAGATCAGATGGCCAGTCAGAAGAGATCAGCAACAAGGATCTCTGGGAGCGAACCAACCAGGTACCGATTGCGAAACAAATAGGCAGGAAGAAATGGAGATGGATTGGCCATACGCTGAGGAAACCATCAAGTGACATCACTAGACAAGCCATTGCTCGAGTGGAACCCGAAAGGGAGGCAGCGAGTTGATCGTCCAAGGGTGACTTGGAGGAGGTCATGCGAGGAGGAGATGAAAGCATGTGGACAGACCTGGAGCGGGGTGAAAAAGTTGTCAGAAAACGGAAGGCAATGGAGATGCGCAGCTGAAGCCCTATGTTCCTCTAGGAACCAAAGGATACAATAATAATAATAATAGACAATTCAATAAATAAATAAATTAGGTCAAGTCATAACAGTTACGTGAGAGAGTCAGCATCCAATTTTCGGCAGTGAATGCTGTGGCTAATAATTCTGGGGAATTACCTACCTCTACACTACTATTGTCAACACAGGACTTTTCTCCTAGGATAGTCAGTAACAGACGAATCGGTGAAATTCGTGTATTACTCTTACGGTTTAGCTACAGTATCAGTCATTCCGCGTAGCAATCCTTATTTGCTACCCAAAGTACATAAACCAGGACTTCCTCTTCGCTCAGTCATAGATATGTCTAATTCCACCTACGATGAAGTTGTGAAATGGGTAGGTGAACTTCTCCAACCATTACACAAGCGGATATCTTCATGGCAAGCTTAGAGAACGGCCCACTAAAGGAAACCATCGAGAGTTTGTTTATGTATAAAAGATATATAGATGATACCTTCAATGTCTGTGAGGAAAACTCTTCAACGGCCGAACTTCTTGGAATATTTAATGGTTCTTACCCATCTTTGCTTTTCCCGGTCGAAGAAGAGTCGCATTCCTCGTTTCACTTCCTTGACGTTAAGCTAGATAGAAGAGAGAATCTAACGCTATTAAGGTCGATTTACCGAAAGCCAACATTCACAGGGCAGTACACTAACTTCAACAATTGGGTACCTTTAGGGAGAAAGAGAAATCTTATTCATTCCTTATGCTCCAGAATTCGTAAAATCTGCTCTACAGAGACAATCGGTAGTGAACTAGATAACCTTCGATCAAATCTCCTTAACAATGGATATCCTACAAGGTTTATTGAACGTAACATCAAGAAAGAATCCGCCCCTAGACAAATCATAGTGCCAAAGAAAAAACTGTTTATGAGTCTTGTATTCAAAGATGACACCATTTCGGAATTGATTAAAAATCGTTTATCTGAATGCATTAAACGCACTTTTCCTGCAGCTGACTCGCAACTAATTTTTATTAACCGAAACATGATTAGACAATGCGTCAAGGATAGATTGTCGCTTATGCTCACATATATGTGAATTTACTCTTTTACCTGCTCCTGTGGAGCTGATTATATTGGACGTTGTAAGCGTACTCTCCGAAAACGTGTGGCTGAACACTATCCGGTTTGGTCAATGAAAGTCGAACGAAGAACTGCGAAGTCGTCCATTTGTGATCACCTGTTAGAGTCTGGTCATTTAGCCCCACGTGATTCATCTTTCAAAGTTATCTACATGGCAAAATCGAATCGCTCCAAAAGTTTGCGTTTTCTTCACTTAAGCAAAGCCGATGCTTTAACTACACATGAACAGAAACCTAAATTATGTGTTCAAAAACGTTTTGTCAAACCCCTTTCTTTACCTTCGTCATAGTAATGTTCTTTCTAGTTTTTATTTTATTTTACCACTTGAATTCATTCCACTTCACTTCACATCTTTATTCTTATCATAATCGTATTCCTAATTTTTTAAATTTTTAGACAACGCTTGACATTAAAAAAATATTTTCGGTATCAATTCACTTAACAACAATCTTTAATAATTTTGTAATTCATCCACTTCAACTCTACCCCTTATATTACATTTTAATTATCGTTATTCTTATCACGTATATATGTATATTACCACTTAGTAACCTTTTTTGTAATATAAATACGACTGTACAGCTTGAAAATGAAGTCGTTGAAAAGAAATTTCTTCGCTGAACAAAAAAAACTGTGTTTTTACACAAGAATGTGGCAAATCATAATGTTAAAGACGTCCTTGAATTCACTGCTAACGTACATGATATCAATGTAAATGGGAAGCAAATGCTATCCTTAGATGTCGCATCACTATTCACCAATGTACCACTTATGGAGACTGTGGAATTTACATGCCAACAGAAAATGAGTTCGACACCGGAATTCTACTTATTAGTTTGAAAGAGCTGCTTTGTAAGATGTGCTATGGATGTACACTTCACATTCAACAACCTTTATTGAAGACAAATCGATGGTATTGCCATGGGTTCTCGATTGGGTCCAATTTTGGCAGATTTCTTTCTTGCTAAGCTTGAAAATGGTCCATTGAAACAAGTAATGTATAAAACGGATTCTTATTTTCGTTATGTTGATGATACGTTTATTATTCTTGATGAGAATAAAATGTTAATAAAACTTAATGATGACCATCCATCGCTCATCTTCACTTGTGAAGAAGAACATGATGGTAGACTACACTTCCTTGATGTCCAATCAATCAAAATAGAGGATGGTTCACTCAAGAGAAATGTATATAGAAAACTTACGTCTGTAGGACAATATACACATTTCCCAGTTTTGTACCAATCCGATACGAAATCAATTTGGTCAGATGCCTCACGAATAGAGCGAGACGGATCAGTACAGATGACTCCCTAGAAAATGAATTAGGATACATCCAAAATACGCTGGTCCAAATGGGTTATCCCAGCGAGTTTGTAAGGAGACACATGAACACCAGGCATAGTAAAGAGAAACTGACAACAGTTAAAAAGAAACAACTGATCATCAAACTGCAATTTAATGGGGACGTGGCTACTGAAGTCCTACATCTAAGATTACCGAGAACAATAAAATGGACTTACACTGCCATCACCCTTTGTTTGTAACTTTCCAGCCGATCAATTATTATTACTCAAGCGAAAGACAAGCTACCTAGCTGTGCCAGTTCTATGTGTATCTACAAACTTAAGTGCTCCTGTGGAGAGAGCCATATAGAGCGAACAACTAGACAGCTCAACAGACGTATTAATAAGCATCTTCCTTCATGGTTCGGAAAAGGTCAAATAAAATCTATAAGAAATTATATTTTGACTCTGGATTGATAGCGGTCATCAAGTGGACAGAAGTAGTGCCTTCAAAGTTATCTATCACATTCCATCGAGCTCTTCGAATGAATTTCGACCCCCCCCCACCCTTCACACGTAGCCGAAGTTATCGGAATTCAAGCGAACAGTCCCAGTCTTTGCATACAAAAGAAGTTTGTTCTACCTTCGTCTCTCCCTTGCTTGTCTGGACAAATTCTAATCAACCTCCACCCTCCTCCACGCCCTTTCCTATTTTCTATTTCCTTCGTACTTATATGATATTTATTTGAACTCTGACTATCTGTCCACTTCACCTTTAGTATTACGTAACTGTTATGACTTGACCTAATTTATTTATTTATTGAATTTTCTACATATACATGTATTACCACCTTCGTAAATCCTATGGACGACGGAATAAAGGTCATTATTATTATGTTTTTATCATAGACACTTCGTTTTGAATGACATTCAAAACATTCCCCTCATTATTATAATAATATTCAGTATAGTAATTATTCTTATTGTCGAAGGATTCAGGAAAACAGTGCAATTTTTCCAAAGTGTTTCATATAGGTTTTCGATCATTTTTCCTCTTTCTTATGATGTTATTCTCTCTACGAGTTTATCTAGGATGGTTCTCAGACAAATTGCGCGAGATATTATTTCGTATTATGGTTATAACCGTTATACATCCAACACGGATTACACTAGTATAATAGATTGGCAGATAATCACTCAGGTGTATCAAATATTCCCATATTAAAATTTTCAGGAACACATTTAAACGAACACTATTGTGTTCAATTAGATCTCATCAGGCTTAACTCTAACATACATAACTTCACAAATAAAAATTCAAATATAAATCAATCATGGTGTTTTGTCTAGAGGATAATAAGATGGTGAATATAAATTGTGCAATTAGTCATAATATTAGCAATAATAATGATAATCATAGTAATAATAATAATAATGGTCTTATTAATAATAAGGATGAAAAAGTGAGGCAATCTGTGATAGCACGAATAACGAAAAACAGCATGATTAAACAAACAAATGTTCAGGTGGAAGTAGTCGATAAAGGCTAAGAAAAACAAACGAAGTGATTAAGTAATGCTGGATTGTAAGGGAAATAAATGAAACACGTTTTTAATGAAGATGTGATAAGACTAAGGGATGATAAGAGAGGGGTTGAAAATACAAATAAGGGGTGGTGTAGAAGTTACCAGTTGGTGATGTCTTAATAGGCCAAGGGAGGGATAATGACTATACGAACTTCTTTTGAATGGATAGTTTAGGTTTAATAGTTCGAATGCCTATCACCTCAGCTGTGTGCAGTAGACGAATACGAAGTCTATTAGAAAGATTTGGTGGGATACATGGCCACTATCAATTAAATGTGACAGAATTGAGCTACGGATTGTTTTTGTCTGTCCTTTGCCAAACCACGATGGGAGATGTTCACTAACACGTTGGCTAAGCTGTCTAGTAGTACGCCCAACATAACTGTCACCGCAGGTGCAGTTGAATTGATAAATACACATAGATGTGGCAAAACTATCAAGCTTATCCTTCGTCTGCGTCCCAATCATTCGTCGGCTAGAGAATGACAAACATAGGTGTACTGCGTAAAATGTTCTACGTATACTCCTTGAAAGTCTTTGGAATAGAATCTCACTAGATAAGTCACCATTAAATTGTAACTTAATAAATATAGTTTTCTTATGTGCAGTCAGAGTCTCAGGTTTTTTCTCTGGTGGTTTCTTATGTTTCTTTATGGAACTACTCGGATAGCCCATCTCCGTCAAAGAATCGTGAATATATTGAAATTCCTTTTGTAAGAAGTCATCCATACATATCTTTCTTGCTCTGCTCGCAAAACATTTAACAACATTCCTTTTATATTTAATGGGCACGTAACTAAGGAAGTGTGTGTATTGCCCTGTGAATGTGCTTTTTCTATACACACTTCTCCCAAGTGACCCATCTTCTCTCCTACTTAGCAAGACATCCAGGAAATGTAGTTTATTCTCCTGCTCCTTTTCACAAGTAAAATTAAGCGAAGGGTGGATGTTGTTGAATTTAAGTAACAATTCGTCTATGTTAACATTCTCATCAGCTAAGATAAATGTATCATCGACATATCGGTAATACATATCCAATTCCTTGATGGTATCCTTCAATTTCCCGTTTTCAAGTTTTGCGAGAAAGAAGTCAGCTAATATTGGGCCTAATTGTCAACCCATAGCTATTCCATCTACTTGTCGATAGTATGAATTATTGAAGACGAAGTGAACATTCATTGTGCATTTAAGAAGTAATTCTTTGAGGCTACACAAGGGGATTCCTAAGTCTAATTGCCTATTGGTGATTTCTTGACAAATATAATCAACTGTTTCCATAAGCGGTACGTTAGTGAATAGTGATGATACATCCATGGTTAACATGCATTTATACCTCACATTAGTCTCGGATATTTTAGAAATAAAGTCAAAGACATCACTAATTCAATGTTGCACGATTTCTCTGTGCAAAGGACCCAGAATCTTAACTAACCACTTCGCTGTTCCGTGAAATGGAGCATGTCTTTTAAAATTCTTAGAATTAGGATAAATCCTCATTCGTCTTAACGACCTCCAATATAGTTTGGGATAACGTTCGGTTTCAACACCTTCCTAGAAAAATTTCAACGATGTTTTCGCTTCAGCGAGCCTTGCACTAAACTTCAGGTACTCATTGAGTGACTTAAATCCAATAGGATCCCCGCGAGATTTCAATATGTTAAGTATTCCCATTTTACTATGGGAAATTGAAAAATTGAAATCTCGCTGGGATCCTATGGATTTAAGTCACTCAATGAGTACCTGAAGTTTAGTGCAAGGCTCGCTGAAGCGAAAACATCGTTGAAATTTTTCTAGGAAGGTGTTGAAACCGAACGTTATCCCAAACTATATTGGAGGTCGTTAAGACGAATGAGGATTTATCCTAATTCTAAGAATTTTAAAAGACATGCTCCATTTCACGGAACAGCGAAGTGGTTAGTTAAGATTCTGGGTCCTTTGCACAGAGAAATCGTGCAACATTGAATTAGTGATGTCTTTGACTTTATTTCTAAAATATCCGAGACTAATGTGAGGTATAAATGCATGTTAACCATGGATGTATCATCACTATTCACTAACGTACCGCTTATGGAAACAGTTGATTATATTTGTCAAGAAATCACCAATAGGCAATTAGACTTAGGAATCCCCTTGTGTAGCCTCAAAGAATTACTTCTTAAATGCACAATGAATGTTCACTTCGTCTTCAATAATTCATACTATCGACAAGTAGATGGAATAGCTATGGGTTGACAATTAGGCCCAATATTAGCTGACTTCTTTCTCGCAAAACTTGAAAACGGGAAATTGAAGGATACCATCAAGGAATTGGATATGTATTACCGATATGTCGATGATACATTTATCTTAGCTGATGAGAATGTTAACATAGACGAATTGTTACTTAAATTCAACAACATCCACCCTTCGCTTAATTTTACTTGTGAAAAGGAGCAGGAGAATAAACTACATTTCCTGGATGTCTTGCTAAGTAGGAGAGAAGATGGGTCACTTGGGAGAAGTGTGTATAGAAAAAGCACATTCACAGGGCAATACACACACTTCCTTAGTTACGTGCCCATTAAATATAAAAGGAATGTTGTTAAATGTTTTGCGAGCAGAGCAAGAAAGATATGTATGGATGACTTCTTACAAAAGGAATTTCAATATATTCACGATTCTTTGACGGAGATGGGCTATCCGAGTAGTTCCATAAAGAAACATAAGAAACCACCAGAGAAAAAACCTGAGACTCTGACTGCACATAAGAAAACTATATTTATTAAGTTACAATTTAATGGTGACTTATCTAGTGAGATTCTATTCCAAAGACTTTCAAGGAGTATACGTAGAACATTTTACGCAGTACACCTATGTTTGTCATTCTCTAGCCGACGAATGATTGGGACGCAGACGAAGGATAAGCTTGATAGTTTTGCCACATCTATGTGTATTTATCAATTCAACTGCACCTGCGGTGACAGTTATGTTGGGCGTACTACTAGACAGCTTAGCCAACGTGTTAGTGAACATCTCCCATCGTGGTTTGGCAAAGGACAGACAAAAACAATCCGTAGCTCAATTCTGTCACATTTAATTGATAGTGGCCATGTATCCCACCAAATCTTTCTAATAGACTTCGTATTCGTCTACTGCACACAGCTGAGGTGATAGGCATTCGAACTATTAAACCTAAACTATCCATTCAAAAGAAGTTCGTATAGTCATTATCCCTCCCTTGGCCTATTAAGACATCACCAACTGGTAACTTCTACACCACCCCTTATTTGTATTTTCAACCCCTCTCTTATCATCCCTTAGTCTTATCACATCTTCATTAAAAACGTGTTTCATTTATTTCCCTTACAATCCAGCATTACTTAATCACTTCGTTTGTTTTTCTTAGCCTTTATCGACTACTTCCACCTGAACATTTGTTTGTTTAATCATGCTGTTTTTCGTTATTCGTGCTATCACAGATTGCCTCACTTTTTCATCCTTATTATTAATAAGACCATTATTATTATTATTACTATGATTATCATTATTATTGCTAATATTATGACTAATTGCACAATTTATATTCACCATCTTATTATCCTCTAGACAAAACACCATGATTGATTTATATTTGAATTTTTATTTGTGAAGTTATGTATGTTAGAGTTAAGCCTGATAAGATCTAATTGAACACAATATTGTTCGCTTAAGCGTGTTGTTGTAAATTACTTATATATATACAACCAAAATACATGCTTATGTCCAATCACATTTAAACACTTCACGTAGCTATTTTAGGCGGAGGTTCAAGTCTTTTGTTCTTTAACACATAGTTTAGGATGCCTGTGATTAATCTCCCAAAAGGCTTCCATTACCGCGGAGAACGTTGAATAATATTTATGTGAAATATTTGTGAAACAGTCATTTATATTGATTTTGTGACCTGATAGTAATAACTGCTTTGCAAGAGATGATGCTGGATTTCCATTCAGATCAATTGCATTCGGATTTTCTATATGTTTTAATAATCATTTTGGAACTTGTTCTTTTTGGAGACATTTGAACATTGTATTGGTTCTACCAATATAAGTGTCATCGCAACTGCAGGTGAAGAAGATCTAATTGAAAACAATATTGTTCGCCTAGATGACTTGTTATAATATTAATAATGGAATAAATGAATTAAATGAATAACTAAATAAATAGAGGTTCGATAGACAACTGTGAACTAGATGATGAGAAAATAAAATACATTCGAAAATGGGTCGTTTGTGAATATAATATGATGGAAACATAGGATGAGTGAAATGTCAAAGTAGTAGGCTAGATAAAATGTTAGAGTATGACAACAGAAAGTGAAATCGAGCATGGAATAAAAAAAGTTAACAAAGTTGTTATACGAAAGCAATCGTACGAATTGTTTTTCTACACAAAGTTTTGGCTTTATGTTATGTATTGCCAAAGCCTCTGCTATGCAAAGCAAATGCACTTGTGTCCCTTTCGACAAACTTTGTTGGACTTTGTAGGCTATATTAAGCGATGTGTCAGATACTGTTAAATACTGTCAGTATCTACAATATGTTGCAATATCGATGAATTAATACGTCTACGTTCTCTTTCGCTCCGCTAGACTAGGAAGTGCTATTGAACGCGGCGGTATATGTTTCTCGACGACCCTCCTATGTAACTAGCTCCGCAACAGCAGGTGAACATATAAATACACATGGAATTAGACAGTCGAAGTAAAATTTCCTTGACATTAATGTTATTCAGATATGATAGAGAAGATTTGTAGCTCAGGTGGATAATTTTGATGTGGTTTCGTTCTCTGAGCTGGATAGTTAGTTTGCGAAGCTTTCATCACCTTACTGGGTGACATCTTCAGCGCATACTTCAAAACTATCCAGCTCAGAGAACAAAACCACATCAAAATTAATGTTATTCGTAAAGTGGCAGCAAGTGATTTCGTCAGACGATTTTTATGTATCTTACTCTCAATGTCATTCACGTTGAGAATTGAAACACTTTATTGCACAGTATTTCCCTTATGGTAAACTAATAGCATTCCAAAACAAGGGAGTTGCTAACTAGTTTTGTGCTTTAAGCCATCCTAATAATTCACTATAATGTTCCAAATGTCCATGGAATAGTGCTTATTGTTCTTCATACAGTCAGGGACGTGGACTGAAAGTCAAATATGCTTGTCGAAGACAACTATAGCTATATAACTATGTCAAGCAGTATAAGTAGCCTAGTTGAAAACCATTACTCCCGTCACTCAGCATTCTGTCTGTGCATATTTCACCTATCCTACATCAATCAACGGTTACTAAGATATGTGTTTTTTCTACACATCTGCTTGACTTTCCTTAATTTGTCTCTTCTCTAACATAACAGGTCGGAATAAGTGAGTGACTACTTATTAGACAATACAAAAACCTATTGTATATTTATCATAGTCGACGTCACTGTATAGCTTTAGCAGGCTGTTTGTTATTCTCAGTTAAAAATCACTAAGACCTAACCCCAGCGTGATGTAGTAGAAACTGGATGATATCCGTGTCCACTTAACTTTCACTAGTGCAGTAGAAGAAATGTTAAAGGCATTATCGCATATACTACTGATGACCTGGGCCATAGACAAGCTAAACGGTCATCCAGTGTTAAGATCACTTCAGTAGGGCTGGCCACGAAGCACTACTGCTTGATGTTAGCGGTATCCAACTACTCATATCAGTCAGTAGAATGTGGCATCATGAGTTGTGTATGTCTGCTCTTTTGATCCCCATTTATTTATGAAAAGGCCTTCAACAGCGTTGACCGCGGGGTAAATTGGAAACTACTTCAACGCTATGGCGTGTAGTGCCACAAATCTTCATCAACTTCATTCAATAGCTAGCCATATGGCAGTGTCAAGTGTCAGGTGATCCACAACGAAGAACTCAGCTAGGCCTTTGAAATGAAGACAGGAGTAAGACAAGGCTGCCTACAGTCACCGATGATCTTCCCAATTGTGACTGACTCAGATAATGTGTCAGACTGTGAATGGGGAATACATTGAGGCGATAAGGAGACCTTAGAAGACGTGGACTTCATGGATGATATATGTATAGTGTCACATAAACTCGAAGACTTGCAGGCGAAAACCGACAGTTTAGAAGAAGAGACTGGCAGCGAAGGCAGGTGAACATAGAGAAGACGGAGGTGATGAAGATAACCAACCAACCAATATCAACGAGAACCAATCAGTGTCAACGGAAGACACTTGAAAGAGGTCACTTTCTTCAATTATCTAGGAGGCATCGTTTCGACTACAGGTAGGTAGCATGAATAAGGATGTCAAAGTTAACCAGGATTGGAAATAGAAGACAGACCTTTTTACTCTGAAATCAGTTTGGAAATCTTCTGCAGTCCACAGCATAAGTAACAGGATTTTCGGATTTTCAAAACCAATGTCGAGTGAGTCAGTTCTTCTATGTAGATGAGAAACTTGACACAAAAAGAATTTCCATTTGGTTGTAGACTTTTATCAACAGCTGCCGCCTTCACTAGCTCAATACTGAAGATCAGATAGCCGGCCAGCCAGAAAGTATTATCAACAAGAAACTATGGTGACAAACCAATCAAAAACCTGTTGGTCATTAAAGATGCCGAAGGAAATAGAGATGGATCGGAGATTGTTGAGTGAAATCACCCTCCAGAACATCTGTCGAACGGGTAACTTACGAGTGGGCCGTCCGAGGGTGACATATATATATATTATCAAGCAGATCAGCATATTCTAGTCTGAGTGATTTTGGTTACTTTCAAAAGAAACTGTGATAATGTACGTTTTATGTCGACTTGTGTAAGTTGATAATTTGATTCTGTAAATGTATGTAGATGTTTTTTTAACTGTTATATATATGTTTACATCTTTTCAGATAAGTTTAGTCGTTAGATGGGAGTTGAAGAATAGTTCAGATGAAGATATAGTCTGTGTTGAATTCCCCGCTCAACTTATATAAAATAACAGTATACAAATGATGCAACAGTAGATACACTAGTGTGACAGTGTGTGTGTGTTTATTTGCATGAAATATCTCGGAATCTCATTATGATTGAACTGAATCTCTAAAATGTTGCCTTTTACTTCATGAAATTAACTTCATCCTAACTGATTTATTTCTTTTCCATTCTCTGATCAGAAATCACTATTGAATTTACCATATATACATGTATTTTTAGTGTACTGTTTCACTCTTTTTATTGTATTATACAAGAAAAATAAATAAATGAATAGATATCTAATGATTCGAACAAGAGTTTTATTTTTGTGTTCGAGCTAATAGGATTGCTACCACCGATAAGGAAGTGCAGAAAGCTCATTGCGATACTCAAGGTACTCACTCTACTCGGATTCACACAGTCGGGTGAGAACTTATGAAGAGTTGTGATCTGAAGTGATGACAACCAGTAGTATCCATTGGGATGCCCACTTTCCCGATTTCTGTTTAATTTCATCATGTATGCATTAATGGGAGTGACCTGTTGCCTGTTGAAGGCCTTGTCGAGTGTATGGAAGATATCGTCCGCCTAGGTGAAGACGCTGATAAAATGCAGAGTCCTCTGAACACCTTGAGCAGAAATCTTCGAATGCTTGGCATACAATTTGTTCCTGTTAAATGCAAGATGATGTTGCAGGACTGAACTGCACCGACTCTTTCCTTAAAGACAGGAAGTCAAGTAGGTGAGCGTGTTGACCACTTCATTTATTTGGGAAATTGTATCACCCCAACGAACTAATTGCTGACGGAATCTCACCATGGATACAAAAGGTACATTGGCATTTCTACGAGTTGATCACGGATTGATATCAGTTAGAGAACCATTGAAAACCAGGGAGTACTGGATAGCTGCTGTTTCATCCTAGTTTGGGAATCATCGGCAGTACGCACCCACTGGGAATCGAACCCAGGACCTTCCGGTTACAAGGCAAGCTCGTATACCATTCAGCCACTGGGACCCGATTCAGTGGCTCATGAATTCTAACTTCTACCAATTCGTGATTTAGCGCGACCCCAACCATTGTCGTTGGTGGGACATCCATCCACATACGTGACATCTTATTGGACCTCACTGGTCACGACTTCTCACTAGAACTCAGGAAACTCCAACCTGTAGCAAGTCACTAGCGAGCATCAGATTAACTTTCTATAGTTTGGTTTGTAAGGGTTGACACTGACATTTCCCAGCCTACATCATCTCTCGTGTAGACGTGATATCAGGCTATCGATCAAAGGACGTTTGTATTGTGCAGCAGTTTCATCCGTCCTCCTTTTTGGCTGGGAGACATGGCATTGAAAGTGGATGGTATAAAAGGGTTACTTTTCTCTGATCATAGTTATCTCAGTTGTATCTTCCACGTTAGGTGGTATAATTTGGTGAGTCATGTTGAGGTTAGGCATCGAGTGTTCAGTGAAGAGGGTAGCTTGGTCGACAGTGTTGTGAGGCCGTATCGATTGAGATAACTACGACACGTGCTGAGCACTCTCAGCCATCGAAATCCTCGACAGGCAACGTTAGCTGAACTATTGGTGGTCAAACCGAAAATTCAAATCAATTCATGAAATCTATGACAATAGATCTGAACCAGCCATATATGAATGTGTAGACTAACTCTTTGAGGTCTCCTCTATTCTAAGAACCAATGACTGTAGACTTTTGGGGATATGACTCGAAATCGTTCTCAATGGCGCAAATGCATTCACTCCCTCACATTTCTGTTAATTATGGTTCGTTTGAATCTCTTTTGTTTTTCATTGTGTGCTACATGGAGTGTAGGGACTTGAACTGCTGCACTTCTGTGCAAAGTTCTCTATTGAAACTCAGCCAGTTGCCAATAAATATTGCCTTACCGGAAAAGGAAACTAATAAAGGTAATCACAGAAATAGACTTAATGTTGTGTTAATCAAGCTGTAGTCAGCAAGATCTTTGTCGTTTATAGTTGCCCAAGAACTCTATGTGGTACGATTAATTCTATTGAGAAACGGTATGTATTTGAGCTACATATGCAGGGCAAACAATCCTTTTTGGTTTGCTTGGTTGATTATACATAATTCCCCAACAAGGAGATAAATTCCGATGTCGTATTTACTAATTGTTACCCTTTTTGAGAAAACAAATGGATTCTGGGTCGTTGACACAGACAATCAACTGTTTAATCGTCAATTCCATCTGGGATTATCAGTCAGTAAATCTACTGATTCAGGATACAATTTAGGACAAAATGTGGTATGGTGTTCATCTAGATATAACAGAGAGAATATGTAGCTCATTTGGGATGATTTTGGTTTACTGATGAAAAATCCCCATCCGGACATTAATGAAAACAAGTAGTTCAGTGGAGAGGATTTTTCGGTGAATTCATCTTCCCCTTTTGCTGTACAATGCCAATTATGTACAATTTTTCATGAAAGATGGTAGTAAGAAGAGTGATGAACTGTTACAGACATATTTGGCAATATTATTCAATGCATAAGAGGAGTTGAATAAGTTAGTTAGTTAGCAGAGTTATGTAATAAGATGAATAACATAATGGCTGAATGGATTGTAATCAGGATGAATACAGAAACTAAGGAAAATATAAAATTATGTTAGAGTTGTAAAGAAATACCAAAGCTATAAGGAGTCAGGTAAACAAAATCAACCAAACAAATAAAAATCAAGTCAGTGGAAATCAACGATGAGGTTGTTACTATAATAGTGGGAGTGATTGAATAATTTTCGCTTGCACACAGAGTCATGCTTTTCTTACTGAGTGGTTAAGGCTTCAGCTTTTCTTTCGAGGATTGTGTTAACAATCACGAATATCCGAAATGGTTCTGGAAAGCATTGTAGCGGAATCGTATATATCCTAATACGAAGTCACTTCAACGTCATCCAGGGAATTACGCTTACTCCATTCGATCACGCATCCCAGAACTCAAAAGGAATATTTCCCGTAGATCCTCATACCCCTATCCAAATAACTCCCCCAATGAATCTGAGAGATTCACGGTATACGTTAATATTTTTGCCAAGAAAAAGTCGCGGTCTGCTGTCGATCAAACCTGATAGTAAATTTCCTGAAGACCATACGAAATTTGTGTTCAACTTCTCTTTAGTATCTCTGTCTGATTAGAGGCCTGTTGAGTTTGAGGACAGATACTTATGGATGACATTAGCTAGTGGTCACGCTATACTGTTAACTGGCACAAGTTGGAATTCATGAGCCTTCGGATTGGGTCCTAATGGCTGAATGGTCTGCGGGCCGGCCTTGTAACCGGAAGGTCCTGGGTTCGAACCCCTTTAGTGGTTGCGTACTAGGATGAGTCCCAAACTAGGGAGAAATAGCTGTCCAGTACTCTTAGCTGGTTTTTCAATGGTTCTGCAACTGATGTTAGCTCGTAATGAAATACGTAGCCAATCAAATCAAATCCCTGCAAACAAACACTTAAATGGCTAAAGATTTAGCAATGCGAAGAAGACGAAAGAGTACTGACTTTGACAGGTTGTTCTTCACTTTGTAGGGGTCGTCTGTTGAGATGAAATGGCCAGTATCGACAAGGTGTTCGATTATCTCACTCTTTATGCAGCCTTTATTGCCTTTCTGCAACCATAATCTGTTTTAGACAAAATATGCATCGAATGAACTGATATATGCACGTGGAAATGGTCAGATGAGAGATCTTCTCCTTTGAGTTTCTACAGTCCAATAAGAGAAACAGCAGGACTTTACTTTTAGCGTTGCTGTGGAGAATGCTCTCAAAGATGATGTAATTCATCTCTTAAGGATATCACAGGTTAAGTCTCTCTTAAAATCCGAGTTCATCTGTAGTTTTTTCATCACAGCAAACACTGTTTCCTTCCTCTGAACCTTTGGTTTGCTATTATTCTCAATGAATATCGGTGTGCATCTGTTTTGGATGACCATTTCTTTCACAAAGTGTATTTATACTTCTAAGGTTTCTGGGCTGCAGATGAATTGGATGCAAGTGGTAAGGGATTGATTTTTGTTCAACGAATATCCAACTGTATAAACATGTTAGCTGACCGTTTCAAATGGGCATTGAAACTGAAGCAAGGGCTGAGGGTGTTGTCTAAGACAATGAAAGCTTCACAATGAAACCCTCCAACTTAGAGAATTCCACTACGCTAAAGTGTTCATCTAATCTGCTTGTATCTGATATTTCTAGCTAGTGATAACACTTATCAGTTCACCAGTATTGGAGAATTATCTGTAGGCTAGTATTGTAACATCACGTCAGTCATATTATAGAATCCTAAACTTCATTTTCTCATCTCTAGGGTTACTATCCAAATACATGTTGGATCGTTCTTTAAATTTCAGGAAATATATTTCCTGAAATATATATATATATATATATATAACTCAAGCTGTTAACATACTGACCTATGTCTCCCTTCCTCAGTAATTATTACAACGTGAACAAGAACTACTTTCTGAATAATAATGTATACATGTTCTTGTGAAGTTTCATACACCGATTTCCGTCGATGAATCTGAACAAATCAGTGCCAGCACTCTATTTCATTGGTATCTACAATACTACTGGCTGCAAGGTAAGTATCGTCATGAACTGACATCGTAATTAAGAAACAAGAAACACTGAGCAGCTGCTTCGGCCTAAATTAGGACTCTCCAGCACGCCATACCACGTACTGAACCCAGAACCTTCACGTTACAAGCACAGGCCGCCGACCAATCAGCCAGTGGGTAAGAATCCAATGCCCTATAAATTCTAACCTCAGTCAATTCGCCAGTTATAATGCCTATTTGTTATCTCTCCCTAACATCACTGCTCTGGATTGAAGAGAGGGCGTTGACATTACTACGATCCATAATTTACCAAGTTGTCACCGAGACGACAACGGGTATCTCTTTATAGCCAAATTATGTACACTTTATCTTCAACGTACAATTTGCACAGACCTTCAGGTTTCGGTCTTTCTGCCTTACGCGTATTGTGTTTCTTTGTGTTCCTTTCACGTCTCTCAAGTATCTCCACAACGCTGTATCATTTACCTTTTCTGACGTCAAATCTATCTCTCTGCTATTTGAAGTTTTTATGCCGGCTGGTGAATGTCTCTTCATATACTACTGATAAATCTTATCAGTAGCACTCGCCATACTACAGCCGACTATTTAAAGCACACTGGTAGGCTATTCATACTCAAGATTATGAGTGAACCAGAATCTGAACGTATTCTATTATATCTGATGAATAGCCTTGTCTTATACTGTCTTATATACTACTACGATTGGGTTGGTTTCTCCTGAAAAAAAATTTTTTGGAATTAATTAGCCTTTGAAAACAGTCTACACAGTTGTTGAGAAGACGAGAGTGGCAGAATTGTCTACTTTCGGCAAAATGTGGTATCAAATTGGTAAAACACAAATGTCTTTCGTTAAGACTTTAATTTGAGAAAAGTAGTTGTATTCTACTTATTTCTGTCTTTATTTTTCGCTACTTCGTCAGTAGCTTACACTGTCAGCCATCTATCAGCACGCATTTTCCTTGAAATCCCACACTTATAACTGAAATCAGTACTGTGATGTGTAGTAAAGCAAGAGAGGGCTTAATAAATCTGAAATCAGGCTGTAAATCTACTGCACCCAGTACAGAGAACAAGATTAGTGTGGTGAGAGCAGGCTGCTAGCCGATTGGTTGGCACTAATCTACGTTAAGGTCTAGGTCACTAATATGGGCCGTGAGAAAATATGAACAAGCCTGAGTAAACAACCAATCAGAAGCCTGCGTTGTCTACCTAAACAACCAATCAGATGACTGCGCTTGTCTATAATAATGTTGTCTGAAATATGTATAAATACGTGTTGATTTTCATAATAAAACGATCTGTTGCCTGGCCCTTGTCTTCTGTTGTTACATTTGGTGTCGCTGCCTACCGACAAATGAAAAGCCTATACCCTGCAGCTTTTGATGGAGACATATGGATCTTCGGGCAGGACTTCAAGGCTTCTGCGCAGTTGAGTGGCGTTCAAGATCTGTCAGCGATGGAGTTGCTACTTGAGACGCTGCTGGGAGGTCGGGCGAAAGCAGCATATGAAGGTGTGGGCCGAAGTATGGACGAATGTTCGACAGGGTCAGGCAAACAGTTTCCAAAGTGGGAAGGACCATATGGTCACTTCGAGATGGGGTTACGCAGACACAGTCGCAATGGCGAACAATGAGAGGCGCGTGAACGTCAACGAGCTCCAGAAATGGATACAGCGAGACAAGCCAACGATGACGCCTGCACCAAGTAGATCAAGCCGACTTCAGTCGCACGTATTTGACGGGGGACGAGTGTGGTGAGAGCAGGCTGCTAGCCGATTGGTTGGCACTAATCTACGTTAAGGTCTAGGTCACTAATATGGGCCGTGAGAAAATATGAACAAGCCTGAGTAAACAACCAATCAGAAGCCTGCGTTGTCTACCTAAACAACCAATCAGATGACTGCGCTTGTCTATAATAATGTTGTCTGAAATATGTATAAATACGTGTTGATTTTCATAATAAAACGATCTGTTGCCTGGCCCTTGTCTTCTGTTGTTACATTAGGACTTTCAACACTAATGTTAAGTCATTCAGCGCTTATATATGTTTCAGAGACTTGATGTACTCGTCACCAAAAGTATTTCCAACAGGGTACTGCAGACTTGTGTCAGCCGCTGTCTTCGCTCGCTCCATATTGAAGATGAATTGACCAGTAGGAAAGAATTAGCAACAATCAACTCTTGTGACGCAACAACCAACAATCTTCATCCAAAATGGAATTCCAACAAGATTCATTGACAAATATGTCAAACCAAGAATTTGGAAGAATGAAACTTCACTTGTGCCGAAAAAGAGACTCCACATGAACTTGGATTTCAAGGGAGATTTAGCAAGCGATATTCTCGAGAGAAGAATCACATCATCTTTGAGAAGAACATACTTTGCAGCAACACTAAGAATAGTTTTCTTCAGTCTCCCACTGATCAGCAGAAACCTCAAGGACAAGATCCCGCATCTAATCACTAGTATGTGCATATACCAATTCAACTGCTGCGGTGGAGCCAGGCACACCGGTCGTTCGACGCGCACGCTGACCAAGAGGATTCAAGAACACTATCCAGCATAGTTGCGAAAAGGCAATAGTGGTGATAGAGAAGATCTGTAACTCAGCTGGATGATTTGCAATTAATAGTGTTCTCTGAGCTACGCAACTAAACCAACCAGCTCAGAGAACACTATTAATTGCAAAGACAATAGTGGTGCTATAAGGAGTGCGATAATTGAACACCTGATTAACACTGATCATTCCATTTCAACAAACGCCTCCTTCAAAGTAATCAGCAGAGTCAAGAATAACCTACCAAAGGCAATACGGTTTCATCTTCTTTGTGTCGCTGAAGCTCTGGTCATTCCCTTAGAAAAACCGGAGCTGTGCATACAAAAGAGAATTACTCAACCACTTATACTGTCATGGTAACAACTCTGTTGATTTTTTGACGACTTAATTTTGTTTGTTTGCCTGTTACTTTAATTGCTTATGATTCTTGTATTCATTTAGCACTCTTACGTAATTTTGTATTCTCTGCTTTGTTTCTATTTGTATCCTGAGTAAAACTCAATCATCAAACTATTCATATTATTACACAACTTCTTTTTAACAACTGTTTGTGACAAATCATCATCTTTGTTACTACCCTAACGCCATTAACACTCCATTTTTTTGACCGATTTTGTATTACTTAACTCCAATTACTAATCTTCATCTTTTTAGTTAAAATAACCATGACCAATTGTATTTTTGTTTGACAAACTAAATGTACACATGCATACGAAATAACTCATATATATTTGTGATTGTACATCTAAGAAAATGAATTCGCCGAAAAGAGACTCTTTGCTGAACTACGTGTTTTGTTTTCATTAACCAATTATCTATCGCACATGAGAAATATGAATAAGGAAGTGAAGATGGATGGGGCACAAGCTACGGGGACCTCTTAAAGATGTCGTGTGCCCGGATATTTGTCGAGTGTAACCTGAATGGGAGACTGGTTGTGCCTGGGTCCTAAAGTGACAAGTATGAGGTTAGGTGAGAGGGTGATGAGTGCTTATTGGAGATAGCGGAGCCATCTAAAGACGACTGCAGAGTACAGGATCAAATGAAGATGAACTGCTGAAGCTCTGTGTTTTCCTAGTAACCTAAGGGAGTGATAATAATAATAATAATAATAGCATGACAGAAATTCATCGATGTCCTCCTATGCAACCTGTATCATCATATACGCTCTTACATTCAATAAACTACACCTTTTGAAAAAGAACAGCAACAACCAAAAGGTCCTATCATTTTAAAAAAAGGGACAAATTATTGATAAATATCACATGAGTTTCCAAAAGGGGAGATCTGCATTCGATAAAAATGTATATGTACCAAGATTCCACACCGAAAATGAACATTTGTAAGCTGTCATGTGGTTTGCATAAAAATCGATATATATATATATATATATATATATATATATATATATATATATATAAATGATCACGTACATAGAAATGTAGAGAATATGAACCATTTTGATTTTTTTTCGATAAAAATCGATAATGTGCATTATAAAAATATAAGATATGAAATTTAATGCTAATTCAATGTATATGTATGTGAATAAGACCTAGAGAGGATAACAGAAGGGGAGGAGGGATAATACAAGCGGATGTCGTTTGTTTCGTGCTTTTTTAAAAAAAAAATATAAAACCTTAGGAATTTACTATTCTGCTGACAACAGCACCAGGAAAACTGTAGAGGAATAAGAAGATAATTAGACAGATGAGGAATATAATGAAAATTTTTAACAGTACCCATTTTAGTCGATATTTAACTAGATATCGCAGAGTATTTAATGGTCCAAGGAATTTCATGAATGTACTGTCCGGTCGACTGAAAAGCAATGAAACAGATGAGAAAAAATCAGTGGAAATACAATTATTTCAATTAAGTTACTTTTTCGTCAGTGGTTTAGGTGTGGAACGCCTGCCAACCACTCACATGGCTCAGGTTCGATTCCCGGCTTGTACACTGTAAAACCCCGCATATAACCGACAGTAAGCCGGCTAAGACGGCAAGGTTAGGCATCAGGACAGTAATTCCAACCGCCCCTCGTAAAACAGCGCCGCTACTTAAACTTCAACAAACTGAAACTTGAAACCCTATGTTCCAATCGGAGCGCAAATCAATGTTAAAACAATTAAATTAACTGAATTTAATTATTACATGTGAGTAAAACAAATACAGTGCTTATCGAATTAAAATTTCCAGACTTCAGGGATATATAACGAACTTCATATCATGAAAGTAACACCTGATTGATTTTTAGTTATTTGGTAGCTTTTGTTTTAATGAAGTCAAATGATCATGCTCTATATTCTCGAAATAATAAATCATTTCCCGCCAAACTATGACGATCTAGTGTCCATACGATTTCTGCTAGAAGTAATCATACTTTTATATATGTCCAAACCAATTTCACTTTTAACAGTTTGAAAAAATTTGAGCATTGGGTATATGATATTCATCATAATAAAGGTTTTTGTATTCCACAATGAAGGAATGAAAAACAAAACGATATTGTTTTTACTGACGTTTCGCTATTTAATGCTAATAGCTTTACCAAAGTAGTAATAATAAAACCTCAACTTATGTATAAGAACTTTTTTTGATGATGATGATGATGATTTACAGCTTGATTCCACACTGTATTTTTGGTACAAGTATGGAATTTTCAGCATGGATATCGGTAGCCCAAATTTTGCAGGCCGACCATAGATATCAGATGTGCGCCGGCGTGGGCTCGAACCCCGGACCATGTGCATGGTCAGCGAGAGTCCTAACCACTGTGCCACCGACGCACACTTCATCATCGTTCCTCAGCATAGGGTCAACTTCTCGTTGTCAAGGTGGCCAATTGGTAAAGATAATAAAACCAGGTGGGTGTAGATTGTTGGATTTGATAAGTGTGTAAAATTATAAAAGCAGCGTGTGTTTATACATTCGTGTTGATTTTATCATTTCATCAGGGACGAGGTTGTTGTAACCAGGTCGAATTCTGTTTAAGTCCATCATTCCTAGTCAGACAATTCGGATTCCACTTGATATGAAGTACTTCTGACACTAGACGTTCTTTATGATTTCTGAAATGTTCCTGGATTATTCCAGTATTGTCCTGATTCTATAGCGTGTGGACCTATGACCGGTGATTTTTCAAGCTTTTCTAGTTCAAATGGATTTCTCGGTGATCGAACAGATGTTCTACGATATTCATTTCTTCTGATTATGATTTCTCGCAATGTTTGTCCGATGTATATGGCTTCGCATTCCGAGCACTTTATTTTATAGACGCAATTAGATAGAGAATCTTTAGGGATTTGGTCTTATATGGAAAAGGCTGTTTCACAGTGTGTCTGCTGTTTTGAAGAAAACTCTATCTACACTCATTGATATGAAAGAATATATATCATGCCTGTTTACAGCTTATTTGTGTTCTTGGATTCAAAATCGAAGGGGACGCCCACTTTGACCGATTTAATGTTTATCGTAGTTCGTAGAATTTATGTTGTAAATGGTATTAATTTTACCTACTTTTCCTGTAAGATTTTTTGGTTTGCACAATGTCGAATGCATATTAGATAAAATGACGTAGAAATTTTAAGTAGAGGAAACATCAAAAATACTACCTAGGAATTTCTGGAAGGCTACTCCTCAAATGAGTCACCAGTTAGCAAACACATTAATTACAGACAAAATTTACTAGCTAATAGAAAGTAAATCACACGACAAGAAAGTTCGAATTCCAAGTCATTAAAAATATGATCAATTAAGATGTAAATTAACAACCAGTCACGACGGTGATTGCCATGAGATACAATTACATCATTCATGAAGAATTTAAGTAAGTTCATTTTCCACTAAAACTTGCGCTGAAGGAGGATGTTGTCTAGAAGGACGATGAAAGCTTCTCAATTAACTCATTAATCAGGTCAGAGAGCACAGCTAATTCAAAACCATTCACCTGAGCTACTAAGCTTCTTCATTATCTCAGGAAGTAAGTATATTCAAACAATAACGTATAATTAAAAAAATCACCAGGGTTATGTCAATTAGTCTGTAATCATGACCAGTAAGATACTGGGCGTATTTTATGTAGGCTGATTCTGACTGGTTCCTTTCCGTACTGGATATCGATCACCATATCACATTCTACACAACATTATTCTATCTGAAACATGCTTCTTTCAAAACATACCTACAAGCACATTGAAAACCATTCACAAATGAACGTGAGTATAGACGGTTAAAGATGGTGAAATTGAATCACAGTTTGATGGATTTCGCTCTGTGAAAGAATATTAGGCATCGCAATGATTTAAGCAAATCACCAACACACAGCTAACAACACCTATATTGCAAAGCTTGTGATCCCAACAGGATTCTTCAGGTTCATTAAGTAACTGGAGCAAGTTTCGGAACTATATGAATCAACTACTTGAAAGTTGAGTGTCTAGAGGAATAGAAGGATAACTTTCAAGTTAAAAAGTCTAATCAATTTATTGTTATTGTAATTATCATGGTTACGTTTTCAGATCTATTGACCGATAACAAATGTTACCAAATTTCAAATGGAAATCCTTGTCATCCAACCATAGGATTGTTTGTTTGGACAATATCGCCTGCAATACGTCGAAATATGTCTCAGATGAAGAAAATAGCAATCATGTTTTATTAAACTCTCCTCTTTTCTCTACGACTTTTTTTGGTCAAATGCCACTTTCAGTATTTAGCTTGTCGGGAATTGATTTGTTTCTAATTTGCCCATGTATTGATATCAGTCATAGAAACAATGAAAACTAGGGAGTACTGGACAGAAATTTCGTCCTAGTCTGGGACTGATTGGCAGTACGTACCCGTAGGGACTTGAACTTGAAACTGATTAATTCTCTGCAAACTAACATCTCTGGTTCAGCGGTAGAATACGCGCCGATCATGCATATGGTCGGAGTCTCTTGATCCCCGGCCGATGCACTCTTAAACCTCGCCTACCCGCTAGTAAGCCCAGTAAAGTGGAAGGACTGAGCTTAAAGTTAACAAGCCAATTGCATTAAAAACACAACTGCTACTGAAACTTCAAATCTGAAGCCTGAAGCCCTGAAACCGTATGTTCCACTTGGAACATAAAATAAATAATGACAATAATAAATCACTGGTGTCTACCTACAGAACGAAGACTCCTGGAGTTCTAGTGAAAAGTCGTGATCAGTGATGTCCCTCTGGTTGGGAGTTAGGACAAATACTCGCCAATGAAACTGGCTGGTGGTTCTGTCTGAAATCACGAGTCGGTAGAAGCTAGAATTTATGGACCATTCACTCGGTTCCCAGTGGCTCAATGGTCCTGTGACTGGAAGTCTCTGGGTTCGTACCTTTGTGGCGGGTGTGTACTGGCGATGAGTCCCAAACTAAACGAACGAAATAGCTGTCCAGTACTCCTTGCTTGTTTTCAATGCTTCTCTGACTGATATCAATCCTGGATCAAACCTGAAGCAAATCAAATGCCAGACAAGCTAACTTTTGGAAATCTTGTCATGAACAGCTGGAATATCAGCCAAATTTCTGTTTGATGCGCGTAATGCTTCTTGTGAGTGAAGTCACTTCCTGATAACAATTTTCTACATAGTATTTATTTCTTCTGCATATCACTCATTTAAACATGACCACAATTACGCTTAGAAGAATAGTAAATATTCCATAGCGCTGATACTAAGTGGAAAACTACACGTAGTGCTTAAGTCGTCAACTGAAAAATCAAATGCTTCAAAATGGGCCTAGTTAAGTGACAGGTTAGATCATGAAGATCATGAGATCAGGGAGGGAACCATCAAAATTAGGGGATAGTAAGGAGTTATTTTGTCCTCCTTCTTTGAAACTCTTCATCAGTACGCATCCATGCCCCTACGAGGGGCCCAAACTATGACCTTCATGTTACATGGCGAGCTGATTAACCATTCAGTCATGGAATTCTAACTTCGACCAATCGCTGATGCATAGTGCTACCACTAGACGAGTATTTGTGCTCATACTCTACTTGTTGTACCCTACTGGTCACGAATTTCCACTAGAACTCACGTAACTACTTACATTGAATGTGGCCAGTCGCTAGTGAGCATCAGATTAATTTTCAAGTGTTGGCTTCACATCGGCTGGAGAATCATAAAAAAACTAACAGGGATCATTGGACAGCTGTTTCGTCCTTAACTGGGACTCTCCAAAAGCACGCATCCATTAGGGCTCGAACGCAGGATTTCCCGGCCTTACAAAGAAGTACAAGCCGTGAACTGGTAGAAGTTGGAATTCGTAGGTCATCGGATCGAATCCCAGTGGCTTATTGATCTACGATCCCGCCTTATAACCGGGAGGTCCTGGGTTCGAATCCCGGTGGGTGCGTGTTGTTGAAAAGTAGCAAACTAGGACGAAAAAACTGTCCAATACTCCATTGCTAGTTTACAGTGGTTCTTTAACTGGTATCAGCTCATGATGAAATCCCAAAACATATTAATAATTCTCTTCAGACTGCTAACAATAATAATAATAATTTGCTTTATTCCAGAAACAGTACTAGATGTACCGTGTGCAATTTTCAGCATATACCTACAAAGGTTCCTTGGTATAATAAGTAAGCACCACTTTCTTATTCCATAATACTATTTATATTCCACTGTATAGTGTTACTTCAAATATTTTAACAACGAATATTGAAAAGAAAAATCAATAAAGTGGTAACAGAGAAGATTTGTAGCTCAGGTGGATGATTTGCAATTAGTAGTGTTCTCTGAGCTGGCTGGTTTAGTTGAGGAGCTTTCTTCGTCCTTCTGGACAACATCTTCAGCACAATTTTTATCATAAACTGAACTGATTTAAATTTTCCATCAGTGATAGAATTTCGTCTCCCGGTAACCATCTTTACATATCTACTGTTCATTTTCTATTGACTTGGATTTTAAACTTTCTGGTCACATGATCAATAATCAAATGAATGCATATAGATAATTATGGACATCAGTTTGATTGGGATAATGTCGAAATTTTAGACAGACGAAACACCAAAAGCGCCAGAGAATTCCTAGAAGTCTGGTACTCAAACGAATATGCAATTGACAAACAAGTTAATATAGACCGAATCTACCAACTAATAAAAAGTAAATCATGTAACGAGAAGGTTCAAAACTCCAAGTTAATAAAAACGATCAATACAGATGTAAATCGACTGCCAGTCATGAAGACGAAATTCTATCATTCATGGAAAATTTAAATCAGTTCAGTTTATGCTAAAAATTGTGCTGAAGATGTTGTCCAGAGGAACGAAGAAAGCTCCTCAACTAAACCAGCCAGCTCAGAAAACGCTACTAATTGCAATAAAGTGATAGTTTAAGCTAATGACTAATCGCCTACATGAATCATGTTGACTGACACGTTTATTTTTCTAAAATTAATAATGATTATATCGAAAAATTTAATCTATTTTAATATACTGACAGACTAAAACATGCCATTAAATTAGTAATTAAAGGTTGGTTATACACTCTATATTTAAGCATGTTGTATGTGTGTATGTTTCACTTTCTCTCTATTTGTCTGTGTGTCGTTTCACTTTCTCTCTATTTATCTGTGTGTATGTTTGTCTATCTATATATCTATCTGTTCTTATGTGCATACAATAGATCTCACGATGACATACATGTCTTAAAGCTTACATGTGCATTCCTATCAGTGTGTAAATCAATAATTAATATGAAGTGAGTTGTCACCGTTGTTGGTCACACACACATCCACACTCTGCAACACTGTATCGTCAATGTTCAAAAATGTTTGTATCTAATATCTGTCTATATAATATAGAGATGTGTTATTGTTGTTTTGATGACCTGCAAACTTTAGCTGACTAAACACTGTGATACATGGAGGGTACCAATATCTATAACAGTTACCAGCATCCCTATCTACAAAAATGTAAACATTAAACACGTTGAACGCTGATTCATGGGTGAAAATATAGGCCATCTAGAGAATGCAAATTAATACGCACTTGTCACTGTTTTCACCCTAACAGTACAGACTGATAACAAAATAAGTGAAGAGTTATCAACAGGTGTCTGAATGGTATGGAACATTATTGAAGCTTTTGAAGGGTATATTGATCAGGCATACATATCAGGGTAATTCTAACACAATAGCGATCCTAACGAAGGATCCAACCAAATGAATGTAATTTACTGTGATCGATAAATTGGATGAGTTCATACTGAAAACACAGAAGTATAGATGCAGTACACAGACTACGTTGCAAATTCCATCAAGAGGTAGTATTTGAGCACTGTAGGGATAACACGCCTACAGGAAGCTTGTAGATGTCGAGGAGTAATGTCTTTACAGAGATATGCAGCCACTGTCGATGGAAATGCGTGCAGATCTCCAGCCTGTTGCTAGAGAAAATCTGTCCGAGAAGAAATGTCGTTTTTTTTGTTCATTGATGCTGCAAAGCAGAGAATGGGTCACTAAACATCATGATACATAACTATAAGGACGATATAGATTTGGACTATCACAGAAGACTTCAATAAGGGATTAGGAGGTTTTCCTGGGATATATGAGAAAGTTAACCTGTATAATATTTTTTAATACTGAATCTGATGACTATAAAAGAGTTTTTAATTGCGCGTATTTACGGAGGGCTCATCTGATTGATTGATCCAGGTAATTACGTCCGTTTACTTGGGTCGTTCGTTCGGGTCGCTAATATTTAGAGTTACCCTTGTCAATAGATATTTAATACTATAGCAGCCGTGATCGTAAACAAATAGTCCACGTAAGCGACTGTAAAAACCACAAAGTTTGTTCATAAATTGCATATTCAAATTTTCAAACCGCATAGTAGCATGATTTGGCATTACCCTTGGTCACCACCTTAATCCCACACCTAACTCTTAACCCTAAGGTATCCCTTAATCTTAAATTTAGTCTAATCCCTGACCATTAACCTTGGCCCTTTACATGAATAGATGATAAGTCAAGTCGGTAGAAACCTCTTGAAGCAAAACTTGAACTGCTTTCACATAACTAGTGATATGATTGTGTGCTCAACGTCACTTGGTGACGGGCAGAGCTCATCTTAACCATATTTTGATTTTTTTTGTCAAGGCCATACAAGAAATCATTTAGTGGACTTCAGTAACTTGTTTGCACTAATAATTTGAAGAGAAGTCTCTATCCATGTGATTAACTGAGTCTCAATGGATCATCATAATAAGTGAAATAGATTTCATTTGAATTTAGAAAAGTTATTTAATTATGCTGACTGTTCGGAATACATACATCTAATTTCAGGATGTCTTTTCCCCTATTCCAGTATTAGATGGTTGGAGGCAATCGGAAGGAAGCCTTGGACCTAGGTTTCGTGCTAGTTCTCATTCATCAGCAAGGCGTATCTGCAGCCATCTTGAAGGAACTCATGTCCCTTCTGAGATTAGAACCCGCGTCATCCAATGCTGCAGTCAGAGACGTTACCATTGAGCTAATCAGGCTCGCGATCGACCTCCTGTAGGACTGTGTTGGATATTTTGATTGCACACTAGTCAGTAACTAGTGTAATGTGTCTAGTCCTATCTTCACTGCAGACTGAATTCCATCAGTCAAGCTCGCAATGTCATGTCGACAGTTCACACTCTGATGGCAAGCCACACAGCACGGTTACCACATTGCAAACTTAATAGATGGAATTCAATCTGCACCAAAGAAAGGACTAGACATACGATATTAGTTATTATCTAGTGGCCAAACAAAGTTCTGTGACTTGTTTTATACTTGTGAAGTATTCAAGTATAGTTTAGTTGAACATCATTCATATTTTAGTTGTTTAATGGTACAATCGTTTGGTTTGTGTGAGGCAACGTTTAACTGAGTTGGATATTCTACTATCTCTCTACATAGCCGTTTCTATGCTAACTTCTTTAGTTATGATGTCAGTCATCATTGAGAGAATAACACTGAAGAACTCTGAATTTTCATCAGCGTGTAGAAATTTCCTCAAAAATGTATCAGTTTAAGTCACCGCAATTCGGAAAACCATGTGCAAAAAATGAAGAGAAGAAGGGCGATAAATGTGATGAATCGAGACGTATGTCACAGCAAATAATCACATGAATATTAAATGAAACCTTTTAAAATTTACAAGGGCTGACAAGGAATGAAAATATCTCAGAAGATGAGCGATGTCAGTTGGTAAGAAAGATACTCTTTGTATAACCTCGAAATCCTAATCTACTTGTTCTACGTAGACTAAACAACTGTTTGTAAATTAAATCAAAGCGACAAACTGATCATCCATAAAACGCTTATGTATTCGGGATCAGAAATACAGAGTGGTGTTGACTGCTTAGCTAGCTAGAGAATATGTACGAACAAACAAATATAGCACGACAATGTGCGAAATGATGTGGGTGCTTGATAATCCTCCCCCTTCAGCTTAACCGGTCAACTTAAATAGTCACGGCCAATACCCAATGTTGAATGATGAAATCAGTAGGCTAATAATTATGGATAAATATTTATTTATTTGCCACTACAGCTAACTTCCCTCCTAGTGGAGCCGTGTGTTCCCTAAGAGGACACTAGGCTGCACCACCAGGGAACACGTCACTGACAACAGTTATGAGGTATGCATTCCATATGAATAACATTAAAAATAAGATATATACATAATTTTGAAAAAAATATACAATATGAAATATATATATATTAATTATTGCATACTCTGGTTTCGGAAGCCCATTCGGTTCATCACGACCTAGACCAGCAGGATTGCTTTCAGCTTCAGCACTGTTCAACATTTCCAGTTGACATTCAACTTTACCCTAAAGACGAGAATACAGTTTTAAAAAACACACGAAAATTGATATAAGACTAGGATTTGACCATTGTTGTAGAGTATGATTTTGTAATACAATTTTATTTGAAAAAACATACACTGATATAATATTATTTGGATTGGTGAAACACAATGGTCACGACTTCTCAACAGGAACAGCCACCAGTGAGTATCAGGTTAGTTATCAAGTGCTAGTTTGCAGGGATTTTATTGGTTACAGGTTTGATCACGAGTTAGCTTCAGTCGAAGAACTACTGGAAAACGTGAGAGCACTGGACAGCTGCTTCGTGCTAGGTTTGGGACTCTTTGGCAGTACACACGAGCTCCCCTCGTAACCGAAAGGTTCTGGGTCCGACTACCGATGGCATGTACTGATGAAGAGTCCCAAACTGGGACAAGACAGCTGTCCCGTACTCCCAGGTTTTCCAGTGATTGTCCAACCGATGTCAACTCGTGATCGAACCTGTAATCAATTGAATCCTTAAAAGCGAACACTTGGTAGTTTTAATTACTTAGTGATGATGCTTTGAACACAATCCACTGCTCATAATCGTATCAAGGCACTCGCATATGCTTTAAAATTCGTTGGTATAATCACATTACTTCTTACCCATTTGATTCTATCATTAGTAATATTTCCAACACACCTTGGTATTGATTCTGAGTCATTCTTGTTACATATGTTAGGTGTGGATTCAATGAAAAGAGATTCAGTAATCAGCTTGTCTCTCCACCATCCGATATGTCTGTTCAGAACTGTAACTCTGTCCCACCCTATTGTGTGATGATATGTTAATGCATGCAGTGCAACTGATGAGTATTTTTCCAGTTCGGTCATATTTATGAGGTCAACTATTCTACACTTAGCTGAATTTCTATGTTCCGATAACCTCTCTCAACCCCACATATGTTCAACTAACCCATGTAGCTGACTACACAGTCACTGCAAAGTGTTACCTAAACTACTTTAGTTTATCTAATTGGACAACACGGTCGCTTAACCGACAGAGCTTGTCGCTCATTGTGTTTATATGTTTCAGTGTTGTCGTCAGTTTACAAATAATACTGTATTACTGTATTTTTTTTATCGCACAAATGTATTTGATTATGAAATGCACAAATCGTTAACAGTCAAGTTATTGGAACTCTATGTTTACAAAATCTCTTACAAAGACTATGTAAACACATAAATTTAAAGTTGTGCAGTTAGTAAGCCTATTTGTAAATATTTTTACATTCATACATCTAATGTATTTGTTAAACGATGAGGCACACAGGATTCGTCTATTCGATGCCTTATCATTGATATACAAGTGTATGTGTGAAGACGTAATCCATCATTTTAATCCTCTGGGTTGGTTCTTTGTTAATATTATGTGCTTAAGTAGGCATCAGAGATGCACAACTTAATTACATTTTGGTTTTATATACTGAATCTCTGAATCTAGGTTATTGTGACAGTAAACAATGTGTACCCCAGTCCTTGTTATCCCTGCTTGATTCTATATACAAGTTGCAGTTAGTTAGTGCCTGATGCGGAAGTTACTATCTTATTCAAATCTATAAAACATCACAGTGAGATTTTATAGATCGGTTTCTATGTAACAATTAACAATCTCATCGGTATTATGTAACCTGATTTCACATAACCCATTGGCTAACTTACTATCGAATTCCACGGCTAGAGTAACTATAACCTTTACAACCAGTCAACTTCACTTCGCTATTTTCACATGTTTCATCGTCGTTACAGAGTATAACTTTTTGACTACAACATTGTGATACGTGATTCCAAGTTTAAACCAATCAGAACTCAACTAGTTCACTAAACAAAGTCTCCAAGTCTTATCACATTAATCCCAGTAACTTCACATGATTAAGTTGAGATAAATAGATCAGTCAGAGTTTTCATGTCTGTTTCCGTTATCAACCGAGAGAGAGAAATCTAATTCATTACTCATACTAAAAAAATTGCGAAAATATGCCTCAGATATACGAGTTTCAAGTAACCGAAACGAATGAGATAGGTACTTTTACAAAACAGATACCTTTCAACGTTCGCCAAAATGAAAAACATTAGCGTAGAGCAGGCGTCTGAAAGGATCTCTACAGCTTTAAGGAAATTGTTGTTGATGCATACTAAATGCAAAGGAAATACTGTGAAGGACTCTCTAAAGAAACGCTCATACAGATTATTGGCGTGATTCCTCTGTTGATTTGAGAGTCAATTTCCTCAGTCGCCAAATGATTAGCAGATTATTGAAGCCTTATCTCAACGTGCATCTACGAATTTACTTGCACGCATGGAGCTAGTTACAGAAAGTGCACACTTTCGAATCACACCTCAGAGATTATCTGCTTTGGGAAATGAATATCTGTCGCTAACTCAATTCTTGATTACCTGTTGTTTTCGGATCACACAGCCCAACTGTGCGTCAGTGATTCAAAAGTAGAACACCCGCTAGGCATACAGGAGGCCAAAGTTCAATTCTTAGTCGACGTGCCCCTAAATCCAGCCTAGTTTACCAGATATGACAAAAAAGGGAGTTTGGATGTGAGACTGTAACAACAGTAACAACACACCATTGTTATTGAAACATCAAAGCCTGAAGCGCTATGTTCCATTCGAAACTCAAGAAAATGAAGGAGAAGAAGGACCTGCTAGAGTCCTCCTTTGAAATTACCTACAAAGTGAGGCAAAAAAGTTCAAGAGATGAAAACCTCCAGAAAAAATTCTTAATAAGGAGTAAGTCACAGTGGTTGTTTTCTTTTTACCTCAACAAATCCATTCAATGAAAACCTTTGGAGAAATTAAGGATTCTTGTGACCCGACTGACCAAATTAATCAGTCCTATCAAACGCTGTGAACCGAATGTGAGGGTTAACCGGTCTATGAGTATCCCTCTATATATCAGAGTACATGAATCCAGTAATAAATGTAGGATGATGGAGGCAGACTGAACGAGTAATTCGGTGAATACCTTACCCGTTCCTATGATTACTGTTTCTTATCATAGGGCCATCCTCTTAAAGTTTAGCATTGGTAGACAGACATTTGGATTGGATATTCAGCCATTTACTCATAGAATTACCACTGCACACAGACACACACACATGTGTGAAATATAAGTGATGCACTGTTCACACCATAGTAATAAAAAAAATTCTTACTAGTAACGTCAATTAATGAGTAATAACTGTGAGTAGTGAATTATGATACAGACATGATCAATGTATATAGCACTAGAGCAACACATATGAGGTAATAAAGACGCCTTTTCAATTAAAACTTCTTGACTTCTGTTGAAACCCTATGTTCCACTTGAGACATAATGGAATAATAATAATTTGTAGCGAACAACAAATAATTATGATGGTATTAAGTGCTATTTTTGACCAATTCAAGAGGAAGATACTGTTTATATCTCATGTGTTGTGTAATAGCGGCTAATAAGAGTTTTCCTTCCGATATGTGGTTCCTATTAATTGAACTACATCATTCAGAAATTATGTACATCCATCCATCCATTAGAAACTGAACAGAATAACAAATAACAGTAAGTTACATCAGAGTCCATGGTCAATTTAAGTAAGACGGTGGTAATTAACAGAATTTTGTTTTGGATTGAATAGTACAACTGAGTACATTTCAAATGTAGAAAAAATGTAAATTATGTAATAAAAATGAAACACATCAAACACATTCCGAGGAGACCTTTAAATGGCATCACAATGCTCAACAGGCCCTTGAATGGGACCCCGATGGAAAGCGAAGGATTGGACATCCGAGAGGACAAGGCAGAAAGGGATCAAATGAGGAGGAAATGAAGGCATATGAGCAGTCACGGAGCCAGTTGAAACTGATGACAAAAAAGTGAGCGGAATATAAATGCTCCTCTGAAACCTTATGTTCCAACTGGAATGCAAAGAATGAAAAGATAAAAAAAACACAATAAATATACTGTTTGCCTGTCTACATTTCCACCTACCTGAACAACAATTTCTTCATCCTCTTCATCAGTCACAGGCCACCAGCCACGGGCACTTCGATTTTTAAACATTGAAAATTTAGGACAATCACTTTCTAACTGATGTAGTCCACAACTCTTAGCTGTTTTAGCACATCGGGGTAAAGATGACAGACGCATTGTGATCGATCCTGTTGATTTAGATTTCAAAAGCAAAACATTTCACAAAGAATTATACTAGCGGTAGTTTAAACAAAGAAATAATAATAATTGAAGTGTTCTGAAGTTGTATTTAATCATGTGTCGACATTGGCTGGAAAACACCTGACGGCCATGAAACACTGAAGAACTGTTTGGTCCTAGTGTTTATGACTCTTCGGAGCTACACATCTATAATTCCATAACGGCGGGGGTGAGGTGGGTGAAACTCAGAACCTTCAGGTTACGAAGCGAACGAATCGATATTCAGTCACTTGGACAGCATCTAGTGAGTAGTGTATTGTAACTTCTGCCAGTCCTTCACCATGCTTTCTTTGATTCCCATATACAGTGACTAACCAATATTGTTCTACCAGACTGAGTGCTACTTTCTTCACTTCACACCTAGTGTATTCGGTTACCCGAACGTTAATGGTTCAACTTCTCTTGGAGTTCAAATTTTCTTCTTACCGTAACCACCAACTTCTCGGCAATGTCTATTTCAGATAGCACAATTTCAATTGTATTGGGAACGAGTGAATGGGGATAGGACAGGCTTAGTGTGACAGAGAATTAAGGCATCTTTCACATTACAGAAAACAACGGGATAAAACACTTTTCAACTGTAGTGAAATTAAAGCCTAGTAGGCAGCAAAGATGGTATAGAACTCGGTTGATAAAAGTACTAAAATTTACACATCAAATTATTTACTTCTATTTTTAAAAAATTTATTATAACTTGATTCCACACAGTATTTTGGTACATGTATTTTTTCGCTGACGTCACCTATGAAAGCTATGCGAATTAAGTGCATGTGAAAATCACAAATACACTGGAATTTCTTTATTTAGAGTGAATCTATTCCATTGGTAATAAATAGCAATATTCACAGAATTCGATTTCAACAATCTGTCTGTCTGCTGTGTTTTTTCTCTCTCAGTTATCCAAAGTCAATCAACCACACACTCCTATTAGATAAAGTTTTTGTGAAGTCGATCATTGGCATTCAGTCAATCACTATTGCAAAAATAAAGTAGTGAAACGCTAACTCATTAATAGACACTGTATTTACTAGGTATCCAGAGTGGTTATTGATTATGATCATTGTTATTATTATTATTATTATCTAAGTAATAGATGCAGGATATATGATGAACGTAATTTCTACAAAACGCTATTATGTTTAGTTTACATGCTTAATGAGTACTAGTCCGTTGCAAACTTCTTCCGATTTTCAGTGGTTAGTTTGTAGGGATTTGATTTTCTTTCAGATTTGATCACGGACTGATGTCAGTTAGAGAACTATTGGAAGCCAGGGAGTAGAGGGAAGCTGTTTCTTCCTAGTTCACGACTGTTCATCAGTACACACTCAGTGGCGCTGCTTGAATCCTGGTCCTTTCGTATAAAAAGCAAGCTCGTAGACCATTCGGCCACTGGGCTCCAAACCAATGGCCCATGAATTCAAACTTCTGCCTATACGTGATTTTTAGCGTGATCACCAGCGAATGTTATAGGTGATGCTTTCTAGTGACTGGTTAAAGGATGAAGCCGATTGGATTTCTGGTGGGAATTCGTGACCAGTGGAGTCCATCCGGTTGAAAGTGAGGACAAATACTCGCCGATGACATTTCCTGGTGGCTGCGCAGAAGTGGGTATTCATGCATTGGCCATTGGATCGGATCCCAGTGGCTGAGCAGTCTATGGGCTTGCTTTGTAAACGGAAAGTCCTGGGTTCGATCATAACTAGTGGGTGTGTACAGTGAAGAGTCCCGAACTAGGACGAATCGGCTGCCTTGTTTTAACTACGACTATCAGTATAAAGTTTTTAAATAACTAACAACGTATTAAACATTTGGTTAGGCTAATTCACTGAAACTAGTCCCATTGAAATACCTAATTCAGTGAGACTGAAGTTTTCTGCGTTCTTATCGGTCAGTTTGTTCTGGTTAACACGATTAAGATGAGTTTATACAAGCGTCCAACCTATCACCACTTTTTGTTTGTTAGATTCTTGATTATTTATAAGTTGTGTGGAAGCCACTCCCCTCCCCTAAAACTAACGAAATGGCCATCCAGCGTATAGATCACTTCGAACTGGTTAGCAAACACAGTTGGCTGATATGAGTGTTATTCAACTATTCATGTCAGCGAATCAGTAGTATGTAGCATCAAGCTGAAACTGTTTGGTGAGATGAGAATTTAATTCGTAACGGAAAGGATGACTGGGACGTCGAGACTGACTTTGCCTACAAGCCGAACTACTAATATCCCACGTCATTTTAGTTCAAGTACTCTCTAACAAAACTTTCTATGCTTAGCAATCGTTCAGCGAACACAGATACCTCTGATGACTGATATGTGTCTCTTATTTTCAAAAGATTTATCTCGTTATAACAAGTAGACTTGCATTTTGTATGTTTGACCAGTTTAATAACTAACAACTAAATTGATATAAGTATAAAACTTGGGCACTGTGGTAGAGTATAACTAACTCCATTATAGATAACATTTTATTTTGATAAATCACACAGTGTTATACAGTAATATTAGCTGATGACGTTTCGAGCACAAACTATTGCTCATAATCATATCAAGCTACTCACACAACATTTTTTCTTTCATTTACATACATATGTGAAATCGATTAGATTTTTATTCTAATATCTGATCGATTTCGCACATGTATGTAAACGAAAGAAAAAATGTGTGAATAACTTGATATGATTTTGAGCAATAGTCTGTGCTCGAAATGTCGTCATCAGTTAATATTACTGTGTAACACTGTGTGACTTATCAAAATAAAATCCTATCCATATTGGAGTAACAACGGAATTTATCAGTGAAATATTTCCAGATTTTTAAAAATAGACAGTATTTCACACGATGATATAAGATTATCATTTTGTGTTTGTAAGATTTAGAAACTAAGGTCAGAATAAGAAGAGGATTTCATTCAACACATAAAGAAAGGTTGACCTCTGAGCCTTGCACATCATAACCACATCGAATGCAGTAAAAAGGATAGAAGGGATAGACTTATCACCTACATGACAAACTCTTATGAAGCAAGACAGATGAAAAAACAACAAAAGCCTATATGAACTTCCATGACCTTTGAAAAAATGTATTAGAATTTTCCCGTAGCTCTTACAAGGCTTTGAAATGCTGGGAATTTAAAATACTTTTCTCCTTTGGGTTGTTGTTTAAAAATTGGTGAGCTATATCCACCATCTTGGCCTTAGACCAACCCCGATCTTCATCGGATGTTGCGGTAAGAGGTTTGAGTTGGTCATATAAGTTTTCAAACTCAGCATGGATGGCTAAATCCGTAAATTGCATGCGAGGAACACAAAATTTGAGTCCAAGGGATAAAGCTTCTTTCTGATGAGTAGATAGAGTAATATCAGAAAGATTTGTAACGTACTTATCAGGATTCACCGGGAAGACATCTACGCGGTTTCGATCATCGATTGAACTCTTCAATTTATTTTGTATATTCGTCTTCGTTTTCTGAGTAACACCTTTACAAAACTGAAGAAATTTCATGTGGCATATTATTGATAATTCAGATAAAATAAGCGACGCATCGGTATGAAGAACAAGTAGTCCTTGTAAGGTTTGTTTAACATTTTCGATATGTGACTTTGTAAGACGAACAAGATTAGAGATATTTGGTTGTAATTTTGTTTTCATACCATAGCAGATGTACTATTACCTCGGCTATTTGGTTTAATGGTCTTCATTTTTATTTTTGACCTTGAATATGTCCTTTTAACTTGACCTAAGTCTATTTTTCTTACCTCTTTATTAATTTTATATATATATATATATATATATATATATATATATATTCCTATGACAAGTCCGTGTGTGATCAGGTTGTTCGAAATGTGTTGCGCAAATACATTACACGATTCAGACAAATTACGTCTTCTTATTGCTTGATCTAAATTCATAAAGGGAACTAATTGTTTTAAATTTTTAAAGAGAAGGCTCCCTCCACACACTATCAAAAGGTTAAATGAACTTGTTAACCTTAGGTGTAAAATTATCGTCGAACGTAACACGTTGGAATCTTATGAATTATGTATTAAAAATCATTCTTTCCCGAGGCAATTTTATAAAACTTTGAAATTCAGTAAATTACAACCAAATATCTCTAATCTTGTTCGTCTTACAAAGTCACATATCGAAAATGTTAAACAAACCTTACAAGGACTACTTGTTCTTCATACCGATGCGTCGCTTATTTTATCTGAATTATCAATAATATGCCACATGAAATTTCTTCAGTTTTGTAAAGGTGTTACTCAGAAAACGAAGACGAATATACAAAATAAATTGAAGAGTTCAATCGATGATCGAAACCGCGTAGATGTCTTCCCGGTGAATCCTGATAAGTACGTTACAAATCTTTCTGATATTACTCTATCTACTCATCAGAAAGAAGCTTTATCCCTTGGACTCAAATTTTGTGTTCCTCGCATGCAATTTACGGATTTAGCCATCCATGCTGAGTTTGAAAACTTATATGACCAACTCAAACCTCTTACCGCAACATCCGATGAAGATCGGGGTTGGTCTAAGGCCAAGATGGTGGATATAGCTCACCAATTTTTAAACAACAACCCAAAGGAGAAAAGTATTTTAAATTCCCAGCATTTCAAAGCCTTGTAAGAGCTACGGGAAAATTCTAATATAATTATTACTAAACCTGATAAAGGTTCTGGAGTCGTTATTATGAATAAAAAATGTATTATCATATTTATCACATGTGAATTTACGTGTTTTCCATGTGACAAATAACACACACACACGTACAGAAAAAATATACACAATAACAATTTGACATTAGTCATGACAAATATATGTGATGACTGCTTACATATTTCTGTTGGTACAAATGTCTATGGACAAATGACCTTCAAATAAACTGACTTCAATTTATGTATTTAGATAAATCAATAAGAAGACGTAATTTTACTAACATCAAGACGTATCTTGTCTGAATAGTGTAATGTATTTGCTCTACACATTTCGAACTATCTGATCACACGGACTTGTCATAGGAATATATATGAAATTGAATATTCCCATAATTTATTCAGAACAAAATATTTAGGGAGAACAATTGTTTTTCAATAAATTCTTCTTCAGGCTCTACAATTATAAATCCTGCGGCTAAACTGGTACTCGACTTCTCAACTAAACCAGTACTCACACAGCAAGTCAAGGATAAATTACCAAAGATGGCCTCATCAATGTGCACCTATGAATTCAACTGCTCATGTGGAGCCAGTTACATTGGCCGTACTTAGAGGGCCTTATCCATGCGCGCGCGTGAACATGTACCTGTATGGTTGAGTAAAGGAGTAACCAAATGCATAAATAGTGCAGTCTTAGCCCACTTGGTAGATACTGGACACCCGATGAAACTTGACCAAGCGTTCTCAGTCATTTACCGCGTTCCTAGTAATTTATCTAGAGCAGCTCGACTACGTCTTCTATCAGTAGCTGAAGTGGTTGCAATTAATACCAGAAGACCATCGCTTTGCATACGGAAGAAGTATGATCAATCTCTATTTTTACCTTAACCTACAATAAAGCCGACAAATCCTCCATTAACACTATAAATTCCTTTCACAATTTTCTTCTCTTGTCTTCTTCTTCTATTCCTCTGTTTCGTTCATTTTCGACTTTTATGATTTCATGACGTTTCTTATGAATTTATTACCTTAGGTTTAAGTAGTGCTTTTCTAATTTGCTATCGTATTTACAAAATCCTGTTCATTCCACTTCATCATATTCACTATTTTCTATAGTTTGGTTTGTAAGGGTTAGTTATGTTTTTACGAGTTGATCAGGGATTGATATTCACTATTATTATTTGACAATCATTTACCAATAGTGCTTTTAATTTTACAACATATCATCGTTATTATTTTACAATCATTCTTATTGTTGTTATTTTCAACCTTGAACCTTTGTCTAGACCGCCCCATTCGTTGGTTTATTTTCATATTGTCTCACGCACCGTGATTACACCCTCGAAACCTGTATTTTCTGTTGACTATATTCACATATATATACGCACATCATTAAATTAAATTATTTCATCTCATTCTGTCCCATATTGTTGTTGACCATGCATATTAAAAAACTAAATGACTATATGACTATTGTTCTATCCCATCTTATACTTGTTCCACAACACACTTTCTGATATGATTCTAATTTGCCTTTACTGGCTATTGTATGCTTAAATTAATGGATTTATAAGTGTAGAGTCTGAAGAAGAATTTATTGAAAACAATTGTTCGCTCTAAATATTTTGTTCTGAATATATGAAATTAATAAAGAGTTAAGAGGTAAGAAAATAGACAAGTTAGGTCAAGTTAAAAGGATATATTTAAGGTCAAAATAACAATGAAGATCAATAAACCAAATAACAGAGGTAATAGTACATCTACTCTGGCTGGTATCAAAAAGTTTACCAAGGTAGTTTCAGTGACATGACGAATTGCACGGAGGATTTAATCATGAGCTGACATCTCTCTGACTGATGTCAGCTCATGATTAAATCCTCCATGCAATCAAACAAAATCCCTACAAAACCAATACATGACGAATTGTTGGCTGGAACGCATAAAGGTGGCTCACACTTCCTAATTGCCAGCTAGGGCTTCCACAAACTTTAGGATACACCCCGCCCCAAACATATTTTGCAGATAGGTTTAAAAGATGCGTGAACGTCAATTTTATGTCCTGTCTCCATCACATGTTTCGCAGTAGAGGAGCTAGGTTTATGCCTGTTCTCACGATTAATGGGTTCTGAAGATTATATTTGTTTCTGGAGCCATTTAGGAATATGCCCTGAAGCCGGCCCTCACTTCCGGAGATCGATGAGTCTTCCCTATGCATGTGTGTCCACACGTACATTCAAATTGGTAAATACAGTGGAATGTGACAACATTTTTCGCATGTTCGGAGGGTTTAGATAGATATATTGGCTTCACATTCTCAATGATCATGATGTTAGCTACAAGTAAAAATTTTTTGACTGTATATCTTGATGATTAAGAAAATCCGAATAAATTTGCTGTGGTTTACACGGAGAAACGTTCAGAAAAAACTTGTTTTGATTTTTCTTAAACACGCTGGGATTAATTTAAATAATTTATAATAAGGTCAGAATGGTTTTCGTTGTAAATTGAATGCCCATGGGGATTTTTGGTTAGCACTTATAAAGAAATGCCCGAATTGATTCTTACCATATATCACATACTTATATTGTCGAATTTCCCGTTATTAAGTGACTTTATTAAAACGAAATATCCTGTCTGTGTTAATTGATATATCAGTCACTAGTATGAGCGTTTCGATAATGGCTTGCAGTTAACTTGGTGATTTTTTGAACTGAGACGATGAGTGCCTGAGCTTTAAATCTCAGTGGGGACACCACCAGCCACTGGGATGTAAGAACATATATCGAATTAGTCAGAAATAAGAAGAGCTGTGTGTTCTGAACTCATCTGATAGCCATCATCAACCGAACGAAATATCATACAAGTTCGAGGTACTAATTTTAGTTCTTCTTAAATTTCTAGTAGTTAAATATATTGAACTGAAGTTTTCGGCAACTACTCGTGTATTTTAATTGGATTTTAGATTTTCCCGTCGACTGATTGGACCGAAGTGCTCGGTCTCAGGTTGACATTTCGCCTACTTGTGCAGATGCTTCGACGATGTCTGGGCATATAATTAAAATTTAATTGGTGGATGGTGAATAGCAGTGGAATTAAGGATGCGCATTTCGTCCTATTTGGAACTCGCCAGCTGGATGTACCCGCATTTCCCAGTGAGTGATGATGTTCCCACCGAGACTCGATCCCAGTGTCCGTAGGGGGGAATGCGCGTCCTGGATTCCACCGCTAGTCACCATCTACCAATTAAACTACTCGTGTAATACGTGGCAGATATAAGTGACCATAGACTGGAAGGCTAAATTATCTTTCTGTAATAATACCAATAAAGTTAAGAAAGTCAAACTGTTGAATACAATACTTGACTTAAACAGCCTGTTGCATTATACTTTTAGTTGAAAGTAAACACTCATTTCATGATGAAACTAAAAGTGTGGTTGAATACGTTATTACCAGACTATCCATTTTCGTATCAGTTTCAGTGTGTGACGCTTACCAGCTGCTTACTGCCATTTAGTACCGTGACACTCTTTATGCAATCGATAGTCGGACAACCTGGAATAGTCTACTGTTTTTACAATTGATGATGACAACTGAACCTAAAATAAGGATGTGTCACAGCAGGATTCGAACCATTTGCCTTCGAATTACTACTTGTAATATTATTAATGAAATCAATAACAATAATAGTAGTGCTACTACCACTAATATTCTGGCAGTCTAATAGATGGTTGAGGGTAATCGACAGGAAACCTCAGACCTAGGTTTTGTGCTTGTCGGCACTCACAAGCCTGCAAGGAGTATCTACAATCTCAAAGGAACTTATGTCCCTCCTGAGATTCGAAGCCATGTCACCCGAGGCTGTGGTCAGAGACTTTGCCATTGAGTTATTCTGGCTTCTAAGTCCCTTCAAGATTGCAATTACGCCTTGCAGGCTGGTGAGTACCAACAAGCACGAGACCTAGGTACGGCTTTGCTTCCAGTCGATTGCCTCCAACCACCTAATAACAACAATTAACAGTGTCCCTTGACGGCTAGCTGTACAATCGCTATGTGAATGAATTCACCGAAAAGAGTCTCTTCGCTGAGCGTCTTCCCTTTTTCACTTGACTCAATGGAGATTTTCAAGCTACTGAAACGTTTATTTATCACCCTAGTCTACCTCCCAGCTAAGTCTTCTTTTATCGTTAATGCTTATCATTATAAATTAGAAGGAGATATTGGCATCTTTAATTGATTGTCTGAGATAGTCTTGAGTCAGCAGACTGTTACTGATGCACTGGATAAGGAATGAATGTAAAATGTAAAATCTTCGCCATGGTGGTAAAATAAAAGTCTGAGAAAGGGTGCATGAAGTGTGTGTGTGTGTGCATGTATGCGCATACAACAACAATAAACAGCTTACCAATAAAATTATCTCTGGTAATAATATCAGCATCCCATACTTGTAATGTCAATTCACAGTTAGCTTTCATCATATGCGGTTCTATGTCAAATGTTCCTTTAATAGGATAAATTATCCGATCTTCTGCTTTAATATAATCAAATGGAAATATAAAACGCCAGTTGAAATTCCCTTCACCGGATAACGATCTAGAATCATTAGAATATGTTAAAATAAAAAGAAAGAGGAGATTTACTTCATGAACGATGCTGAACAGGTGAGTCTATAGAAAAAAGGTTAGAACCCAGATCAAGAGGATTTAATTTATATCCTAGTCTTCACGGTCCTTTTGAGTAGGACCTTGAAGAAGCCAGACCTATGTGTTCAGGAGAAATTTTTACAGTCACTTTCCTTATCTTGCCAATCAATACATAGATGTAGAAAGCTGACATCTTACCGTTCATCCCAAGCTTTACTTTTAAGTTGTCGTTGTGCTAATTGTCTTATTATTGCTGGCTACTCCATCTTCAATTGCTTCAATTTGAACATTCAATTATTTCTTTATTATTACTATTATAGTTCCCTTGGATTCCAAGTGGAACATAGGGCTTCAACAGAAAATCTCTACTTTGTCCCGTTCACTGCAGTCCCCTTTAGCCCCACGATTGTCCTTAATCCCTGGTCTTCTGAGCACACGATCGTCTACATATCGCCCTCGGATGCCCACCCAGCTGATCATTCCCCATTTGGGTTCCACTGGAGCGATGGCCTAGTGGGCGGTGCCATTCGACGGCCTTCTCATCCGGTGCCTTATCCACCTCCATTTTCTTCAACATCTTCGTTGACCAACAGATCGTTGGTTGGTTTGTTGCCAGAATTACCTGTTGCTAATTCTTGCCGGCAATTTAATCTTAAATATGAGGCGAAGGCAGCTGTAGATGAAAGTCTGAAACCTGTTGAAATTGCTTTTCGTTATGCGGCCATCGTCTCTGATCCCTACAGAAGAACTGACTCAACATTGGTGTTGAAATCCCGCATCTTTTTCTTTATGGTTCAGATTGCAGAAGATTTCTAGGCTGATTTCGGGGTAATGCAGGCCTACCTAGTCCTTCCGATTCTGGCTGACTTTGACGCCCTCATCGGTTCCTTTTGTGGTTGAAATAATACTAACTAGATAAGTGAAGGAGGAAACCTCTTTCAAATTTATTCTTTTGACAGTGATTGATGCTGATTGTTGGTGCTGTTAGTTCATTATCTTTACTACCTCCGTCTTCTTTACATTCACTTGAAGTTCTGACTTATCTCCCAGACTCTTTAGCCAGTTTGTTGGGTTTTTTTTTACCTGTAAGTCTTCTAGTTTGCATGACATCAGACATAAATTGTCTGTGAAGTTCAAATATTCTTGGGTCTTTTTATCGGTCCAACGTGTTCCTGTCTTCTCACTTGCCCCAGTCTGATGCATAATCCAGACCACCACAATTAGGAATATCATCGGTGATAGCAGTCAACCTTTTCTTGCTCCTGTCTTCACTTCAAACGCCTCACTGAATTTTCCGTCGTAGCGTTGTTGTATAGCTGTTGAATAAGGCTGATAAAGACATGGGTACTGCACACCGTAGTGTTGAAGCAGGTCCTAAATCATTTCTCGGTCAACGCTCTTTCTAAAATTAAGTACTGCGTAATCTACTTGTTGAATTTTTCCAAATATTTCTACACCTTAATTGTTGCATTATTTTCTCGGTTAGTTATCACCATCCCCTCTTGACAAGTTGATACTGAGTAATTACTGTTGACAAACTAAATTGCCAAAGTTTCGAATTGTAATAAAACCTGGAGTATATTTTAAGTAAGTGTAGTTTGCTGTGTTGCATGACGGTGTATAACAATCTCTGTGAGTAATTAGAAACTGCTTCAGGTAACCAGCAGTGTTTTTTTGCTTGATCTAAACATCAAACAGTCTTTTCACTAGCTCAAGGCTGATGCATCCGAACTGACACACTTCAGAGGGACGAATCACCCGGACTCAGGCTGGCTAGCTAGCTAAGAGAAGAAAACTTACCATGGGTTCTTTTGCATCAGATCATATATTTTGATCAGAATATTTTTGGTTCGCAAAGGAAGCTGTATTAAAATTTTCACCTTGAAATCAATGATAAGCAAACTGCATGTATGTGCTTTAATTTTTAATAACTGTCTAACTGCTGCCGGTCCATGAAGAGGTCAGCATTTAGACTAAAGACCACAGAGATATCGGTCACCGCTATCCGATGGTCAGTTCACGCACAGCCAATTTTGATCTTATTATTAGATCAGTGGAAATATTTTTGTGGTCTTGTCAGATCATTGAATTATTTGGATTTGAATGACTATCCAACTGTCGTCAGTTCACAATTGAAGGTCAGTTTGAAGTCATGTGGAAAGAATTCCTCATTTTACTCACCTTTTCAAATATTTACTTATTTATTTATTTATTTGATAATCACAATAATAATAGTTATCATAAATAAACTGTATTTTTATTTTTGTCATGAGGTTAAGGTTTCCAAAATGTTCACTAATTAACTTTATATAGATGTCAGTCAGTTGACGCCGTGAATCAACCTCAAATTTGTACGTGATTAAAATTAGCGCTATAGGATGATTTTTGAAGCTGGAGGTAGTTATTTATTAAAATTATTCGCTATACAAATGAAGGTTAGACATAAAAAACTGATAGCGTGGATCAAACCAACAGTCAATGACCTGATGTATTGGTGTCAGTGTTGTGGAAAAACTACGTCTAACCCCTTTCTAACTTAATTCTACTTCACCTAGTATAGTTTGATGAAGACACCTATAGCTCAATATTTGTATTACCTGTCATGGATACTTTAATCAACGGAGCTTCAAAAGTGCGTCAATTACCCTTCCTTCCCTACCTAATACTAAGTGTCTGAACACACCATCGGTGACCACATCGTTCTACATAACACTACAGACTGTGTGAAGGCTAATAGGATTAAAAGACGTTAATACTTTTCACATTTTCCACCCACAACAGCCATGTCTCAGCTGTAAATTAAGACAGGACTAAATACAGAGCAGTATACTCATCATTTGAATGCACAAAAAATTATGCAAACTTCCAAATGTCATACAAAACCTATTTACTGCCACTCATATTTCTCCAGCCAAAGGGCATTTACAGATGACGCAACTCCCCCAGATAAGCGAGGTGACTGATAGTCGGTACAGAACAATAATGTGACAAAATCCTGCCTTTCAAAGGAGTGAGCTGTGAATGTAACGTACTGAGATATTTGCTCAATGTTCTGGGGACTGTATTTTATCAGTGTCTTCACTCAGAAGGAGTATGTCATCTGTAGGCTGCAAATCAGTATGGGCTTCCCTGATAGTTAGTCAATCTTTCAGACATCATATTTGACATTATACCACACATATTATACAATTAAATAAAAATGGTGACGGTGGGCATTCCTGTAAAGTATCACTGGTTGTCTCCAAATTGGATGGAAATCCTCCGTAAACACCTGCACAACTTAATGGGTTCAAATGGAGTAACTAGAATGGTACAGCCTATTTTATCGGTACTCTCTTCACAACTAAAAATTGCCATAACACCACCCAACTGACAAAGTCATATGCTGTCTTCAGTCTAAGACTTATGAACACAGATAATTGTGACTCCATTATAGATAAATTTTTATTTATTTTGATAAATCATATCTAGTATTGGGCGGAGTGGGACACACAGTGTTATACAGTAATATTACTGTATAGAAGAGTTTTGTGTGCTAGTGAAGGTGTTTAGGTGGTTGCCACTTTCCACCTGCTCACACCTCGGAAGCTGATACCTTACTGATATGGAAGACACTTCAGCTTCCCCTGATTTCACAGCTCCAGGGACAACTACTTGAAGCCAGTTACATATAGGTCGTTTGAAAATAGAGTATAGTTCGTATGGAAAACCTTATAGTCAGCTACAGGGTAATTTCAAATGTACGATCAACGCATTCTAGCCCTCTATCCCAAGAGCTAGAAGACAGTATACCTGACCTGCTGGTCATCCGAAAAAAACACACCTTATTACAGTTTCCACTAATAGTAAGATGCTGAATTTAGACTCTAATTACTGTGTAACCTATGCTATTATGGTAAGTTTAATATCTACCAAACTAACTTTTCTGGAATGGGAGGACTTGCAGAAACATTCCTTCTAGTAAGCATGGCTAGTTTAATTATTTCAGTATGCGAGATCAATCGTGACACTGCGGTGTCAGCTACCAGGGATGGTGAATTTAACAAACTTCTGTTCATGTTATTCTATAATAAGTGAATATTTGTGCATAATGATTAATTATGACTAGCAGTCATGTGCTCTTATTATTGCTGCCAAACTGCTATTGAAATCTTTAATGATACAAGACTTATTTATGTATGTATAGAGTGTGCTATTTCTATGTAGTGAAAAACATGTTGACTGATGAGTGGTAATTATGACCATTGTCCATAGGCTAAAAGTGAACTTATTTTCCATTTGAGGACTTTATGTTATAATGCTTTGCCATATTTATTTGTAAATTTAAATAAATAGGGTATATTTCAATATTATATTTGTAGGAATTCGATTAACCTCGGTCTAGTTTTCGTTAAGAATGGAGTTCGTCTGGCGAACCATTGAAAATGCAACAGCACGCATCATATGCCTCCTCTTAATTTGTGTTGTTTATGATTGCACACCCATGACCCCACCAGTGATCAGACTTAGAATCTCCAGAACACGAACCAAACACTTTTACCGGTTAGCTGCTGAGTAAGTAGCCAATAACTCGCACATACTAAATGAGTCAGTAGTTTAGCGATAGAATGCGTTCCAACCACACAGCTGTATTCTCTGATCCGACTCCTGGTCTCCAACGCGCTCATAACCCTTGCCTAGTTTACTAGCCGGAAGTAAGTCTGAGAAAGAGGAGAGGTTAGGCTAGCAAACCACTCCGCCCGTAAGATTTAGATATGATAGAGAAGATTTGTAGCTCAGGTGGATGATTTTGATGTTGATGTGGTTGTGTTCTCTGGGCTGGATAACTAATTTGCGAAGCTTTCATCGCCCTACTAGGCGACATCTTCAGCGCATATTTCAATTTGAAGTGAGCTTTTAGATTTCTCCTTCGTCTTCGTATCCATGAACATAAGCTAGCCGTCAAAAGACATGACATCCACTCCCTCATATCATTACATACAGACAACCATGGACATCAATTCTACTGGGACAACCAACGTTCAAATGTTAGACAGAGGAAACAACAAGAGTGCTAGAGAATTTTTAGTTCCATTACAAGTAGCCTAGAAGGCGTGAAAACACACAAAAATAACCAATCACGCCCAAGGTCATCGGGAGAGATGACTAATGAACTCGTAGAGAAATCTAAAAGCTCACTTCAAATTGAAATATGCGCTGAAGATGTTGCCTAGTAGGGCGATGAAAGTTTCGCAAATTAGTTATCCAGCTCAGAGAACACAACCACATAAAAAAAACCGCTCCGCCTCCAGAAAAACAATATTATGGTTAGTGAAAATTAAAGACCTTAAGCTTGAAGCCCTATAGTTCCACTCAGAACTCAAACAATGCTTTGTTTTCAATAACTTTGTAAATGGTGTCGGTTCACCATAGTGACAAGATGCGAAATAATCCTGTAGTATTTGTTAGCAGGTAATCACAGCGCTTATACACTAACCTATAGTGAACATCAGTTTTTTGATCATCAATGCCAACACCTTTTATCCATCCTTTAACATAAATATCAGAACTTCTCTCTGATGAAAACAGTGATGTATCAGTGAGTTTCACCTAAATAAAAAGAGAAAAAGAAATCACAAAAGAAAACTTATCAGCAGTAACGTAAAATAATACTAGTATTCAGATAACTGTTGTTGGATTGTGCTGCTAGGTTGACTACTAAATGACTCTTACGTGTGTAACAGATGAACTGGAATTCTATGGGTTCTATATGCGTGACACATTTGTAATTCTAAGAAATAAGCATTACGTTAACGGTATACAACAGAAATCTAATCAAGTTCACCGAATGTCGGGTTTACTAACAAAAGAAAGCTAGAACATAGGAATTATTAAAAGGACGCTTGCAGCCAAGAAGAAAATTTTATTTTTCCACGAAGTCATCAACTAGGCTGTACATTTGTTTAATTATAATAAACAGGCAGTGCGTCGGTGGTACGGCGGTTAGGACGCTCGCTGACCATGCACATGGTCCGGGGTTCTATCCCCGGCCACCGAAGCACTGGTAAAGAGGAAAGGTTGTGCATGAGGCTATCAACCTCATCCTGTACAATTGAACACTGCTACAGAGACTTCAAGCCACTAGCTTGAGGCCCTATGTGCCACCGGGAACGTGAAGGAAAAAAATAGTAATAAATAGGTGGGAAATTTCCAAAACTCTATTTCTGGCCAACAGTCAAATTAATAAAATTACAAGGTGTAATAAACAGAAAGATCGAGTAAAAAAAACATAGTAAGACCACAGTTATTAATAAACTTGACCTTGTTTATCCGATCTTCCTGTTTGTTACACCTTGTATTTTTATAAATTTAACTCTTGACCCAAAAAATAGTTCTAAAAAACTTTCTCACCAACTCCGCATAAATACACAAAAGAAAATTTTCTTCGTCTCTGCAAACATCTTTTTAATAATTCCGATAATCTAAAGTCAGAATAATTTCAGCGCATTTTTGGATACTATGTAACAATGAGACGAGTAGATAAATTAATAAGTTGGGGGTTGCACTAAGGTTCTGTACTTATTACTATTATTATCAACAAGGTATGTCTGCAGTCTTGAAGAAACGGAAATCCATTTTGAAGATTTGAACTCATATTATCCAGTACTGCAGTCAGATACGTTACTGCTGAGCTATTCAAGCTCATGTTAACAAATAGCCTCATTGAAGATTGTCCCTAGTGCGACGGCCTACTTAAATCACTTGGTTAACAAAACTTCTATCCATCATAGTACTTGAAGTCTTCTGCATATTTTTGGTTTTAATCATGCAATTGTGTCTATTGATCGCTATATGAATTAATAGAGAAGGTTTGTAACTTAGGTCAATAATTTTGAATTATATATATATATATATATATAATATCATTCAGGGGGAATTCAAATAAATTCATTTCATACTAAAAGCTGCTCTGAAAATGTTTTCGAGAAGGACGACGATAGCTTCGCAATCGAATCAACCAGCTCAGAGAGCATAACTAATTCGCCATACGAATTCGCGCAAATTTCAGTTTAGCTTTCGAGAAAAAATGCCTTACAGTTGTCGAGTAGAATGGAAGAAAACCATTGTAGAGAATTGAATCTTTGTTCGTATGGAACAATAATACGTAGCATGGTATCTCATCCAACAGTTGTACGATAATGTTGCATGCCAATTAATCCACAACAGGAAACGTACGGAATCTTTCGAAGTTAACACAGGAGTTAGACATGGTGGCTGCCTACTATCACCAATGATTTTCCTGATTGCAGTAGATTGGATAATACGACAGACAGACAGACAACGGGCAACAGGGAGACAGGCATAACATGGACCCTCACGAAAAACTTGGAGGATCTGGACTTCGCCGATGATATATGTCTGATTTCCCACAAACTGGAAGATATGCAATTGAAAAGCAACAAGCTGGCAGAAGAATCATCCAGAGAAGATAGGACTTCAGGTGAACTTAGATAAAACAGAGGTGATGAAGATTCCTGGCCAACACCAACAGCAACAACAACAACAGACAACAATCAGCCAGCATAACTGGGAGGAACCTGAAAGAAACAACCTCCTTCATCTACCTGAGAAGCATAGTTTCAACTACACACGGAATTGACGAGGATATAAAAGCAAGGATCGGGAAAGCAAGAAAAACTTTCACTATTCTGAAGTCTGTGTGGAGGTCAACAGCACTCAGGATCAAAAATAAGATCCGCATTTTCAACTCCAATGTGAAGTCAGTCAGTGCTACTATACGGATGGATCAGAGACTTGGCCAGCGCGTCATAAAGAGCATCTCCAACAAACTTCAGACCTTCATTAACAGTTGTCTTCGCTCAATACTCAAGATCAGATGGCCAGTCAGAAGAGATCAGCAACAAAGATCTCTGGGAGCGAACCAACCAGCAACCGATTGTGCAACAAATAGGCAGGAAGAAATGGAGATGGGTTGACCAATGGCTGAAGAAACCATCAAGTGACATCACTAGACAAGCCATTGCTCGAGTGGAACCAGGCCGAAAGGGAAGCGGCGGGTTGGTCATCAGTGCAAAGGTGACCTGGAGGAGGTCATGTGAAGAGGAGATGGAAGCATGTGGGCAGACTTGGAGCGGGGTGAAAAAGTTGGCAGAAAACAGAAGGCGATGGAGGTGCGCAGCTGACGCCCTATGTTTCTCTAGGAATTAAAGGATATGATAATAATAATGGTATACTGCAGATTATTATTTTGCTTGTACATGTTGCACGAAGAGGAAGTAAGTATTCTACAACTAAATACGCTCAGAATTTCAGCGTATCGGTTTATTATTGTTAACACCTCTTCAAAGTACTCCGTGATGGCGAGTTACTTAGTCTGGTGGCCAGACTGGAAACTCAGTTGATCGATTTTATTTTCCAACAACGTCAAAGACTTGGTATATGGTACTGACTACATCCCTGTGCTCAACCGACTTTTCGGTTTCCTCAAGGTCCACTTAATTTTTGATTGGCATATCATATTTTGGCAGACGGCGTGTAACTATGAGTGAAATACTTTCCGCACACTTCAGTGTATACAGATTCACAATCACATTTTTCTACAAGACTCCTATACTGAGGATAAATCAAATTATTCAAATGCATTACACTAAAGAGGTTAACAAAAAAAATACCAGACTTACTTCAGCTGTATTCCATATTATAACACGTAGTTCATATGCTGCTGGTACACGTGGGGATATATCAATAGCTGGTGGAGGGACTGCAACTTCTCTTTCAAATAAATCAATCCACATTTGTAAACGACCTTGGATTAGGCCAGGATTATCTGGATGTTTTAGAGAACGTGTTTCTACATGTTCAGTGACTAGTTTTATATCCTTATTGATAATAGATGACCAATTATGCAATGCTTCCAGTGCTAACGGTTCAACGGATTTAATTGTAATACCTAAAACAATTTTTTTTATTTTGAGAAAAAATAAGTTTATTAAACTTTAGATAATAAGATGGATAAAAGATAATTTACTGTGACCAAGGATAAGCGATTAGTTCATTGGGATGTGTTGTCATTTGTTTTATGCTGCTGTTTCACAATTCTTTCATACCACTGCTTGTCAGGTTGCATACAGACGCATGTTAGTTCCTAAGACATCATTTATTGTTGTCAGTAAAACTTACGACATTATTCAGAAAAGCCCGAGGCAATACTGCAGCACTGCTGCCTTGAGGTGAACAGAGGAGGAGTACATTATGACCATCTTCTAGAAAAATGGATATCCAGGATACTTCATCAAAGATGCATACTTTGAACCCAACCAGTTAACTCAAAATTACCCAGCAAAAAACAGCGAAAAATTTCCAGTCATATGCTTGACAAAATAACGTTTTAGTTAATAGCTTTTTTCTCTGACCTGTACATCATCTCTTTTGGACATCTTGTATTAATCATCTCTGCGCTTGGTTCACTCCTGTTTAGAATGCTTCTCTTTGCTGTGTGCATGATGGTGTGAATAATGTATTGCTTTACGACTATGATTTCACTTGAGTGAAGTCAAGGTCACTCTGCAGATTGGTCACTTGACCATGGGCTGTCAAAGAGAAACGTATCTGTTATATCTCATACTTAAAGACAAAGTTTTGATCTCAACATGTTGAGAATTTTCTTATTGATTTCTGATTGATATTGTGTACCTGGGGAACTTATGAAATCGATGATTGCTGGACGGAACTGTTGAGTACTACAAATTCTATCACATCACAGTGTGTGTTTGATATTATGGGATTTTTATTTTGAGTGTGAGAGATACTGAGCTGAAATTGGCAGAGCCACACAAAATGCATCGAGTTATTTCTACGTCTAAACAGAAATAATTGAGTTTAGTCATTACGACATATATGAAGAATATCTTCGAAATTCCTTGAACTGTTGAAAACTACAGGAATAGATGTCGCCTACAAACCAACAAAAACTCCTCAATCTACCTGATGTCAATCATGGGATGCAACGGAAAAGCAAACAAAAACGATGCAGCTAACATCATGATAATTGAGAATGTGAAGCCAATATATCTATCTAAACCCTCCGAACATGCGAAAAATGTTGTCACATTCCACTGTATTTACCAATTTGAATGTACGTGTGGACACACATGCATAGGGAAGACTCATCGATCTCCGGAAGTGAGGGCCGGCTTCAGGGCATATTCCTAAATGGCTCCAGAAACAAATATAATCTTCAGAACCCATTAATCGTGAGAACAGGCATAAACCTAGCTCCTCTGCTGCGAAACATGTGATGGAGACAGGACATAAAATTGACGTTCACGCATCTTTTAAACCTATCTGTAAAATATGTTTGGGGCGGGGTGTATCCTAAAGTTTGTGGAAGCCCTAGCTGGCAATTAGGAAGTGTGAACCACCTTTATGCGTTCCAGCCAACAATTCGTCATGTCACCGAAACTACCTTCCTTGGTAAACTTTGTTTTGATACCAAACAACAGATAGTTCGAAATGTGTTGCGTAAATGCATTACAGAATTCAGACAAATTACGTCTTCTTATTGCTGTATCTAAAAACGACATCATCTACAAGATAAACTGCCATAACTGTGAAAAACATTACTATAGTCAATTTGGTTGTCATTTCCGTCTTCGTATCCCGCATCATAAACTGTTTGTTAAAAGACTTGTCGCCTATTCCTTCACATTAATGCATAGAGACAAATTTTAAGCAAGAGAAACTCCGGAAACGCGAGCAACGTCGTAGAAGCCTAATACTCATACGTAACTGCATTCCTCAAGAAAACGAATCTCCACATTCACAACAGACACTGGTCAGAATTCCAACGACAAGAAGGAAGTTACATAGGCAAAGGTTTAACTGTCAGGCCAAAAAAATAAAAGTACCCTTGCAAGTGGACAAGAGGAAATGACAATCTCCAGGACCGAAATATCACGTACAAAGTCGTACATGGAGAAGTCGGAAAAGCTCACTTCATAGTGACGTTTGTCTGGAGAGATACAATTAAAACTCTCAGCTCGGAAAAAAGCAATCACACCAATACCTGTGATAAGATGGACTGACTAAGCACATAAGGAATTAATATGAAATTGACGAAATCAGGTATAAAGAAGGCGGGAATACATTTGATGGTGATGAAGTTTATTTGCTTCTAGGTAGATAGAAAAGAGTTTTGAAAGTCTGTGTAAGAATAACTTTGATAACAATAATAACTGAACTCTAAAACCTTGGTGAACACTGGTGACAGACTACTAACCTCGTCTATAGCTGATTACAATACAAATGTGACATAAGATTGGTATCAAGATGGAAGTCAAGATTACCTATAAAACCCTACGGGTGCAAAGAATGAAACATGCCAAGGCGATAACCGTCGCAAATTTAAGTTCTCAATTGTGTGTACAAAATAATTTATTGTTTTTCGGAAATTTTCATGGAAAATGGATATCCAACAAGATTTATCGACAAGAACATCAAAATTTTAAAGACAAGAGACGTCGTCCTCGTCAGAAAAGAATGTTTACATGAACCTCGACTCCAAAGTCAACCTACTCAATGATGTCCTTAAGAGGAGAATTTCGACTTTTTTAGGAAGAAGATTCTTCGCAGAAACGCTAAGAGTAGTGTTCGCCAGTCGCTCACGGGTTTACAGAAGCCTGAAGGACAAGATCTCGCATCCGACCACTTCCAAGTGTATTTATCGATTCACTTGTTCTTGTGAAGGCAGGCATATTGCTCGTTCGACGCTTGTGCTGTCTGCAAGGGTTGAATGACACTATCCCACATAGTTGTAGGAAGGCAGTAGTGGCTGTATACAGTGCGACATAATTAAAAAAATCTTGTCAACACTGGTTATTCCATCTCAACAGACGCCTCCCTCAAACTGATCTACAGACAATACTGTCTCGTCTCCCATGCATTGGTGAAGTTCTAGCCATTCATACAGAGAAACTGGAACTATGCATGCAAAAGAAAATTATTCAACCAGACATCTTGTTGATACTGGTCATCTCGTAGAGGTTTTTAGGTCCTTCGAAACATTAAATAGATAAAGGACATCAAATTATCTACGATTTGCCGAAGTGATCTCAACCAAACGGTGTAAACCAGACTCAAGCGTGCAGAAAGAGAGTGTGATTAGTTTCTCATTACCTTGACAACTGAGTTTTGATTTTGATTACATTAATAATTAGTCATCTAATTCAGTGATGTCAACTCACTGAGCAAATCAAAATCTTATAAATTGTAACCGTTTTTGTTTTTTGAGTTGCTATGTTAACCTACAAGCTAACAGTCTGTTAATTTTTTCTGTTTTCTGTCTTACCCCTCCCCCCTCTTTTCAACTTTAAAAGCGTATAAATTGATGATGAAAACTTAAACTAAGAACTGTAATGATTACATTTTAGATGCGTCAATTTTATAGTATTTCTCCTCTGCTACCACTAAAACATTAAAGTATGTTATTATCATCTATATAACCATTGTAATTTCAGGTAGTCTGTAGCTGATGAGAACCTGTGAAATAAAACGATGTCATTTTATACTGTAAATTTCGTAATCCTTTCTTTATCGAAATTTATCAAGGGAACCAAATGTATAAACCCTTATTTTTATTTGTAAAAAATTATATTTGTAAAATCTCAGCGATAGGACTATTCTGTCAGATCTTGACTACAGTTCATTTGCCTTATTTTTATTTGTTTGTTTTTCCAACTCCTTATAACTAATGTGTTTCTTTAGAGCCTTTGCATGATTCCATATTTTTCCTCATATCTATGTCCATGCTGACTACAACTCATACAGTCGTTAAACTGTTTATCTTATTACGTAACTCTAATATATTTATTTATTCAACTCCTGTTATTCATTGAGCTATTTTATGAACTATGATTATGACAACCATTCGTCACTTTTGATGCCAACCTCTTTTATGAAGAAAAATGTGTATAAATGTGATTGTACAGCCAAAGGGTAAAATGAACAAACCAAAAAGGATCGCTTGTCTTGTATGCATCAATTTATTGTTACCCTTAAACCTACCTTCGTAATTTTTATCTGATTACAATACTGAGTGTCATGTGAATTATTATGCTCTAGATAGACTCCTGTATCACCTACTGTTTTGCTTATTTTATTTGATCCTTCTTTTTTCCAAGATTCATGTAAACTGAATTGACAAGTAAATGTGTGATCAGATCGTACAAAATGTAGTTTTTAAATATCGACTGATCATTTTGTAATTAAATGATATCCTAATACTTGTAAGGAACCAGATGTACACGTACTCGCTTCGCGGCGTTTTTCAATACAAGATATGAACGTTGCTAACAAAGTATCCTGTCTCTTGACTGACTGACTGACTGACATCGAATCCCTTTTTAATAACAATCCACTTACAAAAACTGTCTATTTTGTATGCAGATATATACAGAAGAAAGCCAGATGAACATCGGAATACCAACAGCGTAATTGAAGAAACAGCTACTGAATTCATTTTATGAAAATTCATACACATATATTAAGTCTACTTATTAGTAGTGTAAAATCTTTAAGAAATAATTAATTGAACTTACCTGTTTCACTACGAATTTCTGTATTACCATAAAATGATTCATTACCAATTGTAACTTTATTTTCTAGTATATTATAAACCGGTTGTTCAATCCCGTACTTCTCGCAGAGTTTTGCCAGTATCTCTGTTGGCTGTTGACTATCTTTCCACTGACAGTAACCATGACTAGAAGAAAATAGGGGAAAAAAGGTGAAGTTAAATTAATTATTCAATTTCCCAATGTAAATGAAAACAAGAACAAGAAAACACAAGTGAGTACAGACTCTTCTTCAGATGTGACTAGTAAACATAGAGGAATGTGTGCTCAACCAAACTGTCGTTGGAGGACATTTCAAAGAACATATCTTGTTTGTGTCATTCCTTGTGTTACAAGTGGAACATGCGGTTTCAGACATGCTAATCTCCAGTAACACTGGTGTTCATATTTTACAAGGAAGGATTGCTAGTCTCATGTCAAACCTTCAGTCATTTCCAGGCTTACTACCACTTGGGAGGTTAAGCGAGGTTTAGAGATGCGTCGGCCAAGAATCGAAACGGCATCAAGCTTTCTATGCACAGAATTACCGACGCACACAGAGTATATCATAGTGTGGTCTACACTACCTACCGATGTGAGTTGTACACACCGCTACTTTTACTTTCTTAATTGACTCTATTCATATCAAACAGGCCACACATATTACGATTTTGGTCTCCAAGGGAAACAGTGGTGAATTATCACTTTCAGCTGTGTCTGGGTAGTGCAAATTTGGAAATTTGCAAATGACAAATTAGCACCAGCGATGTTTGTCGGGTCAGTAGAATTCTCAAGAGAGTAACGAGTAGTTGTCAGTGAATCGAATTTGTGAAAGTAAAAGGAACTTTGGCTTCTACCTTTTTAAGAAACCTAATTTGGGTTTTCCTATAATTTCTGCTTTATATGGTAACACCAGAAAAGCTGTAAATTTGTTCATTATATCTTTTCTTTTTATGAGTCCTCTTGAATGTCTGAATAAATTACCGAGAATGATATTAACAATCACCTGATTCTGAATAATACACTCCATTGGTATTTCGCTGCAAAATATTCACTCATTTTGATGTAGAATCTTCATTTAAATCAATAATCCGCTGTATACAATTTACACTATATTATTATATCTGAAACACTCTTCAAAACCTCTCTCCCTCTACCTTAATCGTATATTTCTTTCACAAAATGAGTAACTGAATAACGAAGGCTGTTTGTGTTATACTGTGGTAATGGTTCTAATAGGGATAAGATAAACTTACGCATAATATTTGGGCATAAGACCACATGTGGCACGATGAGCACTATGGAAACGATTTTCTATATCAATGTGAGTTTCACCAATAAGCGTATCTGCCCCTATTCTTTCATGGTCCATTACCTTGAAGAAAAAAAAGAAAACGTGATAAACGAATCACATATCTTCACACAGGTTGTTGATTTATTTGAACCAGATCAACTCATCTCATTTATCCTTTGAGCTGCGTAAACGACTGATTTCATATTGTCGTGAGTTATACTATCTAGCAGGAGTGCATGACTCACATTTCATCTAATTTGAAGCTCATCACTTGAATGAAACTGCATAAGTGCCTCAAACCTACGTCCTATAGATTCAAGTTCACTATATTACTAAGGCTTTGAAACGATGGATGGAAAGCTGTGAGAAAAGAACCACCGATCACTGAGATGCAGGTATAGTCAATATGTTACTTAGTGTACACCTAGATGTATCTTTGTTGTTTTAAATATACGATTACCCTTCGTTTGTGTCAGTGTGCTTGTGTGGACTTAATACTCTTGTCTAGGAGTTAATTTTGATATCGAAGAAAATCAGCTAACGGAATTTATTCAGTACGAATAAGAAAACTATTGGCAGTGAATGTTTTCTAGTGCTATCTGTAGACTAAATATTTATCCTTAACCTGGATCAAAGGTTATTTCATTCATTACTTATGGCTACACTACTGATGGCTTGAAACACAGAACCACTATCTATGTGGTCAGTTATACATTAGCGTGTGATCATATAATGGATTATACGGTTAGAATACTCTTGATTTCTAAAGTAAATTACGAAGAGTTATATCCTTGGCATAAGTATAAAACTTGGGCACTGTGGTAGAGTATAACTCCATTGTGGATAAGATTTTATTTTGACAAATCACACAGTTTTGTGCAGTAATATTTACTTATGACGTTTTGAGCACAAACTATTGCTCATAATCATATCAGGTCACTCAAACAACTTTTTTACTTCATAAATTGATTAGATATTTGAATAAAATGAATAATAATAATATTAGTGTTGTCAATCAAATACAATCACATGGGAAATAAGACGAGTGTTTTGTAGTCAAAATAAGTAACTTGTTAGAATGTTATAATGTGAATTGAATACATTTTAACATTATTTATTATCCTCTGATTTGACTGGTGATAATATTTTCCATATATCTGGTATTTCCGTTGAGTCATTTCTATTCCATGTGTTGGGTGTAGACTCGATGAACAAGGATTCAGTAATCAATCTCTCTCGCTCTTCACCTACCCAGATTACTTTTTAGAATTTTAACCCTCTCGCACCCTATTGTGTAGTTGTGTGTTAATGCACGCATTGCAATTGCTGAGCTTTTTTCTAAATTACTTATCTTTTCAGGGTCAACCATTCTTCCCCTAGCTAAATTCTTATGTTATGACAGGCAAGCTAACTACTCTCGATCTACTAGTTTGACCTATGTAGTTGACTTAACTCACAGTCATTGCAAGGTATTTGGTATATCATATTATTTTGTCTAATTGGGTCAACTTAAAGGGTCCTTTAACCTACCTACAGAGCTTGTCCAGCCTGAGTGAGTTTGTAGGTTTGAATCCCATCCTAGTTCCTGCTTTAGTGAGAATCCTACGAAGGGTCTCAGATGTCCCCCACTCCTTTTGGTAGAAATGTAGATGTCTTATATTCTTTCTTATTTATTTTATCATTACTAGTTTCTCCATTATTTTTATTTCGACCTTTTTTGATCTTCCTAATGAATTTTATAGGATAGCTATTTAACACCAACGCCTCTTCTTCTATATATTTCATTTCATTGTTTAAGTTTAGGCTTTTATAGTTCACTGTGAATTTTGAACACGTTAAATGATTCGAAGTTTCACTTGGAGACAAAAAATTAACCTTCCAGTGTTTGTATCACCTCAATCTGTCTAGCCAAGACTATTCACTGATTTCAGTGGCGTTCAAACCAGTTAGTGTTAACTGATAAGTTTTTATCAACTAATTTGGAACCTGTAAAATATACATGATGATAAAGCGGAACGTATGCGCCATTGCTAACCATTTTTACTGATGTCATCAACAGTCTTCCTAAAGCCACATGCATACATTCTGCACCTCCTGACAATTATCTCTTTTCCAAAATAGTAGAACTTCAGCTGATATTTTTCGCTGAGGATACGGAGAGTTGGCAGGTGTAGCACATACCCTATCCATTTCAATCGGCAAAACTCCTGGAGATCGTTATCTACAGCTACCTCTTACTATTAACATTTCGCTCCGCTCTATACAGTCAACCTGATGAAATCGCTTGTAATCTATTTTTTTTATTTTGATTACAGCTTGATTCCACACTGTATTTTTGGTACAAGTATGGAATTTTTAGCATGGATATCGGTAGCACAAATTTTGCAGGCCGACCATAGATATCAGGTGTTCGTCGGCATGGGATCGAACCTCAGACCATATGCACTGTCGGCGAGAGTCCTAACCGCTGTGCCATAATAATAATAATTGCAGACCTTGGTACTCCTGCTCTAACATCTGACGTGAGTTTCTACGAATTGTTAGATGAGATGAAATTTAAATGAAACAACAGATATTTGAAAGTAACTACTACTTAGTAAAAGAATAAATTGGAACTAATGTGAAAAATCTAGATTTCAGTTGTAATAAACTAACATCAATATAGTAAGATTTTCGTCTACATGTACATCTTAAGATCGCGGAAATTTGTCTTAATAAACATCTATGCTAACTATAGAGTTAATCGAAATTGTTATAGCACTGAAAATATCTTCTACAATAGCACACTGTATCTTTTTTATTCCTAAAAGACCTGAAGAAAAGGTAGACGATATCGTCAAAAATACAAAACAAAATTTCTATCTAGGACTAATAACTTATTTTACGATTTCGCTTTCAGTTGCTACATTTTCTAACAGCAGTAAAACAGGACGTAACAAGCTGCTGGTTAGTAGAGAGGAGTAAGATTGCTTTCTCTTAATTAGAATAAATCGAGATATAAACCAAGAATATAACATCATCACTACTTATAAAAGCTTGTAAACACCAAATCCCCGATTATATATATATATATATATATATATATATAAGTTATCTAGCAATCCAGTATGTCAACTTACCTGTATACTGAGCAGAGAATCCATTGGTAAGTGAGCAATGAATTCATAATATTTTCCGAATATAGGATTCAAGGTTTTCGGTTTATAATCATCTCGATCATTGATAACATTTTTACCCAATGAAACAATTAAATACGGATCAGATTTACCGTTTGGATCACTTGGATGCAATTCAATCGCCTGATTAAAACATAAACAGCAGATATTTAAACTATTTTTCCGAAAGAAAACTATTTAGATGCGAAAATATGTAGGCAAATGAATTCTGATAGTGGTTAAATTGAGTAGTATGTGCAGAATTTATAGAAGAAGAAAAGGGAATTTCAATTAATCGGTTATTTCCATTACAATTCAATTAACATTCTGTAAGAGATTCAGTTCAGAGTCTTCAGTTCTGATATCGACAAAGTCACTGATAAGTTTGGATAGCAAGTGAATACAAACAACATGAGGAATTTCAATTTGGTTAGGCTGTAATGTGTTTGGTAATGTAAGCTCAATTTCACTGATTAAATTCTTCAAGACGAACTTAATGGGAGTTGCTGGAAAATTAAACCTACGCACTCTACTATTTAACTCTCAATTCCCTTAGATGGGATCTGATTCTTGATTAGGTCATTTGACTAGACCTCTCAGGGGGCTAAAATATCAGACTGTAGATTTTCAGTAGAAATCATATATATATGTACTTTTCCTCATTGATTGGAACTATCTAAAACTGTAGTCAACATTTAAACAATCAGTTGTTGGGGTACAAGGTTTTATATTAGAAAGTAATATTTATTTTGCTGTGTTGACAGGTTAATTTAACTGGAAAATTTCGTGTTTATTGCAGCCAGTCAGAATAAACTGTCTCGTCAGCAATCTGGAACGAAATTATGTGTGTGGAACTGTATAACACGATATATATATATATTAGAGTCGTCATTACTATCAAAGGCCAGTATTTATCTTCTGAAATTTTCGTTGTTCAGTGAAGTAGAGGATACTGAGTGGTAATAAAGTATTTAGTTAAGGCACTTATCCTTATATTAATCAGCTCTGAGCAAAAATATAAATATTTTGTGATATTAAATATGGTTGTAACATAAGCACTCAAAAGTTGTTGCAAGAGGTTAGTAACACCTGTGCAATTTCTCCTTGTTTGCTTCCACCGAGTATTGTGAATTGATCTGATGCACTTATGCACCATACTTCAAGACTGCAGACATGTCTTACTTACTTGTGAGTATCAACCAACAAGCACGAAACCTAGGTCGAAGGCTTCCTGCCGATTACCTCCAACCGTCTAATATTATTCGGACCAAAATGACTAGTTAAGTTTATGAAATGTGTTATGATACCTTGATTTACATTCATGTGCCGGTGAAAAATTGAAAAAAAAGGAAATAATTAAAGGACTTTCTCCTTGTTGGGTCAATATCAGTTGTGCAGCCAAGCCTAGAGAAGTAACTCTGCGGTATCTGTGCAGCACCATTGTTCGCAATTGCTTATTGAAGATGAAAATCCTACATCATTTTTTATTTATTATTTTTTTTATCACAGCTTGATTCCACACCGTATTTTTGGTACAATTGTGGAATTTTCAGCGTGGATATCGGTAGCCCAATATTCGCAGGCCGACCATGAATATCAGGTGTGCGTCGGCGTGGGCTCGAACCCCGGACTATGTGCATGGTCAGCGAGAGTCCTAACCACTGTGCCACCGACGCACAGCCAGTCGACAAGAACACTTAGGTATCTAAAGACACCTCTGATAGTGTGGCACCTCTCCGGTAACTCAGAAGTCACCGGTTTGAAGTATGATAGTCTAACGAGGTACACAGAAGTCTCCAATGTAGAATTACATGCAGAAACGACGAAACATAGACAAAAATCCATTCCAACACAAGCTATGCACTTTCTACTTCCTTCTGTTTTTCTCTAATCTGATTCACAATTTACTGCATTCTCCTGTTTTGAAACTTTATTGGTCGCTTCTGTGTTCACGACATCTGTATAGGATATCAAAGTATGTATGTAGTTATTATGAAGTCTTGTAAATAGAGTAGGCTTCATTATGACTCCAGCTTCAGTTACAACAACATTTATCATCTCCTTAGTGTGTAGCAGTTTTTGGTTTGTAGAATAGGTTGAAAAATTGTTCAAACTTACTCTTATAACGTATAAGCGTACAGTTAACTTGACTTTTATTTTGCTTGGTAGCGTTTTGTGTAACCGTAATTGTGACATTTCAGTTGGTAAGGGCTCATCATCATTCACCGGATAAATGGTTAAATTACCCTGAATTCAAAACAAGTTATCGGTATTAATATTACAAAGATAAATAATATATAAGTAAAATGTTTTAGATAGTTGAGTATTGACAAGTGAGTGAGTGTTATGGATGAGCAGTCTGATAAAATATTATGACTGCTAATTTCTTGTCGTTATGCCTGGATATCGACTGTTAGCCACTAACATCTCAGATAATACTCCGACTAGTCCAGCTAGCTTCGACGACACACTAAAGTTGTGGAGTTATCTTCCTCTAAGCAGGAACATGAACTTCATATTATTCTCTTTTATCAATTATCTGCAAAGGATGTACCGAGGAATCTATTGAAGAACTTCAAATTCTTCGAAGAATCTTGATGGAAAATGAATTCCCGCCCAGATTGATAAAAAATAATCTAAAACCAACGGAAAATTCTGAGCACGTCGAAGTCGCACCCCCAAAACATGCTGCTGTTTAACATTGAATTTAAAAATGAAACTCAGGCAGAAATTCTCCGTAAACGGTTTTCGAAATCTGTCAGTGATGCATTTTCTGCCTCCAGCCTACGAGTGACATTTTATTGCATGAAACTATTCACTCACCACGCCAAAGACAAGCTGTCTCACTGGGACATTTTGACATGCATACTCCACCTCACATGCTCTTGTGCAGCTAAGTACAGTGGCTTTACTATGCGTCCACTTGTAAAATGCACTCAGGAATACTATCCAGCCTGTCTGGCATAGGTCGGTAACAGAACATCTGGTGAACTCAGAACATCCAAATCCATTTGAAAAATCCTTCAGTATCATATATAAAATCCGATCAGACCTCTCAAAGGGAGCGAGATCAAGGCATTTAGACATACCTGAGGAACTAGCGATCCAAAAGTTCAAGACAAGGTTATATATCCAAAAGAAATAAGTCCAACCATTGTCTCATCATAAACAGTCAACCCTCACAACAGTGATTATCCTATCCAAACTTCCTGTTTATTTCGGTAAGTTTTACGTTTTTTATTCTCTGTTTGCACTAGTATGTTTTTTATCAGAACTTCCTGTCCGTTTTGTTATTACTTCTAAGTTTTTAAACTTTTGGTGCACAGAAAGTCAATTTCTTCAGTAATTATGATCCTGCTATGTTTCTTGGCGATCATCCAGTTTGTTGTTATATTTTAATCCCTATTTGCAACTTTATCAACTTGACCCTTGACCGGAACTAGTTCTGGAATTTTCCCACCCATTTCCTATAAATACACGAATATACAGCATAGTTGATAACTTCATCAAAAAGGAAGTTTTCTTCTTCGCTTTAACCGCCTTTGTAATATTTCCTATGACACACTAAAGGACAACAGAATGTGTATTCAGACTGAAGATACCTAGTTATAGTAAAAACTGAGAATATCAGCTGTCAACTTATATGGTTATAAACAATAAAGTGTGCTCGAAAAGTCTCCCACCATTGAATAATACCATTTCACTGTATAATATGTGTGCAATAAACAAATTATTATAGGACTGCATACTACCTCAATGTCCAGGTATTACACATAATATTAGTTTTCACTTCTCCTAAGCCTATGATATACCAGTCGATGTTAACCGAAGAACAATGCTGGACAGTAAACCGCTATACTTTAACCAGTCAAAATCTTATTGTCATTTCCTCCCCTGTTATTGTATTATTTGGATGCGAATTCCATATGTAAGCAACGAACTGACACCGCGCGCATAGGTTAGGTGATTTTGCAGTTCAGTAAAGCACTGTCTCCAGTTACTACAGCTTCAGTCACATAACTCAGTGAGATTGTAAAGATGAACATCATCTATCTATATAACCTCTAGACGCAATAAATTTCGCACGGATCCTGTGACGCTGTTGAATACGAATGTATTTCTGCATCATTCTATCAAAGTTGCCATTGAAAAAAATAAACGGAAATTGCTCGTAAGGCGACATGTTAACAAAAGAGACTAATACAGTAATCTACAGGTTTACTTTTGGAAGTCACTTAGATTCTACCATGTCTATTAGAATATTTAAACCATATGTCTAGTAAATAACACTTGAAAACAGTCGAATTCAAAGATGAACGTCTGAGTTATACTGTTTTTCAGGGATCACTGTATGCTTTTAATGAAGATTTAAGTGGACAGTGGATAACTCACTCATCATTCAGACAACACAAACATTTTCTAGGTAGAGTCATCTAACCTTACAACACACATAACTGATACCCGTGAAGAATACCTTAATTTTTACACCAAGATGCATTTTAATCTGATCGGATACTAGTTAGCAACTAGTATAATGTATCTAGACTTTTGTTTGGTGCAGACTGAATTCTGTCAGTCACTTGTGCAATGTGGCTACCATTCACGGTGCACTGTGAATTGCGGATAAATTGGATGGTTGGGGGTGATTGGCAGGAATTCTTAATCCTAGGCCAATTGCGAGTGTGAACATTTCAGTGGTAACGTCTCTTACTGCTGCACTGGGTGACGCGAGTTCGAATCCTGGGAGGAAATGCAGCTCCAACTTGCTGACAAATTCCAAAGAGCACAAAACCTAGTTCCAAAGCTCCCGCCTATTGCCTTCAACCATCTTACATATGTACTTTAATTCTATATTATTAATAGTGTAATACTGTAGGGGCCTATTCTAGGTATTTAAGTGCAAACATGGAAAGCAGACAAATATCGTTTACCTTGAAAAATCCTGTTATACGGCTATCAGATACATCGTCATCACGTTGTTTCCCTTTATAAAATGGAAGATTTTGGAAAGGTTGCTCAAACCGGTTAAAATCTGGGACTTCTTCAAGTGCAACTGGATATATCTGAATTCAGGAAAGAAAAAAGATAATGTAGGACAAGTACACAATATATTTTTCATGCAAATATTTTTTTAAAAATTTGTGATGATTAAAATGACTCTCTCAGTGATGACTTAACGTATCTCGATTTTTTGAAAAGTGTCGGCTGGCTTGGTGCCTAAATATACACACCTTTATCTAATATCCTAAATGGAACTATACCTGCCAGATTGGTGACAGTCCTATATTTATTGATAAATACCTCATGCGAACGATTTGCATGCCGTATTCGCGTTCAACGGCTGAAATACCTTGATTGCTAAGGTTTCATTGTCTCTATAGACAGCATAATCAGTAATAATCTCAGAGCAAAGTAAACCTTGAGAATTCTCTGTGAATACAAAGGAAACAGACTAGTTAAAACTAATGTGGTGTTCATTTTTTTCTATCTATGGACAGTGATGTGATAATACAGCCCTTCATATCAATATGAACATTAATTTCTTTCAAACTAAAAAACGTGGAAATCTTGAGATGGAGGGACATGAAGAATCTTCGACAATTCCTAAAATACTTGATGCTCAGAGGAATCTACATTTCACAGACAAATTTGACATTAGTTGGAATTATCAGACAATGAAGAAACAGTCAAAAGATCAAAACTTGAAATACCAATACAAGTGAACTTCTCGGTTCTTTTTGAAGTTAGCGCTGAAGATTAATTAATTCATCCTGTTTAGGGAAGAAACACAATAACGCCAAGGAAATAATTACTCACTTTATTGACATGTTGACCCAAGTGATTTTCCTATGTTCTTCTGAATAAGAAAATCTCACTTTAATAATTATATCAGAATTTCAAACAGACGAATCTGTAATACAATGTTGCTAAGCTCCGTACGTCTATATATCACATGAGAAGCTTTGCAATGCAAACGATTACATTATTGTCCTTTGAAGTGAATACAGGAGTAAGTCAAGACTACCTTCCATCACTGATGATATTCCTAGTTGTGATGGACTAGATTTACGTCATACTGTGGGAAGCGAGAAGACAGGAATACGTTGTCCGATAAGAAGACTAGAGAAGACCTGGATTTCACGGGTGATTTATGTCCAACATCCCACACCGTGAAGCGTTTAAGTGACAGAGCACAAAAACTAAGTAGTACCAAGGAAAATCTAAGACGGGAAGTGATACACATAAAAGAAGCCTTGAAATTTAATAATTACCCGGATAAATTGGTCAGGAAATATATAAGGAAATGCAAAAATGAAATAAATAATGATAACAGAGATAGTGATAATAATAATAATATCAATGACGACACCAACAATAAGGAATGTAAATCATCAGTAGTAATTCTATACAAGGAAGGAACCTCGGAAACCTTACGTAGAATTCTTAACAAGGCAGGAATAAAAGTGGCATTCAAACCCACAAACTCAATTAGAAACAAGCTTTGTTGGTTAAAGGATCCTGTGGAGCCATTAAAACAAAACAATTTAGTTTATCTAATACCCTGCTGGAATGATTGTCAGGTCAAATACATAGGTCAAACTAGTAGAACAGGGGCAGTCAGACTAGCCGAACATAAAAACCTAGCTAAATCTAGATTGGTTGACCCGAATAAGATAAGAAATCTAGAGAATAGTTCAGCTATACCACTCACTACATGAAGTTACACACAACCATACAATCGGATGGGATAGGATGACAGTTTTAAAATCTAATGTCACACGGTATAGAGAGAGATTAATAACAGAATCTTTGTTTATCGAATCAACTGCAAATACATGTAATAGGAATGATTCAACACCTGTCCCAGATATCTGGAAAATTCTACTGCCCATACAACAAATAGAAGACAGAGAAAACTATAAAAATCAAATCTCGAAGTCGTGTGAAAAAATTGATATGATTATGAACAATAAATTGTGTTCGAAACGTCATCCAGTATATAATACTGTTTCACTGTGAGATACATTTAATAATCAAACTAATATGGAATTACTTAATACCACAGTGCCTAAGTTTTACACATATATTAATATCACACAAACTCAAAGACTTGACGGCGAAAACCAATAAACTGATTGAAGAAGTTGGCAGCGATGACAGGACTCCTGGTGACCATAGAGAAGATGGAGGTGATGAAGATAACCAACCAACAAGAACCACGACAATCACCAATCAATATCAACGGCAGAAATTTGAGAGAGGTCATTTCCTTGATCATTTCAATGGCAGATAGTAGCACAAATGAGGACGTCAAAACACCCCAGAACCAGAAAGACATGACAGACCATCACTCTAAAACCATAATGTGGAAATCTTCTGCGTTGCTCAGCATAAACAGCGAGAGTCTCAACACCAATATTAAGTCATTCATTTTTCTACATGGGTGAGAAACTTGGCATGTGCATCAATAAAAGCATTTCTAACAGGCTGCAGACTTTTATCAACAACTGCCTTCTGTAATTCTATACTGGAGATCAAATGGCCGGTGAGAAGGAATTGACAACAAGGAACTCTTGGGACCAGTCAAACAAGCACCTATACCTCAAAAAATATGCAGAAGAAAATGGAGACGGATCAGACACACATTTTTGGGACCGTCGAATGACATCGCTCGCTAAGCCCTCCAGTGGAATCTGAATGGAAAACGATGAATAGGACGTCCGATATCAAACTGAATGGCAGGAAACTTACTAATATTGTTTCTACCCAACTTTGATCCTCCTGAGTCTCAATGTCATAGTTTAAGTCTATAAATTCCTTTTGAAACAGTCCCTTGGAATTAATCTAACGAAAATAAAAAAAGAAACGATTTACAGCGCATAAATGTGGTGCATATCACTAATGAAAGAAAAGGTTATAAAATCATGGCAAAGTTTTTTCATCCCTGCTTATATCTGGCTGAGATCGACCATCCACATCTTGATAATTGGGCTTGTTGAACGGATGCCAGGATTAATAACTTGAAATTACTTGTTTAACGGTGTCTAGCAGCAGAATCCAGTATGTCCATCTCGTTCTGTTTGAGAGTTGTCAGCTGTGTCTATGTACTCCTCATTGAGTGGCAATGACCCAATTGACTGTCAAACTGAGTACCAATAGCTTCAAACACCAAAGGGTTGTCAGTAATTTCAAATGATATGCGCTGCACAAGAGGTAACTTCTGTTGCTTAGTGGCTTAGTGGATGATTAAAAAGACAAATACTGGGTTTAAGTCTCAGTAGGGACATATCACTTCAGTAGGAAGTAAGTAAACCCATTTGATGAAATCCAAAATGGATGAAACATCATACCTGAATCCCACTACTAGCCAATAAGAGTCAGCTTCATAAAATTATAAGTATCCAGATCGTATATGTTACGAATTCCCTGAATCAAACTGAATCAATATAAATTATTATTAAAAAAAATAATCGCTTTCCCAGTTTATTTAGTTTTAAAAATTAGACTACTATCAAGTAGCCAAAAATATTAACAAAAATGTTTTCATGAGTCAGTGTCACATCCCATTGTGTTTATCCATTAAATGTATGTGTGAACACACGTACATAGGAAGGACCCGTTGGTCTCTGCAGGTTAGGGCTACAGAAAATATCCCAAAGTGGCTGAAACAACAAATAAAATCGTCGGATACAAATGATCCCGGAAACAGATACCTAACATCATCCATAGCGAAGCACATTATAGAGACACGTCATAAGATTGATTTCAATAAAGTTCACTTTATTTAATTCAATTTTAGAATTTCCCATCGATTGATTGGACCAAAGTGCTTGGTCTCAGGTTGACATGTCGGCTTCTTGTGCAGATGCTTCGGCGACGTTTGAGCATGCAATTAGAAGTTAATTGGTGGATGATGACCAGCAGTGGAATCCAGGATGCGCATTTCATCCTATTTGGGACTCGTCAACCTGAGACTGAGCCCTTTAGTCCAATCGATCGATGGGAAAATCAAAAATTCAATTCAATAATTAATATGACCCGTTGCACAGGAGGTGGCTTTCGTGATCTGGTGGATAACGCATTGGCGTTTGAAACTATGGGCACTGGGTTCAGTCTCGATGGGAACATCATCACTCACTGGGAAGTGCAGGTACATCCAGAAGACGAGTCCCAAATAGGACGAAATGAGCATCCTGAATTCCACTGCTAGCCGCCATCCACCAATTAAAGCTTACTTTGTTTTAAAGTTAGCACTCAAGATGTTGTCAAGTGAGACAATGAAAGCTTCGCAAGTGAATAAGCCACTTAGCACAGAGAACCCAAGGACGGCAACAACACACGAAACAACAAACTATACAGAAATCCAATTAAATTATCTGGTTAAAAAATTAATACTGATGAACACTTATCACATACAAATCTTTCTTTGACTTTTGTTTTCACACTCTTCTTATTCTTCTTCTTTTTAACTTTTGCTCTACGCTTGGCGAGTTCCATTTGACGTTTTTCTAAGGCAGTCAACTTTTTCTTTGTTTTCTTATTAGCTCTTCGCCAACATCTTCTTTTCTGTTTATAATCTAAGTAAGTTGGTTGTACTCCGTTGCTTTGGATAGCTTCTTCTGTATATGCGAAAGAAGAGGACACAGGGAAAAGAATAAATCATGCTGCGCAGTAAAGCAAAATGCAAATGGAATGTTAGTTTAGATATCAGTGTCCATTAAATTTCTAATAGCAATGATTTGCTTTATTCCAAAACAGTACTGTATTATTATATAATGTTTTATAATGACTTCTGGGCGTATTCGATGAGATATGTTAGGAGGGGGGGAATCGTAAATAGAGAGGATACTGATTTTTCTTTTTATTCCCAGTGGAACATAGGGCTTCAAACTACAGCTTTGAAGTTTCGGTAACGGTAGTGTTTATTTTTGATGGGATACGGGTGCTAGCCCCATGCCCAAACTTTCCTCTTTACCAGTCTTATTACTGGCTCAGCAGGGTAAAGGATGCTAATAGCCAGGCAATATAGATTTAGACCATTTCTCTCCTGACTGCAGATGTCTATCACCTTATGTAGTAACAAGCTGACTAATTTGCATATCACCTGCCCTACTGACAACCTTTAATGCCCTTCTCAAACATTTTCTTAGCAGTCGACATAACACATAGGATGACCAAAAAACGTCAGAGGATAGAACTACTCCAAGGTATTTAATGCTTGACTTAGTTTCTATTTCAATGCCGTCTATGCTACAAGCGTCATGTGAGCCGATCAGTTCGCACAGATCGCGTTTATGCCTAAAGGCGTAATCAACTGTCTGACACTAAGACCACTTGGCTTAGATATCTGTGTGGTTTATACTTAGGCACTCAATCTTTAGTATAGTATAGTGGTTAAGACGCTCGACGACCATGCACATGGTGTGGGGTTCGATCCCCGGCCACCGAAGCACTCCTTTAGCTCGCTGAGCCAAAAATAATGCTCGTAAAGAGGAAAGGTTGGGCATGAGGGTAGCAACTCCATCCTTTAAAATTAAACAGTGCTACAGAAACTTCAAGCCACTAGTTTGAGGCCCTATGTTCCACTGGGAACGTGAAGGAAAAACAAAACTCAATCTTCAGCCAGTGGGTTCCGAATTCGACGCCAGCTCTGCTTACTTCAGTCTGGATAGCTGGACAGTATCATCAGCTCTTACACAACAGGCGTGGTTCATAGTCTAGTACGTGAAAGATCTGTTTCGGATAAACGAGTTCTAACTTACTAACTAAATAACTAACTAACGAGATATTTAGACTTTATGACATTTCAATGTGTATCAGTGAAGACAGTAAATACAACACCGCCTCTATTGAAACATCAAAGCTTGAAGCACTATGTTCCATTCGACACGCAAAAAATAAAGAAAAAGAACCTACTGGAGTCCTCCTTTAAAATTAAGTACAAATTGAGACCAAATAGTAAAAGAAATAGAAATCTTCGAAGGAATATTTAATAAAGTGGGAATAATTGTGGTTTTCAGCCCAACTAATCCATTCCTAGGCAACTTTTGGGGGCATTATGGATTCTTCTGCCCCGATTAGGCAAAATGATCAATCCCACCAAGTACTGTGCACCAACCATGAGAGTAAACCAGTCTAAGGGTATGGATGGATGGACAGCTGGATTGGATATTCAGTCACTTGTTCATGGAATCAACACTTTACACGCATATGTAGCACAAAACGGGAATTAATATTACTACTAAGGTCGAATAATGAATTAATTAGTTTACTGTCCCATTACCTCCACCCTCCTCCCAACAGCGCACACATCTTTAATGCTGTCTGAGGTAGTGGAGCTTCGCGCTACCACTTTAGCTTGATACTAAGTCTAAGATTGTTTAGTGATTCTGTCTGGAAGGGTTGAGATTGACTGATTTATATTTTGTGCAAAAACAATTACAGCTTATGTCTGCATAATATAGTCTGTGTTTTCAAAATAAGACAGTCTAACAACCTCCGTTTCACATGAAATCTGAAAAACGTTCATATTATCCATCAAATTTGTTTGAAAGTCATTACGGTTATGAGATGTGAATATTTCAAACAATAATCTCTTCTGAAAGTATCATAAATAAAGTCATTATGATCGCAGTAGAATGATGATCTCGTAGCGCAACTCACTCAGCTGGCAGACAGTGAGACTAATAAATAATCAGTGTTTGGCAGTTTGAATCCTAACTTGACACAGACTTTCTTTCCACTCTCAGCTATCACACTTTATTTTATATTTTGACGAATTTAACTGCCTTTATAGTGTCCAATATATCATTAGCCGAATGACAATGTATCCAGTTCTCTATTAGCAGAACATATAGTTCATTTTTCCAATTAAAACTTATCAGAAGATTGCATTTTTTAGAAGGTTGTTCTTATGATGCTTTTCAGGTTCCGGTTCATTCCACTAAACTATCTGTGTAGATTAGGAATTTTTAATATTCTCCGGTAGTTCAACTCAACATTTCTTACACCCAAATGAGCTTGATCTTTAACACTGATAGGATCCCACATATTTTGGTATTGACTGTTTAATCTTGCATATATGGTATGTTATCATTCTCACACATTTTGGTATTGACTGCTAATTTTGTATATATGGTATATTATCATTCTCACACATTTTGGTAGTGACCGTTAATCTTGTATATATGGTATATTATCATTCTCACACATTTTGGTAGTGACTGCTAATCTTGTATATATGGTATATTATCATTCCCACACATTTTGTTACTGACTGTCAACCTCGCACATATGGTATATTATCATCTCTCACGCACTTTGTTATTGGCTATTAAGATAAATTATTTCAAATGCTGTTAGCTGTCCATATTGTTGTAAAATGTATAAATACCATGGCTTTCTTTATCGTTGTGGCACTTCAATACACAGTCACAGTCCAGCCTTTGTCTTTTGATATTTGCGTGCTTTACTAAATCGGAAGGTACGACAAGCAGATAGGCAGATTAGTTCAGGCGCAGACAGAATAAGGTGAAAACGTCTTCATTCAATACCCTACCGTTATAACAAATTGGCGGCGGGGTTTACCTTAATTCAGTGCAGTTATAACAAACACAGAACTGTGCACTAAAGTGTAGCACTTCAAATTGCCACAGCATTTCATATGAGACATACATAAAGGTTGATGAAAACAAATATGAAACAACTACAATGAACACAAATTTATCGGCTGATGAATAAGAACGTGGAGAACAATAACAATTTAATTGGTCTGGAAATTTGTAAAGCGTGAATGCGTCTGGGTCGATTTTAAGCACTGTCACCAATAGTCTCCAATCACTGATTTTCACCATCTGGTTGACCACAAACTGCGTTATGTGGATCAAATAAACGGTCAAAAGGTTTATGGACCATGCCTAACTCTTTTCTAGTTGAATCCTGTGTGGCCTAACACCGCCCGATGGCTTGGCAGATGTATCCCAAATCCAAATTTGTTTCCATCTATGGAACGACAAACTCTTTGGTGCAACCAAAAGCTGACAGATACTCTTCGCATGTTAACTCTAATTGTGTATATACAAATTTACGTGTATATTCGGCAGCAGTTACATTGGGAGAACAGAAGAAAGGGGCATATCACAGATTCTCTGATTATGTACCAAAACATTCACGTCTCAAAGGAGTAAATGCTTTGAACAGTACTATTGTCAGACATCTTGTTGATACAAGTCACGAGGTGGGTACCGTGTAACCCTTCAAGATTATTAATAGACAATATAACTGAACTCTCTCCGCAACTGCTATCAGACGTTTAAAACCTGACTTGAGTGTTGAGAAAGATTCACTTATCAGTCTTTACTTGCCTCAGTGACCCAACCTTTAATCTCTTCGTCTCAACTGATTACTTAATTTTTGCTTTTAACCCCCTCCCCACCCTTTTCACTTCTTTTTTATTTCTATAAATTGAGTTAAACTCACCACACTACTACTCATCACCAGCTATTCTCCGTTTGTCTTGAATGTGCAACTCAATTTGTGAAGTATCCGACCATTCATTTAGCATGTCTGTGTTTCTACGTAACCTTAAACTTCCACATAAGTTACATATGTGGATCTTCTGAACACTGCTTGTTAACTTGTGTCTGTTTTAACAGAAATCATGTTTATCCCTGCAAGTATCATAAAATTCTGTGTACATTTATATAATCAACTCCTAGGATGTAAGCAGCTGAAGAGAATCCGATGAAATATATCTACTATTCTGCACAAACATATTTTTGCTTTTACCAAATGTAGTTAAACTAGGTATACTACATAAGCAGTAGTCATAAACTACATGTGAAAATAATTCTATTTAAACATGAGATTGAGAGGTAAATCGTGAAGGAATTATTATTATTATCGTCATCATTATTACTACTATTATTAATTTATCCTGTTATGGTCATTGTTAACATTAATACCACATAAAACGTACCGTCTGAGTCATTGTCTGACTGGACTGCAATTTTCTCTAATTTCTCTTCAATATCACTGTCTTCTGAATCCGTCAGAGGGTCAACTTCATTCTAAAAATAGATAAACGTACATCATGTGATAATAACATTCCAATTTTCGTAACTTGATAAAATATTTTTTGGAAAGAAATTATCAGTGATTACATAGACGTCTTTTTTTTAAGACTTTCAAGCATGATGAGATAGATGAATTTGTCAGTATGCGACCAATGAAGTGATACACAATGAAGCCTACTGATTGGATGTGAATTCTTATCAGTAAAGTGAAGTCAAGTAGTGAAGTAGCCTTGACAAGCTGAACGCCATACTACTGAGAAGTAAAAACCAGTTATTCAGAGGGTGTTGAGGAATATCAGGTTAGGCAGGAAGTGACTATTCCATAAGTTGGTTAAATTTCTGAAACAAAATCATGTTTACTGGAGAGGTTGGATATTGGATCCACTGATAAGTATTACTTCCTATCTTGAAAATCATCAACAGCTCAGATTTATCAGTAGTATATTAAAAAAACATTCATTGGCACAAAAATGTCAAATAGTGGAGAGATAAGTTTGAAGTCAAAAGAGAGAAAACGAACCAGTATTGCGGTTGAACACGAGCGACACGTAAAGAAGACAAATAAACACAATACGAAGAGCAGAAGGAGCACAACATAGGAGATCTGTGCATATGGCGATCTTAGTATATTGTATGCATAAGTACTCTATATGTGTATGTCAAACTGCAAATAAACAATCCGTTACCAAGTCTCTTGTCCTCTTCCGTTACAAAAGGTCATATAATTTAATTTTTATGGGCACATAACTAAACAGTTAACGCATAGAGTTTGTATATTAAACTTGTAATTGTTTGGAAACCTAAAAAAAACTATATAAAAAGCCCTGTTTTCTGCACATTGGCCTTCTTCCTGGGAAAACTAATCTTGTCTTCTTAGTCTGTCCTCTTGGACAGTATTCGAGCAGTTAATCATATAATATCTATCATGTGTTAGAGTGCTGTGGGAGAATAGCAACAGTCTTTCCAGTTCACTAGTAGTAGTCGGTTAGCAAGGATTTGATTCAAGAGTTATCCGACTGTCTTATCAGGGCTGGAAAAATATGTGCTAAAAATAACCGAGTGATTTTTATCCTATTTCACAGTTGTGTAACTACTAGTCGACAGTTATTAAATCCGTATAGACTTTATAATTTTATGCATACTTTTGTAGTCAGTGTTAACTCCTAAAGAGTCACAAGTTGTTAGGATAAAGTACTTAATCAATATCCTTTCGTTTCCAGCAGCTTTCTAGGTGTCTTATGCCAATGAGATGAATCAGAGGACGTGGAACTAATCAAATCCCTGCAAGAATTATGTAATGATCATTAGTGTCTGGTTACAGAATGAAATTCTCTGGTGTAAAGTTGTAACCAATGTGGTCCACAATGCTGGATGTAAATCCAGGTACTCGCTGGTGACATTGGATGGCCCTTCAGGTATATATTGTGGACGGACAAAGGCCAGAAATCATAGTGTCATTTGCTTCCATCTCAATGAACAAATGGTAGGCTTTGTTCCGTATGAAGTCATGGCCACGCGCTACTAAAGAGTCCCAGACTAGGATGAAAAAGCTCTTCAGTACTCCTTGGTTTACAACGGTTCTCTGACTGATACTAATCTGTGATATAACTTGAATCAGTGTGAAGTGGCTTTCGTGATGAGTGAGGTAAACAATCGCAGGATTATTTAAAGTTTATTTATCATTGATATGTTTTATATCTCTGTTTCTTGTCTCCTACTCTACTGGTTTAAACTAATTCTGAAGCCATGAATTGATTCATTAACATTTTATGCATACAGATAATTGGTTAGTTTTGTAGTTAAAAAAAAACGAAACAGGTGACTAACTAACTTTATATCGAGATTCATCATAATTACTCTCTCCACTTCTTATTGTTACATAAAAACGAGTCCACCAATCAGCTGTGGCTAGCTGTTCAGGTGTTGGCCCAGGATGCGTTGTAACAAGATGAGCCTATTAAAAGTCGAATATATTAAACAAAAATGCATAATTAAAGTCTATATAAGGCAGAAAAAAAATTAAAATGAGTGAGCTAGTATGTATTTGTAGACCTTGTTATTAGAAATTGATTGAGTAACCCCAGACTGAGGTGAGTTAGTCAGTGTTTTTAAGCTTTGATTACGCCGCTAGAGGAGTAATAATAATAATAGGAACCGAAAATCCCCCTAATGTAATCAGAACAGGATGATTCCTGAGCCAACAACTGTTTTCGAAAACTTCTTTCTTAGGCTCTACATTTGCAAATCCGTGAATACTAGAATACACTAATAGCCAGTAAAGGCGAATGAAAATTATACCAGAAACTGTATTTGTTGGCGTACAAGCATAAGATGGAATGATAGTTCGTTAGTTAATATTGTCAGTTGAATGTATTTAAAATATGCAGTCATTCAGAACATACGATGAAATGTAAATAGACAGCTTGGTGACATCAATGTATTTGTAGTCAACAGAATTTAAGTTTAATTGGGGTGGGGGGAGGTAGTGAGTTATATTCAACGGTGGTATTTATGTATTTTGCGGTAATTATATTTCTGTTACGGCCTGGCCCTTGTCTTTTGTCATTACACTCTGAGCTGGTTGATTTAACTGCGAAGCTTCTGTTGTCCTTCTATACACCATCTTCAGTGTAGGCTTCAACATTCAGTGAACTTATTTAAATTCACCATACTAAAGTTTGCTCTGAGGATTTTGTCGAGAAGGACAAAGGAAGCTTCGTAATGAAAATCAACCAGCTCAGAGAACACAACCAAATGAAAATCATCCACCTTAGCTACAAATCTTCTCTATTAGCTGATACGTTTAATACAGCAAGCTATCAAATCACTGAATTGTAAATCTAATCCACATTTCAAGTTAACCTAACTCTAGTAATAAACATTATTCATCCAATGTTGTCTATCGAGTGGGGTATATTCTTATATTACTTTATAATTATCTCATAGCTAAACGGTTCTCATTGTTCCACATACATGCAAACCTGTTATAACTGCACTGAACTGAATAAACCCGTCGTAACTTTGTTATGTTGCCGCTTGCTAATTGGTAATAACGATACCGTAAATTTATTAGGAAAAAGACACATGGTATTGATGCGTTTTTACAACAATAAAGTCGGCTCACAGCTGTGAGAAATAACTGATCACACAAGTCACAATATACTTGAGAAATGATGGTATACTATTCTAAGCAGGATCCTAACAAAACCAAAAATTCATTGAATGCTTTCAATCCAAGTTAGCTGTTCGTACATGAGTGACAAACCAAACGCAAAACAAGTGACGTAAGTATACTATCAACGGTAATGTTGAAGCATCTGTACAATTAGCCTGTATACTATAAAATAAGGCCAATCAATTAAGCCCAGAAATATCAACAAGAAAATACGAATAAAATAAATCATGTCAATCTTGTGGCTATTAGATGACACTTTAGCCCTTCAAATGATGTGTGTTGGGTATGTATCTCAGTCAGTCAGTCAATCATTTACTTGACGTGAGTGATGAGTCCCTAACAGAATGAAATTCATATCTTGGACGCCATTGTGACCAATCATCATCCTATTCTTCTCATAAAGAGATGATATAAAATCTGAACCTTGCTTTTCACAGTCAAAAAATGTTTTCAAACTTACGGGTTAATGCCACTATCTTCCCAATAAACAGATAACTTAAAAAAGGATGACACTGCTCAGCCTCACTTTTTTTCCCGTCTCAAATAGAAACCCTTGAAAAGTATAAATTACTCTTTAAAGTTAGTGTTAAGAATTTCATCAGGCTATCCACGATTCAAATATGAAAACTCACAGAAAATCAAACAATGTCCATAAATTGCTAGAGTACAGTCAATACTTTCTTTCCTTTTAACGTATATTGGCGTTAAATTAAATATGACCAAGGTGTTGTCTCATTGTCTGTAAGAATCACACCACATCAGTATGCCTTGTAGACGACCTACACTGTTTATTAGGTGGACGAGTTTATTCCTTATAAGAAAATTATCCACAGAGTTAACCACATTCAAGTGAAATTTCAAAGATGTTAATCATGCTAGCACCTGTGGTGAAGACATTCGGCTTTTTTAACACAGCGCAAATTAAAGCGGCATTCAAACCTACAAATCTACTGAGTGATAAAGTGTGCAGCTGGTTAAAGGATCCCACGCTGACCTGATTAGACAAAATAACCCAATCAGAAGAATACTTCCCAATGACTGTGAGGTCAGTTTCATAGATCAATCCAGTAGATCTGGATCATAACACAACAGTCTAGCTAGATCTAAAATGACTGACTCTGAGAAGAATGATTGTAATTCACACACACTAACGAACAGTAGGATAGCATAGAAATAAAGTTCTAGAGGGGAGAAGAAACGAAGAAAAAGGGTGATAGCTGGATCTTTGTTCATCGAATCTACATCTAACACCTACAACAAAAATGGTGTACCGCAAGCACTAGATATATGAAAAATATGAATACTGCTTACACAACTGTGAAGATAAAAGCCTAAATACAAAAAGGAAAACATAGAACAAAAAAATTGCTTTTATAATACAAATGTGCATACTTGACCCGGTAGAGCTTCAGCTGGTTTCTTATCTGTTATAACACCAGAGATTACACCGCCATCTGAAGACATTACATCCAATTCATCAACTTTATCAGGTAGTTTATACTTTAAACCGTACTGTTGAAAACTTGGATTCATATCAGCTAAGAGTTCAGCAGCAGATCTACTTGTTTCAAACGATTGTTTACTTTCGAAATCATTATCACTTATCTTCGATAGCATCAGTTCACTGTTCGCCTCTTGAAAAGATAGATCTTCACCTTTGCCAAAACCAAAATTCAATCTTCCTGGACCATCGGATTCACTGTCAATATATACTGTACTAGCATTATCTGACCATTGACCTAGAGGGAAATAAAAGTTGTTTTTATTTAATAAAACCATCGAGGAGATAAATATTAGCTATGGGAACTGATTTATGCTAATATTTATTAGATTGTAATCAGTAATCCAATTACTAAGGTAAGAGGGAATAAAAACGCTTAGACTTAGGGATTGATTACAGGTAAATTTCCTCATGAACTGACATCACTTAGAAAATGACTGACAGCCAAGGAGCAATAAACATCTGTCTCGACCTAGTTTAGAACTGTTCAAGAATGTGCCCACAACATTTCCCCAGGGATTGAACTTACGATATTCCTTCAGCTAACAAATGAACAGCAAATAGATTGCAATCAAATGATATTGTTATTATTGTTTCCCTTAGTTCCTAGAGGAACATAGGGCTTCAGCCGCACGTCTCCATTGCGTTCAGTTCCCTACCAACGTTTTCACCTGGCTCCACGTTTGCTCAATGCTTTCATCTCCTGTAGTCTGTAGTTCGTTTGAGGTGCTCTTCATGATGCACCAAGTCTCTGATCCTTACAGTAGCACTGACTCCACATTGGAGTTGAAAATATGAACCTTATTTTTGATGCCGAATGCTGCTGACCTCCACACAAACTTGAGAGAAATGAAAGCTTGTCTTACTTTCCCGATCCTCGCTGCTTTGATATCCTCGTCAGTCCCGTCCGCCTGTAGCTGAAACAATGCTTCCCAGTTAGGTGGGTAGGTAAAAGAGGTTGCTTCTTTCAGGTTGCTGATTGTTATCTGTTGTTGCTGCTGATGCTGGCCAGGAATCTTTACCACCTATGTCTTTTCTGTGTTCACCTGAAGTCCTATCTTCTCTGGATGCTTGTTCTGCCAACTTGTTGCTTTTCACTTGCATATCTTCCAGTTTGTGGGAAATCAGACATACATCATCGGTGGAGTCCAAGTCCTGGAAGTTTTTTTGCGGGTTCATTTTATGCCTGTTTCCTCGCTGCCCGCTCTCTGACGCACTATCCAGTCTACCGCCCACAATAAAGTAAATCACTGAAGATAGTAGACAGCCAGCCAGCTTGTGTTACTTCCGTCTTCACTTCGAAGGATTCTGTGAGTTTCCCGTTGTGGATTACTTGGCATGCAGCATCGTCGTACAACTGTTGGATGAGACGTATAGTTGTCGGCGGCACCTCGTAGTAGCGAAGTGGTTGCCAAATAACCTCTCGATCGACGCTGTCGAAGGCCTTTTCAAAGTCGATGAAGTTGAGATAGAGAGGTGAGTGACTACCATTCCAACCTTTGTTCAATGATGATCCGTAGAGTGGAGATTTGATCAATACATGACTTGTTTCTCCTGAATTCAGCTTGTTCCGGTCGAAGTTTTTCACCCAGGTTGGCGTGTTTGATTCTCTCCAGGATGATGCGGCTTAGTATTTTCCTTGGGATAGACAGGAGCATAATTCCGCGCCAGTTCTTGCATTGACTTAAGTCTTCTTTCTTTGGCAGTCTGAATAAGTAGCCTTTTTCCAATCCGCAGGTAGCAATCAAATGATAAATTACCAACTAATGCCAATGATGGATGGCCTGTTTAAATCACTGGGCTGTCCGAATTGTCTGCTCCCTAAAATACATTGTATTTACTTCGTTTCATATTGGTTTGAATCACTGAATTACCACAACGAGTCCCAATCTATACTCCCATACAATTTCAAATGAGTTTCTGCCTATCAGTAGAAATTTTTCTAAGGAAATACAGAGATAACATCATGCAGTAGTATTGACACATACTTCGGATGGAACGATATTTCTTCATAATCATTTGAAGATTCTGCACTACGAGTAAACGCCTTGCTGCGAAACTGGCTGAAAATTTTGTAATGCGTCTAAATGCAAGTTTCAGAATAAGGCTACTATTACTTTGATTACTGTTATTATCCAATCATCTGAGAAGCTCAACAGTGTGCTTTTTATTCAGATGTAAATAAACTGGAATCATGAGTATCTTTCATGTAAGGTGAAGTTAATCGTAGACGTTATTTTTGCTTAGTTTTCATAAACAATATAACAAGACCATCAAAATGCAGTATCCTTGATGAGATTTGTTAGAAATTGGCTTAAAATAGTAATCATTGTATGATTCATCGTGTGATTGGATGACTGTACAATTTCATCATCTTTTCCTCACCTTGGTCTTGATCAAATCGCCTACCAGTCAGAGCAGTCTATTTTCACTGACCTAGGCAGTCTTTAATGTGGTTAAAATATATTTAAATATAAAATACTTTATCCTAATGTAAGTGTATCCTAACAGTCACAAGCCAGTCTTCGTCTTCTGATATTTACGGACCTGGATGAAGTGGAAGGTGCATTTAGCATATCAGTTGGGTCACCATTGCGTCAGTGTTATCATACTCACATGCGTAAGTCCACTTGATCATATCAGCTGGCTACAGGTCGATAACAATTTGCGGACGGGCTTATTCAGTTCAGTGTCGTTAAAACAGCATTCTTGAACATTTGAAAAAAGTGCGCATTAATTTTAACCATTACAAAAATGTGTATTTGGTCACTCTGTTGGCTGTGACCGTTAGATGTTTTTCTCCTCAACTAATTTAACTGACTGGATTAAAAAAATAACCATTATTTGGAACAGATATAGTCACGACTGCATTTCATCAGTCCTAAATGAATAATTAACGTATTTCAAATAATATTTCTATTGAATAGTTTTCTGCTGCTCTTTGATCGAATCACTAACCATTAGCTTTTGCATATAAAACCGTCGTAATTAACATTAGCTCATTGTCAACATGATCTATAAGGGGATATAATTTTTCGCCTAACATCACTTATAAACAGTTCAAACACATAGATAAACAAGGATTTGAACACATGTTTTCTAATGTAGTGGAACAACCGAGTTAAATGCTTTACATACATTCATCATTATTCAGCTTTTCGGACTGAATACAATGGGTTAACCAATCGTAGAAAGATGTGTGTGTGTGTGTGACTCCTTTTCATATTATGGGGATAAGTAAAGATGGTCAACCATATTTGATATACTCATGTGAATTCAGCTCGAATCCATCAAGATAACTGTGTTCAATTAAATTGATTGAAGGTGACGAAATGAAAATCGGTGTCTCAGGCGGAGTTGAATCAGCCGCTTCCTACGGAAAACCATCTGAATTACCCAACCGAACTGCTAACCAGGTCTTTATCTACCCAAAATAACCACTAATGACTCGAAGCTGAGATGTGAATAAATAATCATAACAGTTGTCCAGCTAGATCTTCACCTATCAGTCATAATCATACGGAATTAGAGGGAGTGTAGTGGTAACAAGGCTATTTGAGGTGGTTTTTAGTTAGCAGGCTATTGTGCATGCAGTGAGTGATGACTGAAGGTGAAATTAAAATCTGAATCACAGCAAAATGATAACCTAGTCTCAATTTGGGTCTCGTACCTCAACTGATAGAGCATTAGACTGATAATTTGGCGGCCAATGGTTTTTCTAATCCTGACTCAACCTAGATTTACACTTAACTCTCACATACCGCCCACTATCAGTCTTATACACTTTAATGAACTAGAAAAATGCCAAGTACTGTTGGCTAATCAAAACTAAGAATACTTACTATCACCGTCTAACACCAAGTAGTCACGTGCATTTGAAATTGTATGACTTCCAATTGTTATTTTTGTCCCCAATATCCGATTATCAAAACATGAAAAAACTAAAGGTGGCCAATAACGTTCATCAACTGGTAAGTACTAAAATGAAAACAGAGGAAGAGGTAAATCAAAAGACATCTAGCTTGTATTTAAGAAGTAAGCTGAAGTGAATATACTAATTTTTGGTGTATACTGGGAATCTGCTGCTTGATACTTGTGATTCTCTGTTTTTGTATTTGGTGGAGCAAATCAACCAGTCCCTATACTGACAAACTGACTCTTGGCATAGATGTTTTCACTACACTTTTCTCTACGGTATATTTTCGTCTACCTGATCTTGAGTTTTAACGGGAACGAAAGGGTTCCCATTGATGGATTTACAGCCAGAGAACAAGTGTAAAACAGGACGAAGTGAGCATCTCGGATCCCACTACTCCTAAACATGGGATAACTGTTCGGCTCTGGACTGAGACCTTGCTTTATCTTGAATCTTCAAGTCTTCTGAATATTTTTAAGATTCCTAAAATCGCCTATAATCATAATTCAACACTCTTGGTTGACAAAGACGACCAAATAGGATGGGTTAATCTTCTTCCATCATTCATTTCGTATATCAAAGCTCTGAAAAGTGGTTAAGCACTGATTACTGCTGACTTCTTCAGCTAATAAAATATGTTCACTTACTCAACAAAAAGACCGGAGAAAATCTGGTTTTCACAAATGATCTACGTCTCGTATCACACAAACTTGAAGATCTACAGACAAAAGACAACATGCCAGTACAAGTCACATCGAAGCCAGAACTAAACGTCAACACAATCGAAGGGGGAGGTGTTGAAGACATCAAACCAAGGTCAACAAATACCAATCACCATCAGTGGAGGAAATCGAAAGGAAGTTGTCTGTTTCATTTGATTATCTCGACGGTGTCATCAAAGTTAGCCAGGATGAATCGGGAATGCAGGTTAGACTTTCATTAACCTGAAATCACTGTGGAAATCTACACCACTCATCACAAGGAGCAAGATGCAAATTCCATTCAAGAATAATATCACTTCAGTGCTTCTAAATAATTCCAAGACTTGGTTCATGCATCACTAAGAGCTGTTGCAGAATTTCATTAGATGGACAGCTGAATAGGGATAAGCAAGAAAGAACTCTGACGGTGTAGAGAACTGGCCAAGAACCTGTAGCTCAACAAATAAACAAAAGGAAGTAGAAATGGAATAGGCATACACTGGGGAAATCGTTGAATGGCGTTACACTCCAGCATAGATGGAAGGAGACGGGTTGGGATTTCAAAGGTGACATGCAAGACACTAAGTGAATGAGGAAATGAAAGCTTATAGGCAGTCGTGGGGCAAGTTGAAACTGATGGCAAAGAACCAAGTGGAATAGAGGTGTGTTGTTGAAGCTTTACATTCCACTGGGATAGCAAGAAATGAATGGATGATAAAGATGATTCACGGATAAAATAATAAACAATAATGATAAGGGTAGAGTATTTTTAAAATAAAATGTAAGCAAAAAGAAAAGGTGAGTGACTAATCTTCACTTACAACATCCATAGCCTTCAGCTTTGTATCAAAGACGGGTCGTTTAGACAAATCATTGATCACTTCTGATTCTAATTTATGACCACCAATTTCAACGACTACACGTGGTCGTTTAACCGGTAACAAGTGTTGACGTACCATACCCCATACACTCCAGAATAACTGGAAAGATAAAAGATATGTGTAAAATTATTAATTTTGATATTCAAATAGAAAAAGACAAGAGTGAAATGGATAAACACTACTGAAGAGTTGCAAAATAGGATGAAAAGGTTATTCAGCACTACCTGGATTTCTCAAGGCTGTTTAACTAATGTTAACAGGTTGCCACGACAACTACCTTGAAATCAGTTGAAATATTTACAAAAAGTGGTGCCTATTCACCTAGTTTAAACGTGTTCACTTTTTTAAATTTTGTTTTGTTTCTTTGCCTTCAGAGTGGAATATAGGGCTTCAAGCGAGAACTCTGAATTTTCAATAGATATGAGGTCGCCAGCCTCAGGTACAACCTTTCCTCTATACCGGGCTTACTATTGGTTTGGGAGTGTGTTGGCTGGGAATCGAATGCCAGGCCACGTAGGTAGTTGGTGAGCATCCTACCGCTGAGCCACCGAAGCACAAATGCATTCCTTTAGATTGTAATGTAGTTTCTTTGGCAGTTTACTGACTTGTTTCTGTCTCATTCTACATTGAATAGTTCGCTGATAAAATCTACAACCTAGAGGATATTTCACAAGAGATTTTCAGATAGTCCTGCTATTCATATAGAACTGGAAGCCTTCTACCTTACATATAATCTCTCACCACATAACTTCTAAGACGGTACTCTAGATTGAGAAATTGGTCTACTCTGGTATACTACCGCCTTGAATACATATGATTACATACTGCCTTTAATATATGTTCGCAGCTAACGGTGGAATTCCGTTTCTTTTTCAGAACTTATCGGTTGAGTTTACCAACATCCCAAGGGGTTTTCACTGGAGCTTAAATACACCGTTTGAAAGGCTAGACGTTGAGTTCAAATCCCAGTAAAAAAATACCGTCACTGCAAATACAGCATACTCATGCGTACTAATAACCATAAAACTGAGATCACTAGAGGTTTTCTTCCGACTGACTTCTAATATTTAATATCAAATTAAAGTGTAACACAGAGAACATAATTTGTCAGAGATTTCTAAGAAGACTAAAGTTTAGATATTTAGAATAGCGGTGATTTACTGCATCATCAGCTAGTGAGTTTGAGGTCAATATGTGTTCTGTAGTGTTTAGACTATTTTTGCATTATTCTAACAAAATCTCTCTCCATAATTTACATTAACAGAAGGTTAAGATAGTTTTAAAAACCTGAAAGAATAGTATAATGTTTTGATTGAAGATTGTTCACTGTTTTTGGTGTCACAGCTACCCACTTAAACAAGCATTATCTCGGAAAGTACTTCCAATAAAATATTCACATTCTATCCAGTCTGACCTCAAGTAAAGTTTTTTTTAGTGTCTGCAAATCAATAACCAGAACGAGGATAACAGAAACTGAGACATCAATTAGACTTGAAATAAAAGATGACGTACAACTTCCATCCTGAAACGTTGCAGAGGTGGTCGAATATTATCCGGTATCCGATAGTCACCTTTACGTCTGACTAGAACAAGTTTCGGTGGTGCCATACCAATTTTAATTTGTCTGCGTTTAGCATTTTTCAAATGATCATCACTATCCTGATCTAACAACATTACTGACTCTGTATCGAAGATATCGTCGAATTCATCATCCATTACATTGCTCATCATTTCATCATCTTCACTATCTGAATCTTTGTTCAAATCGTCTTCATCGTCTAGATACATGCCTTCAATGCTTTTCAAGATGACACGATCATCGAATTCTTTAGTGTAGGCAGCTAATTCTTCAAAAGTTGGTAAGTTCTCGAACGGAATATGTGAATCTTCCTAAGAAGGATCAGAATATGTAGAAGAAGAAGAAGAGGGGAGAGTTGAAGGGTGCTGTCAATAAGCGAAAATGAAAATAACAATGGGCAATATCTTTGGTGCATATCACTGCACTGGAATCTCTCATCCAAAATGTCAATCGATGATCACAATTTTTATGATTATTTAAATTTATCTACAGAAATAATGATTATCAAAATGTGATTAGTGGTTCCTGCTTTTTCTGAAATCATCCAGAACAAGGACTCAAATACTAAACAAACGGTCCTTGTAACAGCTGTTCAGTTGATGTTACTTTGATTAGATAGCTGGAGTATTTCAAATGACAAAGTTCCAACAAGTTATTTCAACAAAGTGATTGCTCACTGTACGAATTGTTCTATTAGACGGTTTTTTTCTCGTAGTTAGTAAACCTTTTCGAAACAGTTTGCTTCCTTTTTGGTGGCGGTAACAAATAAAGCAGACTATAATACAGTTGGATATACACTCTGAGTGTTATAGTTCTACATGAAAGCGAGTAAGCTGAATGTGACTGAACAATAGTTAGTTACTAGTGTAATGTGTCTGGTTCATGGACGTTGCAGACTGAATTCTATCAGTCCAGTTTGCAATTTGCCCACCATTCTAGGTCACTTATCACTTGGAAGTAATCGGCAAAAAGCCTAGCCTGACCTAGGTATGGTCCTTGTTGACATTCATGAGTCTGCAAGACGTATTTCCAACCCTGAAGGAACTCACATCCCTTCTGAAATTCAGTCCTGTGCCATCCATTGCTGCAATCAGAGACGTTACCACTGACCTATTCGGACTCACGACTGACCTCCTGTAGGATTGTACTGGATATTTTTGATTGGACACTTATCAGTAACTAGTGTAATGTGAGTGCGTGTGTCTAGTCCTATCTTTGGTGCAGACCGAATTCTGTCAGTCAAGTTTGCAGTGTGGCTACTATGCCAGATGGCTTGCCATTACGGTGAACGCTTTGCTGAAGAGTTTCAACTAGCGCGAAACCTAGTTCCAAGGCTTCCTGCCAATTGCCTCCAACCACCTGATACCAACAATTCATAGTGCACCATGAAGGAGAGACACTTAACAAGGTGGCCACATTGCAAACCTGACTGGCCGAGAGAATTCTGACCTCACCGAAGATAGGACTGGATACATTACACTAATTACTGACTAGTGCCCAACATTGTTACTGGCGATCACCTGCCCTCACACTCGGATTGTTGGACCTCAATGATCATGAATTCTCGACAGAATTTCATACAACTCTCTCCTGTGATCACTCATTGGTGTGAATTAGATTTTCAAATGTTGGCTAGCCGGGATTTAATTGGTTACTAGTTATATCATAAACTCATATCAGCTAGAAAACCAGGGACTCCTAGACACCTGCTTCAGTAGTACTCAGCCGTAACTCCTCTGTAGGTCAGACCCAGGACTTTTAGGTTTCGAGGTGAGTTTGTTGATCATTCGAATGGAATCCAATGGCCTTTGGTTTCTAACTTCCAAATTTCGAAATGTTTCCATTTTACATAGACAGCAGGTGGTTAATTTGTGCTGGCCTTCGACTGCCAGATTTTGAGGAAGCATGACTCATTCCATTCCATATTAGATAGAAATGTTTTTTCCAATGTGCCTGGTTTTCAGTGCTTTCCAGTTGACGTCATTTCATGACAAAGCCCACCACGAAACCAATCAAATCCCTCTAAGTCAACATTTGGAGATTATCCGTCATCATTCATCTTGTATTTGACATTCGTCAATTGACTGATAATTTTCTTTGATTCCTTTCCGTTCCCAGGGGAACACTGGGCTTCAAGCTAGAGCTTTGAATTTTCGGTAGCGGTGGTGTTTATTTTCATGGGATGGGGTTGCTAGCCCCATGCCCAGCCTTCCTTCTTTACCAGCCTTATTACTAGATTAGTGGGGTAAAGGCATGCGTCGGCCGGGGACCGAACCCGGACCACATGTAGGGTTGGCAAGCATTCTACAGCCGTGCCACCGATGCACCTACTGTTAATTAACCGTTGAATACTGAATCAGTTATAACCTATAGAATTAACAACTGTTTCTTAAGCATGTACAAAATTATTACCTGAATTAAATCAAAAGCAGCCAATAATTCCCCACCAGGTGTCTGTCCACGAAATATTGGCCACCATTGTAAACGTGGTGGTTTGTATTTCTCCCCATCCAGAGTTACATTTATCTCACAGAAACACCGTCCCAGGAATTCCAAGTTATTCTAAATGAAATGCACAGACAAAAAGATGCGTAAAAGCTATAGCAGTGACAGAAAATGAATAAGTAATCAATATTTTACTTAGTAAGTAAATGCCAGTTAAATTTATAGGTCTAAATTATACTTAGAGAATACATTGGTGTCAGGCATATTGCTAAGCCATTGAATCACATAGGGTTATGAGCCGACCATGATCTGGACACATTTATTCTCATGCACTTCAATAGGCTAGCAGCATGTTTTATACTGTCAAACGGGGGTAGTCCAGCTGATGTACAAGAATGTCAAATGGTCACGTGATCCACGGTGCTATCAATTACTAAATGACCACACCTCCATTAATTTTCCACTCACGTATCGACTAGAAGTAAATATTGATAAAATAAACCAATATAAAGATGAGATTTAAAAAACCACAACTTCTTACTCCAGGATCAAGATCAAATATTTCCACAATAAGTTCTTGAAGATTTTCTTTCACAGACTGAGCATTCTGATAGAATACTACTTGTTTACAGAGTACAACATCCCACATAGGACTCATAGTCTGATATAGAACTTGTGTTTGTAATACATGTGGTCCGACCAGTATTCGAGCCAATGGATCTGACATACCACTAGAATCAGACGCTATCAAGTCACGTGCTATAAATATATAACATCTTAACTGGAAGCAACTGCTCTCTAGAGAAATAAAGAAGAAAAAACAATGAGAGGGTAAAACAAAAATGCCCTGGCCTTTATTTAAGATCAATTCATGTTTGTAATTCAATGAAAAAAGACTGTAGGCTTTGTGGTACGGACTCATTCGTGATTTATCAGAATAAGTAAATAACCTTACGAATTTTCAGATACAATTAAATATATATATATATATATATATATATATATATATATAAAGTATTAATATTCTTTTGAACTTGAGGTGGAGCATAGGTACGAAACAGCACAATTCCATGTCACTTTGTCTTCTGTAGTCTTTTTTAGCTAACCCCACGACTGCCCATTGGGCTTTCATTTCCTCCTCACACGATCTCCTCCTTTTCATCCTACTACTCGCAAATCCTTGTTTCCCAGTCGAAAATCTGGAGCGTGATGTCACTCAACGGTTAGGCCGGCGTGTATCCAGTCCACCTCCATTTCCTTCTACATGTTCGTTGGCCAAAGGTTCTTGACTTTCCTTTGCTTGCCTATCCTTTCTGGCCATCCGATCTGCGGCGTCCAACGAAGGCAGATATCTATGAAAGTCTTCAGTAGCCTGTCCAAAATGCTTTTGGTGACTCGCTCGTTAATTTTCTGAACAATATGAAGGCATTTACAGGATTTCATCATGAGCTGACATTAGCTATGAATATGAAGGTAGTAACGTGCATAAGGAACAAGATTCGCATTTTCAACACCAATGTGAAGTCGATTCTTCTATATGGGTGAAAGACTTACACTACGTGTCACGAAAAGCATTTCCAACAGGTTGCAGACTTGCATCCATAGCTGCCTTCACTGGCTCCATAATGAAGATCCAATAGCCAGAAAGAATTAGTAACAAGGAACTCTGGCTGAGAACAAACCAACCAAGAACCAGTCGCTCAACAAAAATTTGTAGGAGAAAGTGGAGATGGATCGGGCATACATTGACGAGGCTGCCGAATGCCATTGCGCTCCCAATGCATGCCGTCGCTCGAGTAGAATCCCAATAGGAAGCAACGAATGAGTCGTCGATGTGACGGTGACATGGGGAAGATCGTGTGAGGAAGAGATGAGAGAGTTTGGTCAATCGTGGACCCAGCTGAAGAGGACGGCAGAAAACAGAACAAAGTGGAGGTGTGTTGTTGAGGCCCTATGTTTCACTCGGAGCACAAAGGAATAATAATATAATATAATGACTTGCCGTTGTTGTTGTTGAAGATCTGGATCTTTTTCTTTATGCACACTCTCGTAGATTTCCATACTTATTATTTCAGAGTAATGAATTGTTCGATTCCATTATGGATAAAATTTTATTTTGATAAAGTCTCACAGTGTTATACAGTAATATTTACTGATGAAAACTTTTCGAGCACAATTTATTGCTACTCATAATCATATCAAGGTACTCACACAACTTTCTAACTTCATTCATATGGTTTCATTATTTCTCATCTCTTGATTTGATTGGTAGTAATATTTTCCATATTTCTTGTATGAGTGATGGTTCATTCCTATTGCACGTGTTGGGTGTATACTTGATGAACAAAGATTGAGTAATTAACCTCTCTCCTTACCTACTTATATTACCTTTTAGAATTTTAACTCTCTCCCACCCTATTGTGTGTGTGTGTGTGTGTTAATGCGTGCGTACGCTGAACATTCCCAAACTAGGATGAAACAGCTGTCCAGATTTTCCAATCTTTCTCTAACCGATGGCAGTTCATGATGAAATCCTTCATCCAATCAAATAAAATCCCAACAAACTAAATACTTAAATATCTTATGTTATTATTGTATAACACTGTGTAACTTCATCAAAATAAATTTTATCTATAATGAAATTGTACTGTACCAAAGTGCCCACGTTATATCCCTATATTAATGAAATGAATGTCTTACTTTAGCTATCCTGACTGTAGCTAAAATGATGTTGCCTAGATAAGTGCAATAACTGGACAATAGTTTACATGAATGTGTTCAAACTTCTGCCTGAAATGTGTCCTTTGGCACATTAGGAAACTAATTTATGTGTAAAACTTGGGTACTGTGGTAGTAAGTAATCCCATATTAGTTTGTTTATTAGATGTATCACAGTGAGTGAAACAGTATTATTTACTGGATGACGTTTCGAACAAAATCTATTGTTCATAATCATAACAGTTATAATCACACGACTTCGGAACTTGAGTTTCGAATTCATCGTCGAATTAGTCACATGTTTTTAAACAATGAAACTCAAAATTGACATCCTTGTTATAATTTAACACAGGCTAGAAGACGTTATATGATTTGCATGATACGGTAGGTTGAGATCAACGCTGCTGGTATCATTACTGTGTAGTGTGTAACAAATGAGACCTACAGAATTCATTACTTGGCTGGAGATTATTAAAAACATCCAAATTAAATCTGAAATCAAGAGACTAAACAATATTTATAATCAAACAATACTGTCTTGTAAAACTTCAGAAAACATATGGAAGCTTTTTAGAGAAATTACAAGTTGTGTTAAGCATAATAATTTTGCCTATTCCATTGATGTAAATACTCTCAACAGATCTTCTATCCGCCCTCCAAATGTCCCTTTTGCCTTCAATTTAACTAATAACACGACCAGTGACTTTCATGGTTTCAATACTTTCGATGTTCTTAAATGTTTAAAATCTCTTAAACCTTCTCAGAGTCTAGGTCCTGATGGTATATCTGCCACTGTTCTAAAGAAATGTGCTGATATTTTAAGTAACCCACTTACAAATATTTTCAATACTTCTTTTTCCAATTATGTTGTACTTTCTCTGTGGAAAGATATTAAAATCATCCCTGTACCCAAGTCTGGTTCTGGAAATAGTATTAAGTTTAGACCAATTGCCATTACCTCTCCTTTTTTGAAACTAATGGCGAAATTATTGTTACAAAAACTTGTTCCCTCCCTAAGCTTCTCAAATGATCCAAAGCAGTTTACTTACAAACAGGGTAGAAATTCTTTAGACGCTGCTGCTGTGTTTCATCACAACATTGTATCCTACTTAGACAAAGGGGCCAAGTATGTCCGTTGTACGTTCCTTGATTACACATATGCTTTCGACTCTGTACCTAGAGGCCTTTTGTTAAACAAGCTTAGCCTTACACAAACTGAGTCCTGGGCTATTAAATGGCTGCACTCTTACTTCTCCAATAGCATGCAGTAAACGGTATATAATGGTGTAGCTTCCTCTCCTTTGCTTACTGAAGCTGGTGATCCTCAGGGTGCTGTTCTCTCACCGTTTCTCTTTCCCTTCTTCTTACATGACTTACCTCTCTCAGACGAAATCAACTTCGTCAAATATGCAGATGACTTGACTGTTTCGCTTCCCGTTAAGTTTCAGTCAGAGTATTTCAAATTAAATAGCTTCCTGTCGGACATCAGTCAGTGGTCAAAACTAAATGGCCTCATCCTGAATCCCTCAAAATGCTAGACTATTGACTTCTCCTTTAGGTATAAACGAGATATACAAACACTAGTAAGCACTCATGAAGCCTGTAGCATTGAGGGGACCAAAAACTGAAACTAAGTCTAATGCAAAGTACCTCGGACTAGTTCTATCTTCCGACTTTACTTGGTCATCTCATGTCCAAACGATTTCTAAGAAAGTGTTTCGTCTAACCCACTACATTAAGAAACTCAGACTAACTGGAATCACTCAACCTCTGCTTTCACAATTTGTCAACTCTCGTATCTTACCTGTTCTACTTTACTGCTCCCCATTAGTATTTCCTGGGTTACAGAAAAAGGACTATACCATCCTGAGAAGGATGTTGAAGGTAGTTAGTAGGACTAGTGGCATAAAACTCAATCAACTCGTCACTACATTAGTAAATAAGCATCTGAATACATGCGAAAAATGGTCTAAAACCATACTCTCCAACCCCCAACACCCCCTCTATTCCCAAATCTCTCCTTGCATCTCATCAGGTAGAATCAGAAATCATTACAAAATAATATATGCTCGTACAACCAAGTATAGGATCTCAACGATACCATATTTTGCCCGTGGTCTAAGTGACAGAGACAATGTTAAGCGCGAAACCTATGACTTGCTTTGTTGTTAATAACATAATTTTGGCCCTTTTATTTCTTCCTTATACTCTCTTATTCGTACTCTATAGTGAACAACCTTCTTAAACATACTTAGCTACCTAAAATTATTATCATTGGCTTGCTTTTTTATTCTTTATTCTATTCCTTCTTTTGTGTATCTACTGGTCCCGACTATATTATCACTATGAGTATCACAAAATTATCCTGTCAATAACCTTCATGTAATATTAGTCCTACAGAAGGTCAATCGCGATCCTGAATAGCCCCGTGACAACGTCTCTCTCTCTGAAGCACTGGGTGAGGTGGGTTCGAATCTCTGAAGGGACATGAGTTCCTTCAAGGTTGCAGATACGCCTTGCTGACTGGTGAATGCCAACTAGCACGAAACCTAGGTCCAAGGCTTCCTGCCGATTGCCTCCAACCATCTAATATTAGTTTTGTGATTGTGTTTTTGTTCGGTAATATTAAATCTGACAATCTTGGTTGTGAACGCTATCACCATCCTAAAATTTTTGTATTATGCATGATTACTCACACTACCACAACAACACACTGCATTAGTGCTGACAATAAAATAAAACACAACCTGAAATGTTTATTTTATGACTGTTTAGTGTGGTTCAATCAAATTAACTGATCATCTTGGCTATAAACATTCTTAAGAACATCTCATAACTTCTTGTTTGATTATAGCTGTTACTGTTCACCACGCATACACATATCATAGCTTCCACTTCCGAATACTGAAATATGTTTCATTATTGGTGTTTATCTTTCTTTCTACTTGGTTTTTTATTTGCATTTTGTTTTGTTATCCTTGTGTTTCTTCTTGGTTTTTGTTGTTGTTTTTTTTGTATTTATTTTTTTGGAATACTCCTTTAAAATGTACGATGAAATTAGATGCAATATTGTAGATATGTGCTGAAAATTCCACACTGTACCACAAGCACTCTTTCTGGAATGAAAGCAAATTATTATTAATATTAAAAAAACGCATACAGTGCTTCACCCTTGTGAAATTCAACTGATCAGCAAATGAGATCAGAGTGACTTAGCTTAGCAAGTTAAATTATTCAATGAAGTGAAAATGTATAGCTGTTAGTTTTTGAAGAAATTGTGTTAATAAATAGCTCATAGTGGAATAGGAGCAGCTTTATTTTTTATTTATTTATTTATTTTTTGATTTACAGCTTGATTCCACACTGTATTTTCGGTACAAGTATGGAATTTTCAGCATGGATATGGGTAGCCCAAGTTTTGCAGGCCGACCATAGATATCAGATGTGCGTCGGTGCGGGCTCGAACCCCGGACCATGTGCATGGTCGGCGAGAGTCCTACCCACTGTGCCACCGACGCACAGTAAAAGAACAATAACAACAAAACAGAATGATAGCTTCACCTAAGCGTAAAATATTAGGGAAAGTCAATGAATTTAGGGATTTGCATCAAGAAAATGAGACTAGGAATTCGTATTTATGAAAGTTGTCATCAAAATAAACGAATAACAAAACGTGTTAAATATTCCTAATCCCCTTGGTCTCCTCTACCCCTTCTTTGAGATACATCAGTTGGATTTAAAAAAAAAAGACATTAACTCCCGCCCAACAGTTGGTTCTCCTAATTCACTTGCCTGGAGAATAACAATCTATATGAGACTTGAAATAATCAGTTCTGCATATGAATTTCTTCCACTTATAATGTTGGAACAGTCAGCTGATAAGTTGAGAAAAGAACGAGCCGTATATCTGTCTGCTAGTGGGATCGCTTATCTTTACCGAAGTATCACACACTGACGGCACAATGTAGTTAATCGCATGCTATTTCATTTGTGTTCATTTCTTGCTATGTTACCTACACTTCCTGCGTTAACGACTTAATCTGTTGCTCCTGTATTCAAGATTCCTGCAGAATATGTAGCCAGTATACTAATTGTAAATTCTTGTCACTAGCGTACACCACACGCCTACCCCGGTTACCATTCAGCAAAAGGCATCTGAACGAAATATTTCATAGTGTAAACATACTTTTAAAAACAGTTCACACAATTTTGATGTTGTATGATAAGTAATACTGTGTTACAAGTATAAACGAAAGGAAACAAGATAAAATAGTTCAACGTAATTTACCTAGATAAACCAGTTCATTCGGCGGTTTCGGTGTGCTGAATACACTTCTATCATATCCACCAGGTAAACCGCACGTGTAAGCAACGAAATCTTTAATCAACCCAAGCCATAAGTATACACGTATTTGACTTTGAATTCTCCAACCTTTAGGCCCGACACCTTCACGTCCTTGTTTCTAAAATTTCAAAATTATTGTTAGATAAAGTTGCATAAAAAGAACTCTGAAATATTAAATAATAATAATAATAATAAAAACTTATTCTTGTAGCTTTTATCTGAAATATGCACCGAGTGAATTGAAATTGTAGTCAAAAATCAGCTGAAGCTGTTTCATGCAATTATTCATTGAGTTCATTATAAATTATTTAAATTAATCCCAGCGTGTTAAGAAAATCAAAACAAGATTATTCTGAACGTTTCGCCGTGTAAGCCGCAGCTTCTTCAGCAGATTTATTCGGATTTTTATTAATCATCAAAATATGTAGTCAAATTTTTTTAACATAAATTCAAGTCAGTTATCACCTATATGACAAACTCTTATGAAGCAAGACAAATGAAAAAAAACAAACACTCTATGAGCTTCCATGACCTTTTAAAACATGTAGTATCATGTTTATCGAGTGGGCTTTTGGATTAGTGCGTTAAATTTTGCTTAGATACATAGAACTCTCATTTCTTTGTTGTATCTCACCACGAAGGAATCCGTTTACTTTCGAACATTAAACTTGCGGATATAATATTATTGACTACTAATACCTATAACAAACCGTTTGACATCTTGTGACCTTTTAACAGTAACTCATATCTGTAATTGTATATATTGTTGGATTTATATATTCAAGTTGGCCCAAGTCAGTGAGTCTAAGGTTTTGGTATCATTTTAGTTAACTGTGCTGAATTATATTGCATGTTGTTGTATTGTAACGTTGTTGTCGCTTTTTGCTGTGAATTATTTTCCTTTTGCTGGTGTTGTTCTGATTGTTTTATCCCTTGTTTTCCGATTTTAAGGGGAGCAACCTGAAAGGTCGCTTCTCTCTAAACTTTATCTTAATGTAACCATTCCTTTCTCAGGCGTGAGGCTAGCAACCCCACCCTGTAAACAAAATTGCTACAGAAACTTCAGCACGATGAACCTTTCTGCACCAAAAGAAAAAGTCTGTGTGGGGACATGGAACGTCCGCACTATGTACGAGACTGGGCAAGCTGACCAAATCGCCAACGAGATGAAAAGATACAGAATCCAAGTACTGGGAATATGTGGAAGCAGATGGAATGGGAATGGACTCACTAAATTGTCAACGGGTGAGTCAGTGATCTACTCCGGCCACCCAGAAGATAACCACACGCACACCGAAGGCGTAACTATCATGATTTCATCAACGGTAACAAAGGCCCTGATGCAATGGGAGGCTATCTCGTTCAGGGTAATGACCGCCAGATTCAACTCCAAAGGAAGGAAAGTGCCAATTATACAATACTATGCACCCACAAACAACACAGACCTGGAAAAGAAAGAAGAATTCTACAGGCAACTACAGGCAACAATGGACAATACTCCAGCTGGCGATATTAAAATACTAATGGGAGACATGAACGCCAAACTGGGACCAGACAACACAGGAAGGGAACTCATCATGGGGAGAGAAGCTCTCGGAGAAGTGGATGAAAATGGAGAACTCTTCGCCGACTTCTGCGCCTTCAACGAACTAGTGATTGACGGCAGTGTATACAAACACAAAGATATCCACAAGGCCACATAGGTGTCACCAGACGGGCAAACCAAAAACCAAATTGACTTCATCTCAGTGGTGCTCAAGGAAGTGGAGGCGCAGCCTACTGGACACAAAAGTAAGGAGAGGAGCAGACGTCGGCTCAGACCACTATCTCGTACAAGGGACAATCCAAATCAAATTAAAAGCTTTCAGAGAAGGAGGAGCTGCAGATAGACCACGAGCCAAGTTCAACACTCAAAAGCTGAAGGGCCAGGCTACAAAGGACATCTTCATTGCAAGCATAAATGATAAAGCCGAGACACAAATCAACACCAGCGAAGAGGTCGGCATCGAAAAGCACTGGGGCAGCCTGAAAACCGTGTGAAGTCAAACCTGCATGGAAGTTCTTAGCAGAAAGAAGAGGCAGGACAAGCAGTGGCTCACTACGGACACTTGGAAACTAATAGAACAGAATTGAAAACATTTATTTCCCGATACGAATTTAAAACAAGCAATAAAGGTTAATAAAGCAGGATTTAATGAATTCATCAAATTTCGGTAGAACTCGTCAGCTGAATACTCTACATACACGAATATATATACTTTTGAAATTACATTGGGAGATATAAGACTGATAAGTAAACAAACTACATTGAATTAGTCATGCAGAGAGACAGGTGCGAATATTTTCCAGGTCATGTTCAAATAGATAAGGGGAGAGAGAGAGAGTATGAGAGATCAAAATTAAGATAAATTGCATTACGCTTCAATTACATCACTTAGATAAACAATTAGTCATTAGGGAATATAACGAGAATTGCAAACAGACTAATATCAATAGTAATAGTTTTAATAACAATAATAATAATAATAAGTGTTGAAGTGAGTTAAGATAATCTTACGGATAAAGCATAGATTTAAATGAATCAAGAATAATAATAATAATAATGGTAGTAATAATAACAAAAATAAGAAGAAGAAGAGGTAGAATAATAGTAATAACAAGTAGAGAATAATAAGTAAAGCGTATTACCATGGTAGATTCAGAGTGACGACCATCTCCTTTTGTATACAGAGGGCTGGTTTGTAAATTCGAATTGCACAAGCCTCTGCAATTGCAAGCATCTTCTTGTTTCTTTGTTTGCTGACGATGGTGAATGACTTGACGGCGTCGATATCATGTCCGTAATCCACGAGATGTTTTGTTATTGAGGATTTTGGGACTTTGCACTCAGCTGTTTTCAACCATTTTGGCAAATGCTCCATCATGCGAGTAGACAATCGCCTTTCCGTACGACCTATGTATTTGCTGCCACAAACACACTCAAATTGATATATGCAGTTTGAAGTGTCGAGGATTGGCGACTGGTCTTTCCCAGATTGTTGAAGCACTCGCTTGGTGGTGTTAAGGATAACATGTTTTGCAGCATAATAAGTTCTCTTGATGGCTTTGTCAAGTCTTCGTTTCACTATTTCCTGTACGTCATCTCCTTTGAACGGCAAATTGATATAGACAGGTTTCTTTGGAACTGTCTGAATTGTTTTGCAAGGGGTAGTTTCTTTAGAGTATTTATTAATGAACTTCTCAGGATATCCATTCTTACATAAAATATCCTTCAAAGATTTTATTTCATGTTCAAAAGTACTGTCAGAACAAATTTTTCGTGCTCTATTGAACAGTGTTCTGACTAAGTTCTTTTTGTATTCGATTGGAACAAAGCTCTTGAAATGCATGTACTGTCCTGTCCATGAGGACTTTCTAAATATATAAATATATAAATATAGTCTCTGATTCATTTCAATTTGTCAATCAAATTAAAGATTTCAATGTATCCGATAAGCATTTAGTCTCTTTCCATGTTACCTCCCTTTTCACAAATGTGCCAGTCGTTGAAACTATCGACTTCATATGTAAAGAAGCTGAAAACATACCCATTCCAACATCGGAATTGAGGAAATTACTACTTTCATGTACTAAAAATGTCCAATTCCACTTCAACGGGCGTCTGTTCCGTCAAGTTGATGGTGTCGCAATGGGAAGCCCTTTGGGACCACTTTTCGCCGACTTATTCTTGTCACGCCTAGAAACCGGTACTTTGCAGCAATATATACAAGATACAAATGCATACCTAAGATATGTTGATGACATTTTTATTGTCTGTGAAAGCAGATCAAAAGCGGAAGACATGTTAACAAAATTTAACTCATGCCATCCAAATCTCAATTTCGCTGTAGAACACGAGGAAAACGATACTATTAAATTTCTAGACGTTCTTCTGACCAAAATGAATGATGGCACAATCGAAAGATCTATATTAAGAAAGTCCTCATGGACAGGACAGTACATGCATTTCAAGAGCTTTGTTCCAATCGAATACAAAAAGAACTTAGTCAGAACACTGTTCAATAGAGCACGAAAAATTTGTTCTGACAGTACTTTTGAACATGAAATAAAATCTTTGAAGGATATTTTATGTAAGAATGGATATCCTGAGAAGTTCATTAATAAATACTCTAAAGAAACTACCCCTTGCAAAACAATTCAGACAGTTCCAAAGAAACCTGTCTATATCAATTTGCCGTTCAAAGGAGATGACGTACAGGAAATAGTGAAACGAAGACTTGACAAAGCCATCAAGAGAACTTATTATGCTGCAAAACATGTTATCCTTAACACCACCAAGCGAGTGCTTCAACAATCTGGGAAAGACCAGTCGCCAATCCTCGACACTTCAAACTGCATATATCAATTTGAGTGTGTTTGTGGCAGCAAATACATAGGTCGTACGGAAAGGCGATTGTCTACTCGCATGATGGAGCATTTGCCAAAATGGTTGAAAACAGCTGAGTGCAAAGTCCCAAAATCCTCAATAACAAAACATCTCGTGGATTACGGACATGATATCGACGCCGTCAAGTCATTCACCATCGTCAGCAAACAAAGAAACAAGAAGATGCTTGCAATTGCAGAGGCTTGTGCAATTCGAATTTACAAACCAGCCCTCTGTATACAAAAGGAGATGGTCGTCACTCTGAATCTACCATGGTAATACGCTTTACTTATTATTCTCTACTTGTTATTACTATTATTCTACCTCTTCTTCTTCTTATTTTTGTTATTATTACTACCATTATTATTATTATTCTTGATTCATTTAAATCTATGCTTTATCCGTAAGATTATCTTAACTCACTTCAACACTATTATTATTATTGTTATTAAAACTATTACTATTGATATTAGTCTGTTTGCAATTCTCGTTATATTCCCTAATGACTAATTGTTTATCTAAGTGATGTAATTGAAGCGTAATGCAATTTATCTTAATTTTGATCTCTCATACTCTCTCTCTCCCCTTATCTATTTGAACATGACCTGGAAAATATTCGCACCTGTCTCTCTGCATGACTAATTCAATGTAGTTTGTTTACTTATCAGTCTTATATCTCCCAATGTAATTTC